TTTCTATTCTAGATCTGGTGTCGCCGCCGTCTGTAACTGTTTATTTCCGCCGCTCTGTTCATTTCCGCCGTTGGTCGTGGAAAGGTATTTGGCTGTACTAATTTCTTATAATTTGTAAATAAATATCTTTACGGGTTCCAAGTTCCTAGTCGTTTGGGTTTCTACATCGGTTTTTATAAAAATCGGACAACACCGAGTAGATATTTCCAAAGTCGGACAAAAATCGAATACCCGTTTCCAAGTTTCTAGTTGCTGTGAATTAGAGATATTTGTACTTTTTTTTTATTTATTAAACGGACTTGTATAGTGTTTAGGCGAACTATTTTGGAAGTATTATCTCGTAAAACGGAGTTCAAAACGGAGTTCAAAACGGGTTGTGTTTTTTTTAAAGAACTTTTTGAAACTTTTTTAATTAGACTATTAGGTCTATAGACTTCAATTGCAGACTTAGTTGGCAGACTTCGTGTGCAGACTTCTTCGGAAGTCTTCATAAGTAGACTTCTTGAATATTGGACTTCGTTTTGCAGACGTCAGAACAGCCAATGGAAAACCCAGAGTTCCCCCCGCGTCTCTTCTCGAAAGGCAATGAGCAGTCTCCGCTGAAAAGCATCGGTTACTATAGCGGTGAGACGAAGCTGATGATTGCACTCGAGGAAGCACTCACACAAGATGAGTGGGAAGAGATATTGAACTCTTGACTGGGAGTGTTCTTGAAGTTCAGTCAGTTGGATTTCGGCTGGGCATCTAGACTGGTGCATTACATTCTCGGCATGCAGCTAGTTTGCAAGAAAAAATTTGAGATTTGGAGCCTCGTAGGTCTAATCCCGATCCGCTTTTCTTTGAATGAGTTCGAACATATTACTGGCTTCAATTGCGAGTACGTGGACAACCTCGAGGATCCGGTGGTTGAGATAACTGATGAGATGAAAGATTTCTGGGAGCGATTGGGAGTCAATCAGGAGTTGGGCCCGAGCACTAAAGATTTGATAGAAGCTTGTAAGGAATGCGGGTCGTGGTCTTCCGAGGATCGGTTGAGGCTGGGATACCTTAGCATTTATACTAGTTACATTGAAGCACGAAAGCCATCTTCAGCTACTCGGGCTAGGTTGGCAAGGCTTGTGATGGATTTAGAAGCGTTTGAGAACTACCCTTGGGGAAGAGTGGCCTTCAAAAACCTGATGCGGTCGGTGAAGGAGAAAGAAATTTGGAAGTCGTCGTACACCATTGAGGGGTTTGTTCAAGTACTACAAGTCTGGGTTTACTTTGCTCTTCCCGACTTTGCTGCTAAATTTGGTGAACCACTTCCAGGCGACCACAATGTACCGCTGATAGCTTTCAAGGGATCCAGGGGGAGGAAATTTATGAAAGAGAATATGCTCCGACAGGTAAGTAGTTTGAATTCATACTTGGTTGACTATTATATCGGCAGACTTATTTAGTAGACTTCTAGTGCAGACGTCTGTAGTACACATCAGACTAATTAGGCAGACTTCTTACGAAGACTTTTCAGGAAGATTTCTTAGGAATACTTTTTAGGAAGACTTCTTAGGAAGACTTCTTGGAAAGACTTCTTAGTTTTGATTTCCGCATTATACGTTATATAACTCTGTTTTCATTTCCATGTAGACACGCATTAACAACTACGTTGTTAAGGAATTCTTTGACATGTTTCCGCGCTGGGAAATTGAAGACGATGATGAAGAAGACGAGAGGACTGACAACATCATCAAAGCGATGTATGGTCAATTTGGCCCTAAACAATGGACATGGGAAAGGAGTCATTGGCCTCCAACAGGTGTGACCAAGTATGTCAAGTCCGAAGGGTCTGTCGATCTGAAGAGGCGATTGGAATCAGTTGGTGATCAAGGAAGTCGGAAGCGGTTCTGCCCAGCCTCTGGTGAGGAAGATGAGTCAATGGTCATGATTCTGAAGGACCACATGGACGACTGCTTCAACAAGATGATGGATGGGTTGAGTAGTTGTGAATCTCAGATCAAACTACTCAACACAAAGTTGGAAACGGTGGAGCAGAAATTAGAGGCAGTGATCCTCCAAGCTGGGACCGGAGGTACAAAGGAGGATGTGGCTCAGACTGGTGAAGCAGACGCCGAGGGCGCAAAACCTATTAGCGACGATCAAACAGACGCGGACGCCGATCCTAATATCGGTGTTAGTCCAAAACCCGCTCGAAAGAAAAGAGGATGGAAACCCCGGAAAAAATAAAATTCCATATTTATTTTCAAACTTCTCATCGAACCTTACCAATCTGTTTTAAAACCTTAAAACGTTGTCACCACTATATATTTAATGTTTTTATTTGTACTCTTTAATGTTTGATGTTTGGTTTCGTTTCATTGATGTGTGTTTAAATCTTTATATTTGCAGAGTAATTTTATGTCTAAGCAAAATGAACAAACTGATGTCCCAAGTGAGAGCGTGAACGATGGTAAGCAGAGAACTCCAGAGCCAAGCGTCGTTATGGTTGATCCAGCAAAATGCGACATCGACTTCGATCAGGTCCAGAAAGATAAACACGAGAAAGGCAAGAAGGCGGCACAACTGGTTGCTCGTGCAAAGAGTGAACGTCTGCGAAAGTTGGCTCCTACACAACAAAGCCCTTTCAAACCCAACAGCACAGCGAAGGAAATAATCCCAAACAAAAATTTCTGAGGGTGCGGATATGATCCGTTTGATATGAAACACGTGAAGCAAAAGATCGGTGTGCTAACTGATTGTCTGAAAAAAGATCCGTAAGTCTTTGTTTTAGAGTTAGCATAAAGCAAACTTTCCATTGTAAGAGTAGTGGATGATATTGTAAAATGGTGTTGTTTTCAGGGCATATCCGAAGCGGGTAAAATGGTCATCCGTGGACTGGTACTTTATTCTAAAAGTTCCTAAACAATGGCTAGCAGACACTGTAAGTTACACGAGTGTATATATGATATGAACACAACATATTACACTCTGCTTGAATAATTGTTTTCATTGAATATGCAGCACATGGAAGCTAGGATTAACCTACTCAGGCTGCGATTTACAAAGCATCCTGAGTGGTTTAGGTCGGACAGGATAACATTCCTCGACTCTTACTTTGCAACGATGTGGAGGTACAAGTACAAGGAGTTCGTGGACTCTCACGCCAACCTTGATGGTTCAGGCAAGCTCCTTCTAGCTGGCTCGTTCGAGTACTACACTGGCGCAGCCCCAACCTACTGCGTTAGTAACAAGACGTGGAGGTATGATGTGGATGACCTGTACTCGATGTTACACATCACTGATGATCACTGGGTGGCAATGTGGATTTCGATTCCGATGAAGCATATTGTCATTTGGGATAGCCATGCGAATACTCATGCATCGGATATTCAGATTGAGGCTGCTGTGACTCCGATTACCGTCTTGGTTCCCTACATACTCCGTGAGTGTGCACCTGCTGAAGACCGTATCAATCTGACTTATGATCCATTCACGTGGGAGCAAATCAAGGGGCATTTGATCCCACAAAACAAACAAAGCGGTGACTGTGGCGTTTACTGCTTGAAGTACCTTGAATGCCATGCTCTAGGGATGCTATTTCCGAAGACCTTGTGCGATGCAAACATTATAAACATCCGAGACAAGCTGGCAGCTGAGATATTTGACGAGACAGGAGTAACCGGCACAGAGAAGTATGAGTATCCATGGCTGGACATATACGAAGGTAAGTGATATATCCAACTATTTATATTCTGTAATGAAAGAGAAAGGACTCTCTTTGGGTGTGGTATGGTTGGAAGTTTTTGGTTAACCTGCCAGAATTGTTGTTCTCTTATTTAACTGTAATGTTCCTAACTAATTTTGGTTTGTTTAGTAATATTTAGAACAATGGTGTGGTAGTATGTTTTGGAGGCTAAACGCTTGTAATAGACTAGTGTGACTTTTGTGATAATTCACGTACTCTAAGGTTTACCCTAATCATAGCTTATTATATCGCATAGTTTATGACAATAATTAAGAATGATCGTACATAGACATTAAACAGACATATTTCAGTAGTGTTTCCCTTACCTGGTGAAGCAGACTTCTTGTGCAGACTACGGTAGAAGACTTCTAGTAGTAGTCTTCAGTGTAAGGCTGCTATTATAGTTTTAGGGTTTTATCTTGACTTCAACGTCTGCAAAAAAAAACAGAGGAAATTAACTTCGACCCTAAACCCTTAAAGTATGAGGTAACATAACACTTACACAATCCGGTCTAGTATGTCCTGGTTGGTGACATTTCGAACAACTGTACTGCTTGTGGATCTTACGGGGTTTCTTTTGCTTATGCCTCGAAATTTCCAGCCAAGTTTGCCTTCTTGACTTCCTCTGCCTGCCTTTTTTACGTCGGACCTCCGGAGGTAGACATTGTGTTGTTTCATCGGTTTTCATTGCAATGCTTGGAGGATATATATTATGCGAGTACGCTGCATACAAGTAATCTTTGGAGTATGTCGGGCATACAAGAGTGGCCAGATGCATATGCATTGCATCTGAAACGGCTATAACATGAGAGCCTCCTCTCACATTGAATCGCCAACCATCTATGCCTTCAACCGTTAACTTATCAGCATAATGTGAACGAATTGCCAACAAATATTCAACTCCTCGAGTATGGTTGGTTGGAAGACTCAAAGCATCTTCCCGCCTTTTACAAAACCACTTTATTAGCTTTGCCCGTAAGTACTCCAACAGGAATACTATGAGAAATCCCCGTGCCCGTTTGAGAGCAGAGTTGATAGACTCTGCGATGTTGCTCGTCTTTATATTGTATCTATCACCTGGAAAGTGAACTCTTGACCACAACTGAATGCCAGCCTCCTCCAGGTACGTTGCAAGGTCAGGTTTTATATGCCTTATCTCGTCCATATAACGGTTAAAATCATGTACCGTATATGCATACGCAACACGTTTGACTAAGTACATAAGATGCTTCCCTTTAAACTTAGTGACAATATTGTGTTGCAGATGATAATAGCATATACCGCGTGTTACCCATGGTAATACAGTCTCACATGCCTTCTTAATGGAATGATGCCGGTCTGAAACTATCACCAATGGATACTCGTCTGTAAAACACTCCCGCAATTTTCTAAAAAACCATTCCCATGCGTGATCATTCTCAGAGTCCACTATTCCAAAAGCTAGTGGAAATATCTGGAAGTTACCATCTTGTGCTGTGGCCACTAGCAGAGTCCCTTCATACTTTCCAGTCATATACACCCATCGACAACAATGACCCGTCTGAGATATTGAAAACCAACTATGGAGGCTCTGAAGGCTAAGAATAGGTACTTGAACTATTCAGACTGTCGCGTTCAAGGGCAGTTATAGTACCCGGATTTGCTTCAGCAATCAGACGCAAATAAGAAGGCAGTCGGCTATATCTATCCTCAGGGCTTCCCCTCACACATTCTTGTGCATACATCAAAGCTCTATACGAAGTTGTGTAGTCTATTTTCAATTGAAACATCGTCTGCATTGAATCTTTGATGTGTTCTGCAGTAATCCCATCAATTATTCCCACACGCTCTATAAATAACTTTCCAATGTATCTTGGAGTCGTATGCTTTCGGTGAGCCAACCGATCTGAAACTGAACAGGTATGAGTTTTGACATATTTAGTGACCCAAAACGTCTTTGCTTCGTTCTTTACAGCTGCTCTAACTCTCCATTGGCATCCTTTAACAGCACATTTAGCAACAAACAGATGTCTCGATGACTTATCAACTCTTAATGCAAACTTCAACATAACAGCCGTCAACCTGATCTCAGAAATCAGGTCGTCTTTTGTAGCAAAACTTCCGTTTACTTTTATTTTGTCAACCCAATTTCTTTCATATCTTCTTTGAGGAGCCTTCACCGGTTCTTCAATCCACTCACCCTCACCCTCTGAATCAGAATTTGAATCCTCATCCTTCACTTTCCCATATTGGCTGTAGTCCTGATCCTCAGAGTCCTGACCCTCAGAGTCAGTACTGTCTTCCTCCTTTACTGAATCGTTTTTGATGTCCTCGTTTATCTCATCATCATCATACTCATCGACATTTTCATCTTCACCTTCCTCAGTATTTTGATTCCCACCTTCAACAGAACACCCATCAGCAGCATCAACACCACCAGTACGTCCATCATTGTCCTTGCAACTAGATACACAAAGACGTATAGCATGCGTCTTACTCAGCCCAATCAAGCTCTGTACTTGTCTATCATTAGTAATATGCATAGGAGGAGTATCTGGAGCCATGTTTGCTAACATTGAATCTGGCAATGCATAAGTGATAGACACGCTGTCCGTATTTCCATCCAGCATGTAATCATCTAGAGCCATAGCTACGAGTTCTCCATGTGTATAACCATCATTCAAGAAGAACAACCTCCCTCCTTTGCGATTATCCACCTCAAAATGCCATCCCTAAGCACTCATAACCCATTCTCCAAATACAACAGGCAACTGAGCCGCCATCTGCAAAAAAGGTAAACCACACAAGATAAACCGTGTTTTTCAAGTAACATAGAGCTTTATAATCGGCTAAACGTCTAAACATTCAAGAAAAGTCATCACTTTCTAATTATAACACATATCAATGTGAAACTCACGTATATGGAACCAAGAAAGGCAGATCAACATGTCCAAACAATATATTTATTTTAGCATATACCATTAATTCGAAAACGAATTTTTTGCTAAAATAATTAGGCAGACTTCAAGTGTTGTCTGCTGTGTTATTCTCCTTCGACAGGCAGACTTCAGTGGCAGACTTCTTATGAAGTCTGCTAATATGTGCCAATTACCGTTCAAATCTACAAAAATTATAACTATTAATGTATAACACATAAGCATACAAAATTAATACAGGTAAAGGAAATATACCTTCTAAACAAGAATAAAAATTAAAAAAAAAAATTTCATCACACAAAAGTTTTAAAAAAGTACTTTTTAAAAACGAAAAAAATGCAGACTTCCAACAAAACTCCACCCGGTTGCTTTCACGAAGAAGTCTGCCAAAAAGGCAAGGTTACTTTTGCAATTGACCAAATGTTTGACTTTCGTAGTAGACTTCTATATAAAGTCTGCATAAGAAAAATGTTATTTCTGCAATTGACCAAACGTTTGACTTTTACAGCAGACTTCTTTTGAAGTCTGCTGTAAGAGGCAAGAAGTCTTCTGTTAATGTGAAGTCGGCTGACGAAGTCTACACTACCAACGAAGTCTGCTGCAGGTTATTTCTGCAATTGACCAAAGTTTGACTTTCGTAGCAGACTTCTTTTAGAAGTCTGTTTACAGCAGACTTACTTCTTTAGAAGTCTGCCGAGAGGTTATTTTTGCATTTGACCAATTCTGAATTAAATCAATAGCACACTTCTTTAGAAGTCTGCTATAAATTAAATTCGTAGCTGACTTCTTTAGAAGTCTGCTCGAACAGTCAAAGGTGGTCAACATCTTGGTCAAATGCAAAAATAACCTTTCAGGTCAAACTTATCTTTTTCAGACATCTCCACGAAGTGTGCAGAAAAGGTCAAAGTATAATATTTTCCGGTCAAATGCAAAACTATTCTCGCTTTTCGACAGCCTGAAATAGAAGTCTAAACGTTGTTTTTTTGTATTCAAATGAAAATTCGCAGACTTACAAAGAAGTCTACTTTCAAAAAAATACCAAAAGGTCAATTGCAAATCTAACCTTTTACGTTGACTAGCAGACTGTAAAAGAAGTCTACTTTCGCGAAACATAGCCCAATGTTAAAGAAAAGATTTAGATGTTTACCTCCTTCCAATTTGAACTCGATTAACTTTGACAGAAGTTCAGAATTTTTGAGATGCACGGAAAGAAAACCAGCCCAGAACTCGGTTATCCAAGAATCTCACAAAATATATGATTTGCGAATTCAAACATATCAATGTCGACTAAGAAAGAGATTTTTAGATGAAACCAGATAGAAATTTGAAGATAGAATGAAGTTTGAGCGGCCAAATAAGCATTTAGAGCTTCAAGTGCAGATGGGCAAGCATTAAGAGCTTCCATTTTGGTTGGTAATGGTAGTTGGCGAAATTGAAGATGATGACATTTTCGTGAATACTTAAAATAACTTAGGATGGGTATGTATTTTCCGAATTACCTAAAAAATTCGATAATTATAAATATAATAGCATTTATGTTATTATATGTGGCTTTAAAGAGAAAGTGGAGAGAAATTGGCTAATATTAAAGAGGGAGAAAAAAGAGGTTAAATTTGTATTTGACTTCAATGTTGAGGTCATATGTGCAAGAAGTCCATAAACAAATGAGTCTTGGATCTTGAAAAAATAGAAAATTATATACAAAGAAGAGAAAACATAGTATCTTGTGTTGCGCCTCCACTATCTCATCTGCCAACGTGAAAATAACATATAATCTAAGCAAAGAAACATTATATGCTTGATAAAAATAACAATATCCCCAACCAAAAAAAGAAAATAACAATATCCGATTAGTGTATATACAGAAACGATTTCTCATACATGCTATATATATATATATATATATATATATAGATAAATTGGTCAAATACATTAACATGGAAGATGTTCACGTGTTCTCTTGGTTGTCTTGGCGTAAGCCACTCTGTATAATCGAATAAGTGCATTGTAATTTTTTTTTTGTGTAACGTCGAAACCTCATTCATTAACTTGAAGAGACGAAATCATACAAATACTTTTTTTTGGTAAACTATTCGCTAGCATATTACAAACAAATAATATTTTCTTTTTATTCATCGAGTGAATTGTGTAAAGTTAACTTAAACTATTTTTTTTTGTTCAAATCCTTAAACTAATTATGAGTTCCTTTTTGTAAACAACTTTTCGTAAAACAAATTACTTTTAAATTGTTTTTTTTTAAGTTACAAATCCTACCGTTTTAAGCATTAAAACACCTTTTCCAGCTCTTTCAAAGTTTCGGGTAAAAATAAATATATGTATATAAGAAAGAAATATCTCAACTCTTAGAAATTGCATCATTGAAGTGTGTGATCAAATGTCTTTTTACGTCAATCTTTTGAGTGTGCAAATGTTTCGTTTCGTCATTCTTTCGTGTGCTTGTGTAATATATTGCCAAGTATAGTATTAGAATTACTTGCGGCAGTAATTCCGGGATTTTATCTTCTTTCTTATTCATTTTAGTGCACACAAAAGTAAATATCATTACTTTACTGAATCTTCGAATTAATGCCATCGTTTAAAATTTATAAATGTCTCGATATCATGCCAGAAGAACTGAAACCAGTTAACATACTTTAATTTAATTTCACGGATATTGTTAGAATGGTGTGGATAAATCAGCAATAAATTCATTAATTATAAGGTCGATTCAAATTGATTTCATTATCTTTTCTGTCTTTAGGACATCTCCAACCCTACCCCATTTCTTCCTCCAAATGCCATTTTGGAGGAAATTCTTCTCTAATCCTACCCTATTTTCACCTCCAAAATGGAGGAATGCCATTTTTTCCTCCAAATATGGAGTAACCCCATTTTCAACTCCATTTTGTAGGTGAACTTTTTTATTTACAAGATAATCCTTTACTTTTCATTAATTCTTAAAACTATATTTTTAAATTATAATTTAATCCTTTATATTATATATATTTAATTTAAAATTAAAAATAGATAGATTTAAAATTTAAGAATAGAAAATAAAAAATATAAGAAAATTAACTGAAACTAGAAATAATATAAAATTAAAAATACATAAAAAGTACTGAAATTACAAATAACATAAAATAAATTTATTACAACAACTGATTAATAAAAATCAGGTAAACTGATTCTAAATCCACCAAGATCATTAAAATATTGTCCAAATGAACCAGATTGAGTGTTATTTTATATTATAGTGGTTGAATTTAGAATAATATTATAATTTATGAAAGTTTTAAGAGAAAAAAAATAAATAGATTCATTTGTAAATTTGATAAATAAAGTGCATTATTAGTAATTAACAATAATAAAAAAAAAGAATATACTCAAAATATTATTTTTGGAGTTGAAAATGGAGGAATACATTGGAGAGAAATCTAATTCCATTTTGCAGTTCTCTCATTTTGGAGACAAAAATGAGGGAATACATTGGAGATGTTCTTAGCAGCATTTTTAGTTGAACAAATCATTTATGTCATTTTTCTAGAGGTTCATTTTTTTTGGATGAAAATAATCTCCAACTAATAATCTTGAATGTGACATTTGGTGAGTTAGGTGGATATATGTAACTGCTTGCTACTGGTTATAGACTTATAATTTCACTTTTTATCTTCTCACCTATTAACATCCAAACTCTCAACTGCAATGATAAAGATAAAACAGATATTTTATCAAATTTATAAATTAATATAGTTACTCGTATTTTAACTTCATATATGAAATTCCGGTGAGTTGGTATTGAAGCTGAGTCTCCATACTTAGCCAAAGCAACAAATTGTGGAAATGCAGAGCAAATGTTGGTAAGATTAAATGATCAAGAACATCATATGGTTTCACTTTCAGATAAACATGTTCATAGTAATGAGGTAACTTTATTAAAAAAAAAACATTCGAAAATTCGTCGCCGAAAACAAAAAGTCCACTACGGAATAAAATTCATCCAATCATGATAAGCAAAGCCATATTCGTGGGACCCATAACGCACACGACACAAACACAATTTACATTTCTGTACATACTTTTATTTTACATACAGTATGTTGACATTCTTTTGTTGACAAAAAGAATATTTTATCCAATATCTGATCTATCTGAAACTACTAAGACCATGTCCACTTCCGAAAAAGGGGTTCATCCAAATATCATAATATTTTTTTTTGGATTTTGTTTTTTTATTTTTTTAAATTTGAAAATTATTTTTTTGGACCATTTAAGATGCTCCACATGTGTGATGAACCTGGATAAACCTGTGTTAGGAAGAATCTGGGCCATGAACCTCTACCTTTAAAATTATTATTTTATTGAATTTCGTCTCAAAACCTGTGTCATGAACTCTTAAAGAACCTCTGATAGACATGCTCTAACATATTTTCTACATTTCTTTTCGATAAAAACATATTTCTACATTTCTTTCACGATAACCTAATCTTAAATGTGATTCAATAGTTAAAAAGTTAATAGGTAAAGATTAATATAGTTACCACTAAAAGAAAAAATTTATCCAACCACTTAAATATTCACCGCCATAGTTGTCACCAGATGAAATGATAATCTTTATAATTATAGAAACTTAAATGTCCTATAAAACCAATTGTAGGAGTTGACAAAAAAAAAATTGTCGGAAGCGATTATATCAAACTACAAATATGTCGACTGTTACTTTAATATATACGCCAACTCCAAGTTTGATATATGCTTGGAGAATATCGAAAACTCAAAATCTATAGAATTCAATTTTCTTCTCTATAGGAGTAACGTCATTTCCAATAAAACAATAAATAGAGGGGGAAAAAAAGTTTTTCCGTTTCGTTCTTTTAAACAAATGTCAAAAAAAAAAAAGAACTTTGAAATAAACATTGTCACAATGTAAAATTTTTGAGTTTTCCGTAACCTTTTTTTACACATTACAAAAAAAGAAAGAAAAAAAAGTCATAGAGCTTAATTGTATTTCCTTTTTGTTATCGTTTGCTTCAAGTTGAACCTCTCTCTCTCTCAGTCTCTTTCTCACACACACACACTCTCTCTCTCTATTGGATTCTTTTCTCTGCAATCAAAGCAAAGCTCTGGAAAATTTTTCTCTCCCTTTCTCCTCAAACTTTCTCTCTTCCAAGCTTCTTAATTTCAAATACGATTTAACAACAATGCACCAGTTTTCAATACTTGTGCACATTTCTACAGGTAAAAACTTCGATCCTCCTGAATTTTTTGCTGCACGCTGAGAAAGTCTTCTTTGGGTTTTTGCTGCTGAGGAAGACGAATGTTGGAAAAATGAGATTAAACAACGAAAATTTTAAAGAAATATAAAAGGAATTAAAGAAAGGTTTCCAAACGGCGTTTCAAAAAGTTTCGCGATTCTCGAGATTCATTTCAAATCCTTTCTTCCTTTCTTCTGTTCATCTTTTTTTTTTTTTTTTCAAATCAGGATCTAAAGCGTTGGCTGGTTTCTACAAATTTTCCCGAGAAAATTTCTAACTAGTATATAAGCATTTGCTAAGAAAGTCCAACTTCCGCAGCTAAATTTCGGTAAAATGTAGAGTCAAATTTTGACCTCTGAGCTTCTTTGGGTATCATTTGAAGCAGATGGGTTTATTTGTTTTTTTTTCTAATTTTATTTTATATGATTGAAGATACGAATTGATTTCGCTGAATCTATTATTATGAATTTTCTCGCAAGCTTTTGTTGAAGAATTTTGATGGTCAAGGTTATCAATTTTCTTATTTGAGAAATTAGTTGTTGTCCTCCTCTTACTCTGACATTGTAACATTAAACAAATCTTCTTTTTTTTCATCTCTGATCCATTATTATTTGTTTTTTTTTTTGGTTTGTTGCAGAGGCGTCTACAAGAGCTTGACGTTTAAGGGCTTTGTTTGATACATTATTGAGAAGAAATGGAAGGAGAATCGTTTGGTTTGATCGTTGGGATCTCACTGGGTTTGGTGATTGGTGTGGTGTTAGCTATCTCAGCATTGTTCTGCTTTAGGTACCATAGGAAGAGATCTCAGATTGTGAACAGTGGTTCAAGTAGAAGTGCAACGCTTCCCATCAGAGAGAATGGAGCTGATTCTTGCAACATTATGTCTGATTCCACGGTTGGTCCTGACTCACCTGTCAAATCCTCAAGCAATGGGAGGTCTATTTGGCTTGAAGGGTTTAGTAAGAGAAGCAATGTGATCTCTGCTTCTGGCATTTTGGAATATTCTTACAGGTTTGTCTCCTCCTGACAAGATCCTTGGTTTTAAAAATGCTATCAAGATTTTTCTGGATCAGAGTCTCCTGATAAGGTTTATTGTTTATTGTCTGTTAACCAATGAGGACTAGACTTCTCTTGTTGGAGCTCTTTGCCAATTCTTAAAGTTCTTTAGGAGGGGAATGCTGATTTTTTTTTTTTGGTAGTGTGTAGTTGGATCGGATGTTGTGAATAATCAAACCGAATCTTGACGGAGAAGATCATTTCTTGCTTTCTTGGTCTTATAATGAACATATGTTCTATGGTGGTTTGGTTGACTCAGGGATTTGCAGAAAGCAACATGTAATTTCACGACGTTGATAGGGCAAGGAGCATTTGGACCTGTCTACAAAGCTCAAATGTCCACCGGTGAGACTGTTGCTGTGAAAGTTCTTGCCACTGACTCTAAACAGGGCGAAAAAGAGTTTCAGACAGAGGTAAGATATATCTATGAAGTGTTCTTGATTATTCTGTATGAAACATAGTTATTCTTATCGTCTTCTTCAGTTTATTGCTAAACTCGCTCATTCGACTATATTTCTCAGGTTATGTTATTGGGAAGGTTGCATCACCGTAACCTGGTGAACTTGGTTGGATATTGTGCAGAGAAAGGCCAACACATGCTTATATATGTCTACATGAGTAAAGGAAGCTTAGCTTCTCACCTGTACAGTAAGCAACTCTACTCTATTTTAGATAATGTATTGATCTGCCTGTCAGTAAAAGAATGCAATGTAGATAATGTATTGATCTTTACTGAATCTTTTCAGCATAGTCACTCACCTCTACTATCTAACATGGTTTGGAATTAACCAATTCGATGAGCTTTCATACAAATTTGAAACACACTAAAAATGCTTTCTTGATACAGGCGAAAAACACGAACCTCTGAACTGGGATTTGAGAGTATATATTGCTTTAGACGTAGCACGCGGTCTAGAGTATCTTCATGATGGGGTAAGCTAAAATTGCTGAAACCATCCACCATCTTTAATGCATCTCTTAAGAAACAGAAACTTCAAAAGCCATGGTCGAATCAAATTTTTCCAGGCTGTTCCTCCTGTAATCCACAGAGATATCAAATCTTCCAACATATTGTTGGATCAGTCCATGCGAGCTCGGGTAAATATCTACTTTGTCCACTTGAGCTCATTTCATTACCTCAAGTTTTCTCATTGTGATTATCATTTTTTAACTTCAGGTTGCTGACTTTGGCCTGTCTAGAGAAGAAATGGTAGACAAACATGCTGCTAACATAAGAGGAACGTTTGGTTATCTTGATCCAGAGTATATCTCCACAAGAACATTCACCAAGAAAAGCGATGTTTATGGCTTCGGGGTTTTGCTTTTCGAGCTAATAACTGGAAGAAATCCCCAACAAGGTCTAATGGAATATGTTGAGCTGGTAAACCAACTAACAAAACGCATGAATCCCACATTTGTTTATTTGAAGAATTACATTAAAGACAACTTCTTGTTTTTTTGTTTTGTTTTTGATGAAATAGGCGGCGATGAATGCAGAGGAAAAAGTAGGGTGGGAAGAGATTGTGGATTCAAGATTAGATGGGACATTTGATTTACAAGAAGTGAATGAAGTTGCAGCTTTTGCTTACAAATGCATCTCTCGTGCACCGAGAAAACGTCCCAACATGAGGGATATTGTGCAGGCTTTGACACGTGTCGTTAAGGTGAGACATAGCAGAAAACGTCAGAAGAAGTCTCCTTCGCCTTCTCCGCCGCCTCCTCCTACGGTGGAGTCCGGTGATGAGCAAACCGGAAATAGATCAGTTCGGTCGGAAAATCATCACAGGAGAGATAATTCCATGGACAGTACACTTGAAGACTAGTGATGTATTGAAAAAAAAACAAAGGTATTAAAGTTTATAATTATAATTATTATAATATATTTTATTGGATTTCATTTCTTTTAGGGGTGGATTATAGGATGATTTGTACATTTTGTTAGGAGGAATGCTCTGATGTTGATGGTAACTCTAAAATTGTGGAAAGATTACTTGGTACCAAAATGCGATATAGAAATGTGTTTTTTCTCTCAAAAAAGGTTTGCTGATTGATTCGATGTAAGCAGTTAAGAAAGAAAAAAAAAAAAAGAAGGATTCATTTCGATGTTCATAAATTCGTAAAAGAAAATCGTAATGTAATTATCAAAAACCAAAACAATCGAAAAAGATTGGCGGGCAAGGCCATATTAAATCTTTGTCAATCAAGCCTTTGACGAACGAGAGAGAGTGAGATCGAGATAGTGAAAAAAAGTTTGTTATTCAATCAAGTGTCAATCTGTACAATTAGTCATCCTCTAACTTATATACACAATGTGTAAACCAATAATAAACCAACAGAATAATAAACCGAAATAACCGGTTTACTATCTAATATACCCTTCAAGTCGTTAGCTTCTGATCATCTGGAAGAAGATAAAGACTTGATACATTCATACGATCCAATAAAGAACGAAATGGACCAGGATGAAGTGGTTTGGTAAGTATATCAGTTAGTTGATTACCAGTAGATACATGAATGGTCTTGAGATTCCCAAACTTGAGTTGATCTCGCACCGTATGACAATCGATTTCTATGTGCTTCGTCCGTTCATGAAAAACTGGGTTTGAGGCGATATGAATGGCTGACTTGTTGTCACAAAACAACTTTGCCGGACATGTGACTGTAACATGAAGATCTCGTAGAAGTTGTTGCAACCAAATCAATTCACAAGTTGCTAACGCCAAACTTCTATACTCTGCTTCAGTACTACTCCTACTCACAACTGATTGTTTCTTCGATTTCCAGGAGATAAGAGAAGTACCAAGATAGACACAAAATCCTGTGACCGAACGTCTGGTATCTTTGCAAGTGGCCCAGTCAGCGTCAGCAAAGGCATTCAAGCATAATTCTGTATTAGCAGAGTACATCAATCCTTGGCCTGGATTATTCTTGATATACCTAAGTACTTTATGTGCTGCTTGAAGGTGAATGTCCGTTGGGGCTGATAAGAACTGGCTCAACTGATGCACAGCAAAAGTAATATCCGGTCTGGTAATGGTAAGATAGAGCAGTCGACCAACTAAAGCTCTATATGCCAAGGGTGTATGTAGAGGTGTTCCGAGATCCTTTGTAAGATGAAGATTCGAATCCATCGGAATAGTACTAGGCTTACAACCCAATAAACCAGTATCTGCTAATAAGTCTAAGGCATATTTTCTCTGACAAATAGAGATACCAGCAGAAGATCTTGCAATCTCAAGTCCCAAAAAAAATCTTGCTGGACCAAGGTCTTTGATTTGAAAAGCTGACCTGAGAAGCATCTTCAGACTCTCAACGGCTGCATCATTGTTGCTGGCTATCATTATATCATCCACATATACCAGCACAGCAACAAAAGATGTAGAAGTCACTCTGACAAATAATGTGTTATCAGCCGGAGATTGAATATAGTTAGCACCCATCAACACAGAAGAAAACCGTTTTTACCACTGTCTAGATGCCTGTTTTAAGCCATAAAGAGACTTACGTAGGCGACAGACAGGATTAGAAGGTAAAACAGTACCTACTGCAGGGTAACCCGGTGGAAGCCTCATGTAAATCTCCTCTTCCAGATCTCCATGAAGGAAGGCATTGGAGACATCCATTTGTGTGAGACTCCAACCTTTCGCAGAAGCAAGGCCAAGAAGAAGCTTTACACTCGTTAACTTTGCAACATGAGAAAAAGTGTCGATGAAATCCACTCCCTCTTGCTGTGTGAAGCCCTGAGCAACTAATCTCGCCTTGTATCTTTCAACCGAACCATCTGAGTTGTACTTTATTGTGAAAACCCACTTACAACCGACCACGTTCTTATCTGGAGGTAAAGATTCCACATCCCAAGTATGTTGGACCTCGAGAGCTTGAAGCTCTACATTCACAGCTTTAGACCATTTCTCAGAGGCCATGGCTTGTTGGAATGTTTTCGGTTCAGTCTCCACATCATAGGCAAAGATATATGATTGGTAAGGGATGTTTAGATGGTCATAAGAAAGAACCGATGATAATGGATAAGGCGTAGTATGTGAAGGGGAAGGTGTGTATGATGAAAATGGTAAAAGGTTACAATGATACTGGGAAAGATAGTTTGGAACCCTAGTAGTTCGTTTAGGCCTAGCATTAGATACAGAACTAATATCTATATCATGTGTCCCTGTATTAGACAATGTTGTGGTACTAAGATGTGCATGTAAATGGGATGCAGTATCTAATGAAACAGATGCAGGTGGATGTGATGTATTAGATGCAGGTGGATGTGATGTAACCGATGCAGGTGGATGTAACGAATCAGATGTAGATGGATGCGATGAATCAGATGCAGGTGGATCAGGTAATGGCATGGTTTCAACAAAGTGTAATGGAGCAGGTAATGGTAAAATCGTATTAGGAAACATGTCAACAGTTTCAGAAACAAATTCACTCGTCTTAAAAGGAAAAATGGTTTCATGAAAAACGACATTTCTAGAGATAGACACAGAACGAGATTCTAAATCCAGAACTTTATAACCTTTATAACCAGAAGGGTATCCAAGAAAAACACAAGGTTTGGCCCTAGGTGAAAACTTGTTTCGATCTTTAATCAACGTTGAAGTGTAACACAAAGAACCAAAAGCTTTTAACAGTTTATAATCAGGAAGCTTTCCTAAAAGCAATTCAAAAGGGGATTTATTATCAAGTAATGGAGAAGGTAATGTATTTATCAAGAAGACAGCAGTGAATACACAATCACTCCAGTATGGCAAAGGTATGTTTGACAGAAAAAGTAAGGATCTAGCCACATTCAATAAATGTTGATGCTTACGTTCAACAACAGAGTTCTGTTGAGGAGTATAAGCACATGAGAAGTAGTGGAAGATACCTTGTTCTTTTAGTAAAGATGTAAAAGCCAATTCGGGTGCATTATCTGAACGTATTTCCTTAACTTTGCCATTATATTGAGTCGAAATCAAAGTAAGAAAAGCAGGAAATATATTCGAAACATCTCCTTTTTTCTCAACATGTATAACCAAGTGACTCTTGTACAATCATCGACCAAAGTCAAAAAAATATCTATACCCTTCTACAGACTCAATACTAAAAGGACCCCAAATGTCCAAATGAACTAAATCAAATGGCTTAGAAGCCAAATTATTATGAGAAACATATGCTAATCCTTTCTGTTTAGCTAATAGACACACAGAACAATGAGACACTTCAGAAGAAACATGTTTAAAGCCAGGTAACAAATCTTTGAGTTTGAATAAAGTTGCTGATGAGGGATGCCCAAGGCGATGATGCCAAAGATTCCCATCAGCCAAAACTGAACCACAAAACAATGCAGGAGGTGATGATGAGAGGGTTGCATTCTCAAGAATGTAAAGGTTGTGGTAAAGTTTACCCCTCCCAATCATCGAGCCCCGAGAAAGTTCCTGAATCAAACAACAGGTGGAATAAAAATGAGCAGAACAGAACAATATTTTAACAAGAACACTAACACTAATGAGATTAAAATGAAAATCAGGTACATGCAAAACATTATGCAAAACTAATGATTCCGTATTGTATATTGTGCCCGTGTGTGTAATAGGAACCTTAGTACCATTTGGAAGTGTAACAGTAACACTAGATACAAGTACAAGTTCTCTAAACAATTCTAGATCAGAACAAACATGACTAGAGGCTCCACTATCTATAATCCATGCATCACGGGGAAGGAAATGTTGTAGTGACGATAGGCAATGATTTTGAAAAGTAAGGCGGTTATCTTCATATCTAAGACTAGTAGATGGGAAAGAGACATTACCCGAAGTACTGATTTGAGCCATGACACCCTGGTCAGTAATGGTAGCTGTATTTGAAGTAGAAGCAACAGGCTCTTGAGTTTGCACTTGAGATTTAAATTGAGAAATCAACCCTTGAATTTGCTGTGGAGTGAAATCCTGGAGATTCAGATTAGCACCACCACTAGTCAGATGAGGCATACCCTGAGGAGCTTCATACGGATAATAACCACCAGAGTCTGAATAGACATTAGCAACTGCATTTGCATTCTGGAAAGACTGAGGCATCTGCATTTGTGGCATCCGTGGCTGAGTTTGTGTTTGTTGCATCCTTGGCTGAAACGGAGGACGAAACCCATTTCCATTACTCTTGTAGCCCGGTGGAAAACCATGTAGCTTGAAGCATTTGTTAACAATGTGACCAATCTTTCCACAATATGTACAAACTGGCTTTTGCACTGGATGAGCAGTATTATAAGCTGCAACATAAGCATTCTCCTCAGTATAACCTTGCAACAATTGTCCATCTTGCTGCACAGGTGTATTGGCATTAAACGCCACAATATTAAATTTTGTAGTAGGTCGAATAGACTTTTGCCTTTCACCTTGACATACAATGTTGAAGGCTTCTTCAATCGTTGGAATAGGCTTTAACATGAGTATATGACACCGAGTCTGTTCATAAGACTCATTAAGTCCCATTAAGAACTTAGTAACTCGACTCCGATGCTGCAATTTCTCCCATAAAGCAGCTGCATCACATTCACATTTGCCACAAGTACAAACTGGCAATTCCACAAAATTCTTATGTTCTTCCCATAAGGTAATCAACTCAGTATAATACGCTGATACATCCATCGATCCTTGTTCAATCTTACTTAGCCTCTGTTCTATGTCATAAACTCTAGGTGCATCATCTTGTTTAAATCTAGACATCAATTTTTCCAGATTTCTTCAGCTGTAGAGATAAACAAGAGACTCTGCCCTATCTTCTTTGAAACCGAGTTCATCAACCATGTTGCAACCATATCGTTACAACGAGACCAAGCACCATACGTTCTATCATTCTGTAAAGGTCGAGGAATCGTACCATCAATGAATCCGATTTTGTTTCTGACATTCAAAGCCATACGCACAGATCTCCTCCATGAGTGAAAATCCGAAGCAGTCGTAAGTCGATCGGAAACAAGAATAAGACCAGCATGATCGTTTGTATGGAGATAATACGGATTCTCATAGTGATCTTGTGTATTCGAAGATTGAGCATTAGGATTCACCATAGAAGGACTCGGAACTTGATGTGTAGCTTGATTATTCATGATTCAAGAAAAAATCAAAGAAAATAAAAGAAAATGCGTCGAGAGAGCAAGAAATCGAACGCACAAAGGTCAATCAAAGAGAAATCAAAAAAATCAGGACGGAGAAGCATGAAACAACTCCGATTACACAATCCGCAACAATGGCGTATAGTAGCTCAAGAAGATGAAACGAAATCGGAATCGCACAACTCATTCTCAATAGATCTCGAAGCACGCAGAAGATTCATTGAAGCTCTGATACCATATTAAATCTTTGTCAATCAAGCCTCAAGATCATTGACGAACGAGAGAGAGAGTGAGATCGAGATAGTGAAGAAAAGTTTGTTATTCAATCAAGTGTCAATCTGTACAATTAGTCATCCTCTAACTTATATACACAATGTGTAAACCAATAATAAACCAACAGAATAATAAACCGACATAACCGGTTTACTATCTAATAAGCCATTCATCTTGATCTATTTATTATATAGACTTATTAATTCTTCATTTTCATTCTCTATCTTCAATCTCACTTGGCACATTCACGATGTCTCTGCTTCTGAGTCGGCTCTCGAGACCTGCGTTGGTGAGAAGATCATCTCTTCTTCATCATCTTCTTCTCTCTAAAGGCTTCTCATCTTCCTTGCTGCAAACCCCTCCTTGCTTCATCGTCACTGCTTCTCCTTGTGGAGAAAATCTCGGAAAACTCGTGGTTATGTATGCTAATGGACGTGGATGCACTGACTTGGAAAAGAAGGTGCCTCTGGAGTTGGTGGATAGCGATCTAAGGGTAACGATCGGTGCATCTTATGGCTGGGTAGCTGCTTTGAACAAGGACGATGGGATCCTGCGTCTCCAAGACGATCTAAACCCGTTTGCATCGGATACAGATCCCAAACGCATCTCTCTGCCTCCTCTTGTAACTTTGCCTTGTTGCCAAACCCAAATGGTCACCAACGTGTCCATGTCCCGAAGATGAGGACTGTGTCGTGGCTGTCAAGTTCTTGGGACCTCAGCTCAGCTTTTGCAGACCAGCTCAGAGTAACAAACCCGAGTGGACCAACGTCAGAATCGAAAACCCCTGTTTCTACTCCTCTCCTGTCATGTTTTCCAATAAAGACGACATGTTTCGCATTCCTGGATCCCGAGGCCACTTCATTAGATCATGGGATCACCGCACAGAAAACCATAAACCTAAGTTTCAGAGGTTGCGATTTCAAAACCTTCCTGAGCTGACCAAGACCAAGCGAGAGCTTTTGCTTTCTTGCTGCACAAGCGAACACTTGGTGGAGTCAGTGCCGGACTAATCAATTTAAATGCCATAATCTAAATTTTAAACAATGTTATTTTCTATATTTTGTTTTCAAAATTAAAAAAATACAAATTTTTTTTTAAAAAAAATCATAAATTATTTCAACTCCATAAATAGTTTATAAAAATGCAAAAAATAAAACTAGTATTTTATTGTTGAAATATGGTTTTCTTGGCATTTTTTCCTGCAAAATCGTTCATTAAACTCTCATAGTCTAGTTTTTCAGCCATAGGTGTCTCAATAGATAACAAAACTAGCCCATTTAATCGCTCTTGTGACATGGTAGATCGCAAATAATTTTTTATCAGCTTCAACTTCGAAAAACTTCTTTCAGCAGTGGCAACCGATACCGGAACTGTTAACAATATGCGATAAGCAACTTCTGTGTTTTGATAACAATCATCCATTTGTTTCAAAAAATCAAGCACTTCAATAGGCTACCGAACTTCATTTAGTATTGAAACTCAAAGAATTTTCAATTCCATAAACATATCATCACCAACTATGTCTGAATGCATATCATTCGTTAAAAAAGCCTCCAAGTTTGCACATGATTTCCTCAAATAATTCTCGCTTACTGATGTCAGTTTTTTTAACCAAACAAAAACCCAAAAGTTTGTTTATACTTTTGAAATTGTTGTTCAAATCTGGATTCAAGAGAAACTAGAGCTTGATCCATGAGTGTATTGAAGTAATCAAACCTGAAGCTTTCTTCAAGCGATAATAATACGTTTTCATTAGTTATCTCATTGTCTTCATCAAAATTTTAAATTTTGTTTATTTATATATACTCATTATATAAGAAAAATTAATTAAAATATGCCCCTATAAATTGGATGCCTAATCCGTCGCCTATTTCGCCTATGCTCTAGACCGGCCTTGGGTGGAGTCAGTGAGTCACCAGGCGAAACTTTCTTGGTTAAGTGGTATAGGAGAGCCACTCCCAGTGGTGTGGTGAGAATGAAAACGAAAGCTTTGATGGTGTACAAGCAAGACGATGAAGGAAACACTCTTTACACGCAAGACATTGGAGATCTCTGCATTTTCATCTCAAAGTCTGGACCTTTCTGCGTCTCAGCTAGCTCCTTTCATGGCATGTGCTCTAACAGCGTCGAAGTCTTGGATGTGGACAAATGGGCATGTGTAGATCTGCCTGATTACTTTATCATTAGTCAAAATCCTTCATCCAGGCATCCTTACTACATACCACCTCAAAATATAGACTAGTAGTGTTTGAAATTGAATCTGAGTCTTGAATCTTGGAAACATCAAATCTTCTGTTTTTTTTTCTTTTCAAAACATCAAAATTATGCTTTATGAAATCTCTATTACTCAATCCATAAGTTTTCATCTATAAGACATGCTATTGTCTCAAAATGGGCCATCCGCCATCCATAACTCGCTCATTGGCCTAGTTTTTTTCAGGTTATATATGTATTGGGAAGGTTGCATGGCCATAACCTAGTGAACTTGGTCGGCTATTGTGCGGAGAAAGGCCAACACATGCTTATATATGTCTAACATGAGTAAAAGAAGCTTAGCTTCTCACTTGTACAGTAAGCAATATATATATATATATATATTAATGCAGACGAGTTCAACGTTTTGAAAATGACCATGTAAAGGAACACAACAACTATTTGAATTATTGGTTATGGATTTTTTTTTTTTTTTGGGTCTTTTGATTTTTACAGAGAACCAAATGATAGTGTCCTTTGTTTGGGAACAAAAAAACAACAAAACATCTAAAACTTGATGAATTGTTGAATGAGTTAAAATAAGCCAAAACTTAATATATAAAACCTACAAGTTTGGGTGTATTTTAGGTCAAGCCGAGTCTAAGCCCAGTCTAAGCCCAGATAAAAACCGCTAGTTAAGTTTATTGATTATAAACGGTGTCGTTTCAGAGTCTAGCTATAATCGTTATCCACGTTTTATCGTCATCAGTCGAACGGATAGGACGAAGAAGAAGAAGAAGAGGAAACAACTGTTAGCCCATTTCGCAGTGGAAGTTGCAGAGCGAGAGAACAAGTTCAAAAAATGGCGACCATGTCTGCTCTTCAGAGCTCTTTTACTTCTGTCTCTCTATCATCCAACTCCTCCTTCCTCGGCCAGCGTCTCCTTTCCCCGATTTCCCTCTCCGTCGCTTCTCCGGTAACTCCGAATTTCGATTTCTGGCTCTAATCTCTCGCCCTATGTTTCCAGTCTCGTTCGAAATTTGAGATTCTGAACTTCACTTGGGTGCGTTGTTATCATTTTCGCTGATTATGGTCTTATGACTAATGGAATGGTACATCTATTGTTTTTCGTTGAAAGAAATCAAAGACATTTCCACGTTTAGGTTGAATTTGTAGTTGTACGGATTTATATCTTTCATTGGACCTGTAGATTAGGTTTGTTATTTTCGTTTTTGATATGGGAAATTTTCATGCCCAATTGAAGAAAATTCTCTCAAACGAGTGAAAATTGAAAAAAACAAAATTATGTGTTGTTCTGTGCCCTATGGATTATGTTTACTAGACTATGGGTTGAAGAATGTGCATCGTCAATTTCTTATGTGTTACTACTCGACTGAGATGAAGTAATGAGAGCTTGAATTTTTCATAAGTTTGATATTTCCTAAATGGAATGCTGTTTTTCTCTCTACTTGCCTTGGCGATGCAACTGTGACTAGAATGAAATCTGTTTTAATGTGTAAAATCAAACTTTAGTTTGTGGTCATAATCATCTCTGAACGTTATGGCCATGGCTCACATTTCGAAGACGAAAGTGGTTTTTGTTTTTTTGTGCATTTGGTCGCATATGGTTTTGCTCCAACATATTGAGTCTGAAGAATGGTTTTGCAGTTTTTCTTGATGTTTTCGTGTTAAGTGCAAAAATGGCTGTAGTTGGATGGTTCCTTATAACTCTGCTCATCTTTTGTACTCATTGCAGGTCAAGCCCGCCGAGAACCCATGTCTTGTTCTTGCAAAGGTTAGTAAGCAAATCATTTGTCAACCTTTCTGGATACGAAACTTTGGATTTTTATGCCTGAGAATCAAAAAGGAAATTGTTGATCACATTCCTTGATATCTAAGTGCATCACCAGGATTCTTGTTCGTATGTTTTGATTGTTGTTGTGTATTTCACTTTCAGCTTAAGCGTTGGGAACGAAAAAAATGCAAACCAAACAGTCTTCCAATTCTGCACAAAATGCATGTCAAGTTTGGAGACACGGTCAAAGTAATATCTGGACGAGACAAGGGTAAAATTGGAGAGGTCACTAAGATCTTTACTCACAACAGCACCATCGTTATCAAAGATATAAACCTCAAGACGAAACACATGAAGAGCCGAGAAGAAGGAGAACCTGGCCAAATTGTTAAGGTCAGTCCACTAAAATGACACACTTTCTTTATTTTATTTGCAAAACAGAAACCATATTTTGTTAGCTCCCTTCACTCTGTCTTTAACGAAACTCGAGTGATGATTAAAAATGTATTACATTTTCCAGATCGAAGCACCGATCCACAGCTCAAATGTGATGTTGTATTCAAAAGAAAAGGAGGTGGTAAGCCGGGTGGGTCACAAGCTCCTTGAAGATGGACAGAAGGTAAGATATCTGATCAAAACAGGGGAACTTATCGATACCATTGAGAAGTGGAAGCAACTTAAGGAGGCAAAGGATAAAGAAACAACCCAAGTTGCAGTTGCCTCCGCATCTTAGGCATCTCACTTGTTTCTTCTTCGTTGCACTTTTGATTTATAGACTAATGGACCTATGCATTTGATGGATGTATTGAATCCCTTTTTAAGGTAAAAGTGTAAAATTTCTGCCACATAAACACCTTTTTGCTTCTCTTAGTAAGCGTAGAATGATATTTGGAAACAGGTCATTTATTCAAAATATAAAATCCTTATGAGTATATTACAAATTTGAGTGCATTCTTAAAGCTATGGAATAACAAATCTCAAAAGTTTTTCAAGAAACGACAGAGATTCTACAAACACCTCAAATTAAAAGTCTAAACATTAGTCTTGAAGCCTTTGGAAATCAGCTCAGTTTTGGGTTTTGGTACCTTCTTCTGCGTATTGCGCTTCCACCTCACGTAGAACACAAGTAGATAAACGAGAAATCCGAGTGTAACCATCATATAGATATTAACGAAGAAGGAAAGGAGCACTGTACCCTTGAGATTATACTTCATGTAAACCGAGATTGCATAAGAGCAGACGAGAGGCACCGTGATGAATATATACCACCAAGTATACGCTTTACCAACTGGTAAGAGTATAAACGTCAAGGCAATAGACAAGAAAAATGCTGTAGTGTTGAATCCCCATAATAGCACGATCTTGGATAGGAGGAAGTCAATGCCATCTTTGTTGTCACTTTTTTCTTTATCTTCTGGTTGTGATGCGGTCTGATAAGTAGCTGTGATTATCAAAGCTGTTATTACAAGAAGAGAGTTTCGTGTTCCGTCTGACATGCTGCTCCTGTAACGTGCGATTCCCGTTGAGCAATATTCCTTGAAAGTGACCGGCGTTCTCAGGAAGACAGACATTGTCTTTACCTTGGTTAGAGATTCCCCGGTCTTACCACCGGATTTTTGTATGATTTTCTCTGTATTTTTGTTCATGTGAGATCCATTGGCTCGTAAGACATCAAGTGCTGTCTTACCACTTTTGTTCTTGATGTTCCGGTTCAATGACATGCAGTTTAACAGCTGTTTTATTGCCTGTATATATAGATGTTTCAGGACAAACCATTCATTTATTAGACATCTCTAATATATAGTTCAAAGAAGATGATATATCACTAAAAAATAACATATGATAAATTCCTACAAAAATTCTTACAAGAAAACATGATAAATTTCTACAAGAAAACATGGAAAATATTTTACCAATTATTTACGGAATTATAACAAAATATACAAATGGTAGGAAATTGGTAGAATTTCTTTTTACGTATGTGAACGTACTAGATCATTTTTTACGTAATTCATGTAAGGTTAATGACATACAATATTATGTGTGATAATGGTTTGCTAGAACAAATTTTTAAGATCTAATTGTATTTTAGGCATATTACGAATAGCATGTGATTCTATTAACAAATGAAATAAGCTCAAATCTTTAATTAAGTCATTGAACTAAACACCTATGATAAAATTGACAAAAGTTAGAGTGTGACTTTGCAGACAGTTTCAATCTTCAAAAACATAAAAAGAACATACCTTGTGATTATTCTCGTATGCCGCTAGGTGCAAGGCCGTGTTGCCTTCTCGGTCGCATTTGTTCAAGACGTGAGTCTCGGTGGATAAAGCATCACTTTCACGCATTCTCTGCATCCACCCTGTGAGAACTTTGAGCTCTTCGTATTTTTTGTTCATAACAACGATGTGTAAAGCAGTTTCTCCATTTACATTCGCATCTCTAATGCTTTCAGGACATGCCAGAAGAAACTCTGTAAGAAGATTGACGTCACCTTTCTTTGCCACAAGATGCAAAGGTGTCATACCTGTCGTCGTTATGAGAAAGAACAAAACTCACTCATCAAGTTACCTTTTATATTTTATATGTTTCAAATATGGGATTTTTAAACCTAATAAAAACATTAGGAAAAGAATCACACAGAAAAAAAAGGAGTTACGATTTTTAACTATAAATACCTCCTCTTCCAAGAATACGAACAAGAGTGGGATCAAACTTGACTAGCTCTAGTGCTAACTCAGCTTGGTGGTTTTCGACAGCGAGATGTAACGGACTAAACCCATCCTCGTTTAGTTTCTTGGCAAAAGATGGCTTTAGAATCATCAGTTCCATGGCCAAATCTGTCTTCCCAGTAGACGAAGCTTCATGGAGAGGTGTGTGGATGAAAGGTAACACGTCAACGATTTGAAGAATGCATGGATCTTTCTGAATAAGAGAATATAAAGCATCAACGCTACCCGATTGAGTAACCAAAACCAATCTTGGATCCATACACTTACAAAGAAAGAAATATATTATTTGTAAGGTCCAATGTAAGAAGAAACGACTCCACGCATTTTCTTTATATATATTTTTTTACAGTCTTAGTATTGAGTCTATTGACTTAATTAACCACCAATTAATTTTGTCAGTTTTAGAATAAGAAACAAACTATGGGCTGCTTCTAAAAGAAGAACAAAGGCCGGTTTCTGAAAGTAAAAGACAAAGGCGGCTTCTCACCTAAAGTAAAATCAGTGAATCAACGCTAGGATATAAATAATTGACTTAACACAATAACACTCTTAAAAAACATTTTCAGCTTAAAAGTGAGAACTCGGAATCTTATGTAGTTATTTATTTTTTAATGAAGACCATTGCAAACATAAAATAAAGCTACTAATAAAACTGGAATACAACTTTATTGGTTAAGCAGAAACGAGTCCAACCATTTTCTTTATATCTTTATATAGTTTTTTTTTACATTGACTTAATAATCACCAATTATATTGGTCAGTTTTAGAAGAAAAAAACAAATGGTGGGCTGCTTCTAAAAAAAAACAAAGGCCGGTTTCTAAAAGTAAAAGAAAAAGGCGGCTTCTCACCTAACGTTTAATCAGTGAATCAACGCAAGGATATAAAATAATTGACTTAAGGCTCTTAAAAAACATTTTCAGTTTAAAAGTGAGAACTCCGATTCTTATGTAGTTATGTTTTTTTTAATCAAGACCATTGCAAACATAAAATGAAGCTAATGATAAAACTGGAATACAACTTTATTGGTTATGAAATTTCACCGAGTTTAAGCTTGTGTTCTTAAAGGATCAGACATAGCAATCAGACCAGTTGAACTAGCCAATTCACGGGTCAGGAAGAAAAAAAAGTCAAACCCCCAAAACCAGCACTTTTATCGAACCGGCCAGTTCACCGGTCATACATAAACCATTAATTTCCTCTTCATTGCACTTTTGATTTATAGACTAATTAATGGACCTTTGTGCTTGATGGTGAATCCTCTTTAAGGTAAAGTGTATAAGTTTCTGCCACATAAAACACCTTTTTCGCTTCCTCTAGTAAGCTTAGGTTGAACTTTAATCATGTAAGTTATTCATAAGATAGAATCTTAAACAGTATATTACAAAAGGAGTCCACGTACAAAGCTATGGAATTTTTCAATATCAATCCTCAAAGTTTTACAATGAACAAAGAATCTACAAACGCTTCAAATGGCTAAACCATGGTCTTTGAGTCTTCGGAAACCAGCTCGCTTTTGTGTCTTGGTACTTTGTTCTGCATAGTCCGCTTCCACTTCACGTACAATACAAGTACATATATGAGAAATCCGAATACAACCATCAGATACATGATTAAGAATGCTAATAAGAATGGTAGTGGGAGCATATACTTCAGATACACCGAAATTGCGTAAGAGCAAACGAGAGGCGCCGAGATGAAGATATACCACCAAGTGTATGCTCTACCAACTGGTAAGAGTATAAACGTCAAGGCAATAGCCAAGAGAAAGGCTATAGTATTGAGTCCCCATAGTAGCACTATCTTTAATATGATTTCTATGAAAGATAGTTTGTCTTCTATGTCTTGATCTTCTTGTGGTTGGGCTGCGGTCTGATAAGTAGCTGTGATTATCAAAGCTGTTATTACTAGAAGAGCGTTCCTTGTTCCATCTGACATGCGACTCCTGTAGCGTGCCATTCCCGTGGAGCAATATTCCTTGAAAGTGACCGGTTTTCTTAGGAAGACAGACGTTTTCTTAACTTTGGATAGAGAAACCGCGCTCCTACCACCCGCTTTCTGTATGATTTTCTCCGTATCTATGTTCATGTGACGTCCATTGGCTCGTAAGAGATCAAGAGCTGTCATACCACCTTTGTTCTGGATGTTGCGGTTCAGTGACATGCATTTCAACAGCTGTTTTACTGCCTGTATAATATACAGATATGCAGAACAACATAATTCAAAGAAGACGAGTGTGTGAATTTTAAGGTCTAATAGTATCTGACTACCTCGGATTACATAGCAAATATACTAGTATGATAGTAACAATGGTTTCGGATCAACCGCTTAAATACCCTATAGGATAAAAGTCTATAGAAAGGGTAAGAACATGCCTGGTGATCATTCTTGTATGCCGCTAAGTGCAAGGCCGTGTTGCCTTCACGGTCACGTTTGTTCAGGACGTGAATCTCGGTGGATGAAGCATCACTTTTGCGCATTCTTTGCATCCACCCTCTCAGAACTTTGAGCTCTTCATATCTATCGTTCATAACAACGATGTGTAAAGCAGTTTCTCCATTTACATTCGCATCTCCAATGCTCTCAGGACATACCAGGAGAAACTCTGTAAGAAGATCGACATCACCTTTTTTTGCCACAAGATGCAATGGTGTCATACCTGTCCTTACGAGTTAAAAAAAAAAACAAAAAATATTTAAATATCTCAATAAGAAGTAACTAATTTTATGTTATATGTTTCAAAAAAAATTTGTTCTAAACCTAATAAAAAACAAAAATTCAGAGAACAAACAAGAACTAAGAATTTGAAGCAAATACCTCCTCTACCACAAATACGAACAAGACTGGGATCAAACTTGACTAACTCTAGTGCTAACTCAACTTGGTGATTTTCTACAGCGAGATGCAATGGAGTAAACCCATCCGCGTTTAGTTTCTTAGCAAAAGATGGCATTAGAATCATCAGTTCCATCGCCAAATCTATCCCCAATAGACGAAGCTTCATGGAGAGGTGTGTGGATGAAAGGTAAAACAGCGACGTTTTGAAGAATGCATGGATCCTTTTGAAGAAGAGAATATAAAGAATCAACACTACCCGATCGAGTAACCAAAACCAATCTTGGATCCATTCTTGCAAACAAAGAAAAAATAATTTGAAGGACCAATTTAAGAAGAAACTAGTCGAAGCATAGTCCTTACTCCTTACATTAAGTTTATTGGGGTTTAGTTACATGATTTTTCTGAGTATTGAGTCTATTGACTTAATCGTCACCACTCATCTTGGTCATCAATAATTGAGTCACCGCTAGGTTACAAAATAGTTGACTTAGACTGCCCAATAATATAAAAATCCGTGTCCATCTTTCATTCTTCACCCCAATAAAAATAATTTCTAACCTGCTTACTGAATTATTCATGAGAATTGGGGATTTTATTTATTTATTTATTTATTTATTTCTAATTAACTACCGTTGCGAAGATTATGAAATTTCATCAAATGTACTCTTCTTGCTTCTCTATATTGCTATCACGCAATGTGATCTCATACACATTGGAATTAGTTTTTATTTTTATTTTTTGTGTGTGTTATAAAGCATAAATAGACGGGTTTAGGTCCCTTTTCACTACCAAATTTTGGTAGATGAATAATTATATCAAAGATCCGAATATGGCGACATAAATTGTTGTCGAGTGAGACGTCATGTGATATGATCCACCCCTACGTACTTAGGTTGAATAATTTGTGTTCTTATTCTTAAATCGCTGAATCCACTAGAATGGAATTATCAAATCCAAAAACTGAACCAAGTAGTTGTTTCATCAAAATATTGGTCGAAATCATGAATCGGTTCTAGTATAGGTACTATAGTGTCGGATCTTTCATATGAGATTTGGCTTAAGAAGAGCTTAATTATTGAACAATAAAAAGCCGATCTAAACTATAAAAGCCCAAATATAAATAAGCCTAGTGCCGGATATAATCACTTGAAGTGGAAGTATAATCAATTCTACACAATGATCCGATATAATGACACGTTTAACAATTCATCATTTGAATAAAATATTTTCTATTCTAATAGATTCGAAGAATCGATGGATTGGGAAATCACCTCCACACAGAGATACGCATATCTGGTTTGGAGACTCATCATGAAACTGTCAACAACAATGTTAAAGAGCTCAAATCTGACATGATAACACTCAAAGACAACATGGTGGAGCTGAAGAATGACTTTAAGGCAGATATGATTGACCAAAGAGCTACACTAAATGCAATCTTAAAGTATTTCAGTGTTAATACCACTACTCTCCAACCTTCGGTTCCTGTTACTACTGACCCTTCTCCTACTACCCAAGCAAAATAGTCTAACTTAGATTAGTGGTATGCTAATTTAAATTAAAGTTTGCATCTTTTGTAAGACTTTTTAACTTTATAAATCTTTTGCTAGTGTATGATTAGATCTTTTGTATAACCTGTATGATATTGGAATTTCAAATTCAAGATACCAGGTTTTATTTTTTTAGATTTTTCTTTTGCCTAATTTAAGATTAACCATGTAAGGGAATGTGATATTTTTGTAGTTTTAGAGCTTAGCCACGAAATTAAAAGTCACAAACATAGTCACGACAATTGGCTAGTCAATTAGCCACGTTTTAGTCATATGAATATCGTGGCAATTTTAGCCACACAATAACAACGAAGTAAACACTCTATATAGCCACATCGATCGTTGTGTGGCTTTTTCGTGACTAAATCAGCTACGAAATAACTTTGTCTAAATCGTGATTAAATAGACACGAAAAGCCATAAAAAAAACTAGTCACGATCCTATAGACACGATTTATTTTCGTGTATAATCACGAAAATTAGATCTTAGCCACGAAATATTCAGTGGCTATACGATATTTTTTTACCAGTGTAATTAAGTTACGATGAAGAAATATATCTTAAAGAGAAACTACATATTACATCAGATTTTTAGTCATCATTCCTCCACTATTGTATATGGAACATATATACGTACTTCGACATGAGCGTATATATAGTTGAGTAGTTGTAAGCGGATAATGTTCTCGTCATTATATAAAAGATCCGAAAATGACGACATAGATTGTTGTCGAGTGGAGAGAATTAATACAAGGTATTGTACATATATATATTTCAATTGTCAATGAGACGTCATGAGGTATGATCCCACCGTAACTTCGGTTGAAATAGATAGACTGTCCATATCACGACTCGTTTGTCAATTGTCATTCGTTCCAAATACATACGATATTTATACGTACATGTATACACTTAGATACATATATCTGCAATGCCACATTTTCCATATTTTCCATATTTGTCATTTTGTAATTCTTTTTTGTCAACAAACAAATAACTGATGAAAAGAAATATTGATTAAATCAAAATATACATCACAAATATTTTGCGGAGCCTAAGATAGTATGATATATAACTAACTATTTATAACGTCGATCGACTTTATATTTCTTTTCAAAATTCGAAATTTCAAGATTTGAAACTTGGATTATTATTGGGCTCGCAGATTCTGATTTTTTTTTCCTTTTTCTCAGCGGATATTGATGAGTGGGTGGCTTATGCAGATATATCTATTAAAAGCTCCAAAATAAATTTTTGCATGGGATAGAATTTTGTCGTTACCTTTGAAGTGAGCTTGTCTCGCTGACATTATGGACCATTTCTTTCATTCGTTTTAACAAAATGCCTAATTATCATTAATGTAGTTTTTTTGTTCTTGTTTGCCATGTTAGTTTTTAGCTAGTATATAAAACCGGATGTGCGTAATCTATGAGACTAGGACTAAAAGAGCTTGGCTCCAGAAAGAAAAATTGAAGCAAAAGAAAACGAAATTGTTTTTGGGTCGTCTGACAATATATGAATATGTAAATCCATTGTACTACGTATACAAATACAATGGATCATTTCGAACAAAAAAAAATACAATGGATCATCAATGTTGTATTAATGATATGTACATAACTAATAGGAGTATGTAAGAAAATATGTTAAAATTATCAAAACACTTAAACAACATAAATGCATATCGAAAGTTAACAAAATACGCAAACATTCATGTTCCTAAAAGTTTTATCGTCGATAAAAACAAAATTTTCTCTTGTTACTTCTTTTTCAAGAACTTTTTACTGAATGAAATTTGGCATTTAGTTGCACTTTTACCAACAGGCGGCCCGTGAAACAAAATTCTCGTTCTGACAACACTTTCGTCATCTATCTCTCTAGCTAACCACTGATTTTTTTGGCTCTCTCCATTTAAGATAGTTAATTAAAAATCCAGTAATAAACTTGTCAATAAAAAAAAAAACATATCCCAAATGTAATTTGCAAAGAAAATTTAAAATTCAAAAATTTAAAGACCTAGATTCCAGATTCTATTGATTTCAATTCTCATTAAATAGATACACAAATTTATCAACAAATTGTTTTTAAAAAATTTAGCTTTTGCAGATTACCACAAAGCAAGGAAGCAAAGCTCTTGGATTAAGCAAATAAAGCTCCTCCACATTAGTATACAACCCAACTTTCCCGGCCAAAGAATCAAACCCACTCATCAACCCATTCATCTCCTCCACATTCTCCACCGGCCGATGAACTCTTCCGGCTATAACCCGACACACAATCAACACTTTCCTCACCGTCCGATCATCTCCATTTTGATCTCCACCGTTGACCACGATCGACTCAAACGCTCTACCGCTCGTCGACGCCGTGAAAACCCCTATCCCGTTATTCTTCTCCCGTTTCGCCGAGAACCCGTTCCTTATAATCCGGCAGACGCAGCATTTCTCCGCCGTGCAGATACTCGTCGACCCGTTTATCCCTAAACCGCAAGCGACGGTGGTTCCGTGGAATCTGAGCAGCTCGTTCCCGTCGGCGAGACATCTCGGGTGCTTCTTCTGGAGTTTGCTCGCTCTGATCTTCACCGTCTCTCTGTATTCCTCGAACCTTGCTAGCGTTTTCTGCATATTGTGCACTTTCAAGACTCGATCGATTCTTCCACATTGATTCTCTGATTTTAACCAGCTCGTTCTGCAGATTATCTCCACGATTTTCCTCGAGGAGTCGCCTTCTACGAGCTCCGTCACTGTAATTTGATAAAGCTGAGAACTTTAAGACCTAATTGCATAATTAAAAACCCGAAATTTAGGGGAAAATTTGCTAAATTTGAACACTTTCTCGCTTTGAAACTCTAATTGCATGATTTGAATTGTGAAATTCGACCTTTTACGAGGAAATTTTATGATAAAGGTGAGATTTTTAAAGCCTACGATGATGAAATTCGAAATTTGGAGAAAACTTTGTTTTTTTTTTTTCAAAAGTTGAAAACTTTATGTATTTCTGAAACTCAAATTGCACAATTTTCAATGGTGAAAGTTTCGGAATTTGAAATGTTTACCGGCGTGTTTAGAGAGATGATGAGCTTCTGCAGCTTCGAGTTTATTGAACTGTTCACCACATTTATGGCAAGAAACAGAGGAATTGCCTCCACCATTAACGGCGGAGTCTCTGTTTATCTCCAAAGAAACTCTCCTGTTTGTGTGAAACCCTAACCCTTCTCCTCCTCCTCCTCTTCCTTCTCTCTCCGACAAGGCAAACGAACCCTTCCTCGCCGTCGTTTGACTCCGGTAAGAAGCGGAATGATTCAGATAATGCATCGGCGTTCCCGGCCTCAACATCCCAACAAAAGTCGTCGACCGACCATTTCCTCCTCCTCCGCCGCCGCCGCCGCCGCCGCCACCGCCTGATTCCGTTGCTCCGGCCGGTGAAGCCATGTCTCCGACGCCGGTGATCTTAAGCTCGCAAGTGGAGTTGCTTAGTATAACCTCGTGAGTGATGGGATTGAGAAACTCGTTGCTTCCAATAGAACGAGGACTACTTATCGGCGGTTTCTCGAAATGACGTTTGCTTCCATGGATTACGTCTTTGAGATTCGCTATCGACCTTGAACATCCCGATAATCCACCGCCGCATCCGCCGGCGACGATGCCGGGGTTGACGCCGGAGATTCTCTTGGTGGAGATTGATGAGAGCTGTTTTGTGGATTTGGGGTCGTGGACATCGGATGGTTCGGATTTACAGTGGAGAGATTTCTTGAGTGAGAACCAAACAGTTGGGATGTTGTTCTTGTTCTTTGGATTAATCGTTTTGTTGTTGTTGTCTCTTTGAAGCTTCTTCTTCTTCTTTTGGCTTCTTGTGCTTGAATCGTCCATTGTTGTTGTAAATCTCCCTTTCTCTCTCTCTATCTTCTTCTGAGATTTTTGGGTTTTTTTGGAAGTGATATTTTGATTTTTTCAAAAAAAAATAATAATAAGGAAGGAGAAGTAGGCAAGTGAATATGTTTTTTTCTTGTCTTAGGAAAGATACAGTTGATTTTATTAAATGAGGTAGTGCTTTTTTTTTTTTCTTTTCAACTCAATTAAATGAGAGATAAAAAAAATAAAAATCAGAGGTTAAATAATAAAAAATAATAGTAGGCATGTACGTGCATATGAAAACTAAAAGAGGTCTATAATGTCTCAACTCACCGATGTAATAACACGAGAGAATGTTTCCTTCATTTACTATTTTGCGACTGTAAGTGTAAAAACTATTGATTCACAACATGTTCATGTCTATGAATCACGATCAGGAAATAGTATTCTCATTTTGTTTTTAGTTTTTGACTATATATAGTAGACTCATTTTATACATTTAAAAATATATTCACTCTAGATTAGCTAAATATTCCTAATTACATGAACCTGCATTTGATACACACTAAATTTCATGAAGTTGCTGCATTAATTAATAGCAGTTAATATTATTCATATCTTCTTTTAAGTCTAGTACTAGTATAGTACTCAAAGTAATAACTATAAATCGTAATTAACTTGCAATAATTTTGTTTCCAAAAGATACATCCACGATCTTTTCCCCTTAGTTACTGTCTAGAGAGGATCTTGCGTTTTTATCACACTTCCAACACTTAATTACAGTAATTAATACGAACGTCACTAAATGAGATTGTGTGTGGGCAGGTTCACATTAAATTCTTGCTTTCTACGATTTAACTGTAAGATTCTACGGATTAGCCCACGGTTAATCGTCAAAGTACCGAAATAAACAAATGTAATATTTGATTAATCCAAATCCAGTCCAACATTGACAGAGTTGATTCTAATAGACTATAGATGATTCTATTATGTTGAAATTTTTTATTCGGGCTAAAACTATGTAGTCACTTACTATTCGTGGATAAGTTGAACCAGGAGCAGTAGTTCTACTAATCAATAGTAGCATAGACTATAGGAACTTAATTTGAAATAAATTGAAAAGGAACATTGAATTTAACTCACTTCTTTCCGCTAGCATCTGTCAATTCACTATTAAAAGTCCAGAGGAGCAAATGGAGCACTCTGACAATTCTTGGATGGATAGTAATCAATATAGTATTAAAATTTACTATATTTCATTTTCAATACACTATAGAACCTTGTCACTCTTAAGACCTTAATACCTTATCAATCTAGTTAGTAAATAACAAAGACTAAGTACGTGATTCGTGCTTACATGAAACTAAAACCGCAACAATATACCAATAATAGTATTTACATCGTAATGCATGTCAAGATGGAGAAGTACAATAACATTTTGTTAAGGATCAAAATAATTTTTATAGGAAGTTATTTTGTTAAACTTTCAAAAGTGCATTTAATATTTGTTTGTAGATATCGCAAGGGGTAGATGAGGAAGGGGGTGAAAGTAGGTGTGGGTGTCGTTATAGCATTATTGAATTCAAAAGGACGACATTAAATTAGAAATTGAATTTTGAAGCATATTGATAGATTTGTCCTTCTGGGTTTCCCAAAATTTGCTCTAAACCCTAACCAACAGGACCATCATTTCGACCACACCACATTGACTGGTCTGTTCCAATCTTCGATATCTTATGACTTAGATTAATTAATGTTGCTGAAATAGAACATGTGAACTATTTCTCTGATTTTTTTTTTTATAGAACGAGGAGATCACAAATCGAACTCATCATGCTAATCCACAAAACATGTGAAAAATATCAGATATAAAAATCATACATTTTTATATAATTTAATTAAAACTTCCACACTAACGAATCGTACATACTGTCTATATACTAAAACTTCTTATATTTTTCATATTTTGTTTAATTAAACATATTTCTAGAATGATGCCTAATGTTTTTAATAATTCAACGTTAATTTTAAATGACTAATAACTCATCAACGTAATATAGTGATCAAGCTGTATACACTAATCATGATTCAAAATGTCACAGTGGTGATGTACTGTACACCAAATTTTGAAAACACTTCATAGAAATAACATCTCAGCCACACAACAAATAAGAGTTTTTTTTTTCTTGTTTGTCAAACACAACAAATAAGAATTACCTGGTATTCATATTGTTGGTTGTTTCATAAAATTCTTTAAGTTTTATTATGGGTATTTATCAAAAGTTGATTGAAGCTTTTTTCAATGCATAAGTTCTGGCGCCAAGGACTTGGTTGCCAACTTACAGCTTACAAGTTACATTGTATGAGATTATCGTGGGCCTACAATTGGATACAATATCACACACATAACAATATTTTAGACCCATACTCGGCCCGTTAATTTCTAATATCCAAGGGAATATCCAGCCCATAATATATCCAAGGAATATAAATTGACATTATTCTGCCTAAAAATTTTGGAAATTCCCTCGTTTTATGATATGTAGTTTGGTTTAATGGCTATAATGCTATAAATTGAAAAAAAATAATCTGCTGTGCCATAAACAAGTTTGTGTGTCATAATATATATGTAATTCATATTTTACCCTTAATAAAATTTTTTGTGGCATTCCTGAATTTAATAAAAAATAATTGATTTTATTTAAATTGAAATTAATAATTTAAAACGAAATTAATTTTTTCAAAAAAAATTCTCATTTTTTTTTTCTGTTTCTTCTTCTTCGCCGTCAAACCCTCGCCTCTCATTCTGAAAATCACCAAATCTGAAAACCACCAAATCTCATTCTCGCCGTCAAACCCTCGCCTCTCCTCCTCTTCTTCATCCTCTGTAATCACTTTATTGTTTTTATCTCCTCTCTCCACCACCATTGTTGAAGTTTCAAACCTATTTAGGTTTTTGTTTAGAGATTTGGGAATTTTACAATATAGGGATTGAATTTCTCAAAATTGCTTATTTGGTATGTTAATCGGGTTAGTAACCTAGTTTATGTGATGATTAGGTCTTTGCATATATAATTTATCAAATATAGTTGTTGAATCGTAGTGATTCTTAGGTAGAAAATCCGAGTTCATCACCAAATTTGCAGAAGAGGACAACTGGTACAAATGGTACAACTAAGAGATAAGAGGACAGCTAGTACAATTAGTACAACTATGAGATAGATGACAACTGGTACAAATAGGTATAACTAAGACAACTTAAATAATTGGTGATTGAAAATTCTTTTATTATAATTGAAAATCGGGTTGGTAACCTAGTTTTATATGACGATTAAGTATTTGCATGAATAATTTCTTAAATATAGTCGTTGAATTGTAGTGATTCTTAGGTAAAGTATAATTATATCTGAGTTCATCTCCAAATCTGCAGAGGAAGACAACTAGTACAATTAGGTACAACCATGTACAAAAATTGACAGTGCACATAAGTGCACATGTTATTTTGATGGATAGTGACACTTAGGTAAGTCAATCAAATCTAGAGGATTTCATTTTTGGCGGAGGATACTTTCTAGATGGACATAAACAAGGTACAATTGGACACATATGTGCAACTATATGCAATTCTTTCATTATAAAATAATAGTGATAAACTATAAATATAGAAAGCAAACATTCACTTAAAAAATGTAAAAATTTTGTAAACTATAAGGAATAAAATTAAAAAGATGAATAACATGAAATTTATCATTTTTCTAATACATATTATTGGTTTCACATCCAACACCCCTTATGATACAAAGAAGACTTTGATAATGTTAACAATCTTATGATGGAAAAGAGCCAAAATTATGATTTTGCATAAATTGTTTATGAAAATATTGTAAATGGACTACAATAGTCAAAAATTATGTGGACAACTACAAAATAATAATTTATATCAAGGGACAACTGGAAAAAAATACTAAAATTGTCAAAGGACAACTATGAAGAATTTTGGACAACTGGACAACTGAGTACAACTATGTATAAAATTGACGGCGCACGTGGTACTTTGAATGCGCACGTGTCTCTTTTTGTCGGCGCACGTACGTCTATGACTGACAACATAGTTGTACCTAGTTGTCCAGTTGTCCAAAATTTGTAATAGTTGTCCTTTGATCGATTTTGTAGTTTTTTCAGTTGTCCTCCGATATAAATTATTATGTTCTAGTTGTCCACAATAATTTCGAACATTATATAGCAGCCCCAGGTGTTTTGCGTTATTATTTTTCTATTTCTTATATTTTTGCACAGACGCTTGTATAAGATGGATAATATTGCCAAAGACTTCCTTATAACATAAGGGCTATTTCAAGTGAAACCAAAAATATTTGGTTCTTTAAACAAACTAAAGTTTTATTTTCTTCCTTCTAGTATAGACGTGAAAAGATTCAGTTTTTAGGGTATGAGTTGTATTGGTTTTTAAGTAAATAATTTTAGAATTTTTTTTAAACACTACAATTAAAATATAGTTGTCCCAAGTTGCACCTAGTTGTCCTGGAGAAATTCATAGCGTAATTGTACCTAGTTGCACCTAATTGCCCTGGAGAAATTCATTAGTAATTGCACTGAGTTTCATCTAGTTGCCCTGGAGAAATTAAAAATAGTAATGCTAGAAATCAAAGTAATCCAAGAAATTCAAAATACAAATAACTCCAAAATAAATAGTAATACAATAAATCAAAGAAATCCAAAAAATCAAAGAAATCTAAAAAATACAAACTCGGATTTTCTACCTAAGAAGAACTACGATTCAACAACTATATTTGATAAATTATCTATGCAAAGACATAATCATCACATAAACTGGGTTACCAACCCGATTTACATATGAAACAAGCAATTTTGACAAATTCAATCTCTAAATTGTAAAATCTCCAAATTTTCAAACAAAAACTTAACTGGGTTTTGAATCTTCAATAATGGTGATGGGGAGAGGAGATAAACACAGAAACTGATTGCAGAGGATGAGTAAGCAAGGGTTTGATGATGAAGATGAGATTTTGGTGGTTTTTAAAATCTGTCGATGTTTTAAGGGTTTAGGAGAATAAGAAAAAAGGAATATTAAGAAAATTAAAGAAAATTAATTAAAAGAATTAAAAGAAATTACTGGAGAAGAGAAAAAAAATTTAAATAATTAATAAATGAAAAATAAAATGGGTTATTGGGTGGGTTGAATTCGGGTGGATATTACCCTAGTTTTTTTGTTAATATCTCGAATATGAGGAGAATAGAAGAATTTCTAGGGTTAATCTCGTTAAAAAAAAATTGAAAAAAAATTAATTATTAGAGTGATAGCATTTTTGCCTGTTTTTTAGCTAGCTTTTCAGCCGAGCGCTCTATGTAGTTTATGTACGAGTTCAAAAGAAACTACAAAAAAAAGTCAAGCGGTGCGAGAAAAACCTTCAAATCTTAACCTTTGATTTGATAGAAATCGACGGTTTAAAAGATTCGATCCGCGTAGTCTATTCTTATTGGTCAATAACTTATATAACTTCATATATAAAACTTACGATGTTCATTTCTCTCCCTCAATCCTTGTTACTTCGTCAAGAGAATTTTGCAATTTTGTTCCTTTTCTTTCCAGAAATTCTCGCTGGAAAAGCTCCTTGGTTGTTGAAAATGGCAGGTCGTGGAAAAACTCTTGGATCCGGTGCGGCGAAGAAAGCCACATCTCGGAGCAGCAAGGCTGGGCTTCAATTCCCGGTTGGTCGTATCGCTCGATTCCTCAAAGCCGGAAAATACGCCGAACGTGTCGGAGCTGGTGCTCCGGTTTATCTCGCCGCCGTCCTTGAGTATCTAGCCGCCGAGGTGAATATACCTTCCCTCTCTTTCTCATCCCGATGCCTAATTTTGTTGGTTCCGTCTCTGTTTTCGTATGATTGGTTTTTCGTGATCTCTGGCCAAATCTAGGGTTCTTAAATTTTACGAAAATGACATTCGACATTGGGATATTTCAAGTAATTTATCCGTAATTGGCAACTTTTGCTTAGTTTCTCCAACACATTCTCAAGTTTGGTTTGAAATCGGTGTTTTGATTGATTTGTTTTGGTGTCATTGATTTTGAACTGGTATTTAAATTTAGGGTTCTTGAGCATCTTCATGCATCTCAATTTGGTAGAAAGTAATTTTGTTTTGTAAAATTTCTCAATTTGGGTGGTTTGATCCTATGGGTTTTCCAGAATTAGATGTGTCTAATTAATCGTGGCTTCGTTGAGACTGAAACGTGTCTGCTCAATCTCTCTTAGGTTCTTGAACTCGCTGGAAACGCAGCAAGAGACAACAAGAAGACCCGTATTGTTCCTCGTCACATCCAGCTCGCCGTGAGAAACGATGAGGAGCTAAGCAAGCTTCTTGGAGAAGTGACTATTGCCAATGGAGGAGTGATGCCTAATATCCACGCTCTCCTTCTTCCCAAGAAGTCTGGACCCTCAAAGCCTCAGGAAGATTAGATCTTAACACAAGATATAGAAGAAAACACGTCTCTCTTCTTTCCTTTTGTTTCGCTTCAGATCAAATAACTAATAACTACTAGCTAGAATCATTTTGTTTCCTTTGCCTTTCAGTTGCTTAGGTCTTTGTCTCTTTCTATTGTTTATGGATGTCTTGTTTCAGTTTGTGTGAATATATGAAAGGATTTTACCAAATGAGAACAAAAGTGTCTTGGAATCATGGTTCTAAAACAAGGTTCCACAAACCAGTGAGTGCATAGAGCCTCTTTCGCCCTCAAGAAACTCTAGCAAAAGTTGGTCTTGTTCTGTTTGGAAATTAAAATGAATGTATAATTTAATTGATAGTAATGTTACAAAAATAAACACAAAAGGAATACTCTTCTATGGCAAACAAGATTCAAGAAGAAGAAATGAAAAAGTGTGTTTCTAAGACTAAAGATGACAATGTCAGTACAAGCTAAAGATTGTGACGTCAACGACTCTCCATAGCTTTTACCACAAAAGGGCCTCTCTGATTGTTCATCTGATTATCAGTGACTAAAACCTGACATCTCTGCGAGTTAATGCCATTCCACTCCCAGCAGAAAAAAAGATCATAAGAAGCTCAGAGCAAAACCGCAGAGGATTTGTACTAACAAGTGACAAAACCCGAGATTCTGTTTTTTTGTTTAGTCTGAATCTGAACTAGACTGATCCATGCGTCTCTCTGTAATAGCTGGAAACAGCTTCTGTCTAGGATCTAATGAAGGCGGTTGTCTTGGAGTTTCAGAAGAAGCTGAGGCTGTTGAACCCTGTTTTCTTGCCACTCTTATCTGTTTTCCTCGTGCTTCTCTAACTTCTTTGCAGGACTTATCTAAGATTATCAAGAAATCGCGCACAATCACAAACAAACGCAGTCCTTCGTCTTTTCCTGCTTTTCCATGGAAATAGTCTCCTGTACTTTTCACCAGAGCCATTATTCTCTTCTCTTCCCCGAGAATCGACATGATGCTTCCTTCAGCATTTTGGATAAAATCTTCAAGAGCTTCACGAAACCCACTTTCCTCTCCTGAACTCTTCATCTCTGAGTTGACAAAGTCTCGAGCTTTCGACAAAGCGTGACCCATTTTAAGAACAGTCCCTGTTAAACTATCAGCATCGATGTTTGCAGATTTCTTCACATGTTCAAGCTCACTGCTCAAGCCTGAAACTTTTTCAAGTCCAAGATTGCGGTAATTCTCTTCCATCTCCTCGGAGGTTTCCTCTGCCATTAGATCCTCTGTTTTGACACTAGAGAAGCTTTGGCTTTCTCTGATAGTACGCGCAGCTCTCCTACCTTCAGTCCTAATTATCTCTTGAACAACAAAATGGAGGAGGGTTGTTTTCCCATCAGTTCCCTTCACGTCTGCTAATTTCAAAAGAGTGTCCAGCTTGAAAGCTTGAGCACCACCCCTAAATGTACCATCATTCATTCGGTTTCCGGTCTTTAGAACCGCCTCTAAGAGCTTGAGGAACAGCCGACTTCCCCTAAGTTCTTTACAAGCAACCTTCCATATACACCAAAGAAGATGCATTTAGAACAGAGAAGAAGCAAAAGGAAGCGTAATATCAACAAGAAGTGGAAAAAGAGAGAAATTCTTGAGAAAAATTAACGAAACTTTCAGAAACAGCCGACTTCCCTTATGTTCTGTTTTTCTTTTCAGAACATAGGTTTTGCTAAAGATTACCAAACGTACCTCCAATGTCTGAAATGATTCTTTTACGAAGGCCATTTCTTCATAGAGTGTACACATAAATAGAAGTGCCTCTAGACGCTTGAAAGCAAAAGGGATATCAACTACTGCTTTCAAGAATCGTTCAGCTGATCCCAGTTGAGCTATTTCACCACAGTATAATCTAAGCTTTAGTTCCTCTTCCGGTGTTGGTGCCATCTTCAACAGGGTCTGAATGAATTCTACAGGAAGCTCATTTCCTGATTCAACGAGGATTATGTTAGAGAACACATTCGAGAATACCACCTATACTTAAATTGTTTCTGTTCCACAAAGGGGAAAAGAAAGAAAAAGGTTTACCTTCACGAAGTGCATCACACACTTCTTCAGTTGTCGCATTCAAAGCACGCAAGAGAATCGATAGATTTTGCCCTTTCTTTGGTTCAAGAATCTGAACAAACTGAGGTGTATTTTGTCCAGAGGATCCCTTCTTGTCGTTTTTATTCTTGTCTGCTGCTGCATATCCAAATAGCGACTCTATCATCTCTTCATTGAACCTGGAAAAGCATCACAAATAAGTTCTATTCAGTAACTGTGCCAAAGTTATAAACTTTAAGAGGAACTAAAAGCTAAAACTCCAAAGCTAAGACTTACTGGAAGGATCCTGATCTTATATCGTTCCAAACCATTGAATGCTCTGGATTTGCTTGCACTTTATCCCAGAAAAATGGCTTCAGCTTTGTTTTGGGAGCATCATCATCTGATGACTTTGCTGGCCCAGAAGACGGTCGAGGAGCTTTCGGACCCAGGCTCATCGGTGGAGGTGGACGTGGTCCCTTTGGTCCAGGAGGAGGTGGTGGTTTAGGCCCTCCAGAACCAGCAGGAGGAGCTGGAGGAGGTGGTCGTGGAGGACCAGCAGAAGATGGCATTGGCGGTGCTGGAGCTGGCGGTGGAGGAGGAGAAGCCTTATTTGAGGATACCTTAAGAAATTTGGGTGGTTCTGGTGGAAGAGGCTCCACTTTTCCAGAAGGAGGCTTCCCTGAAAGTGCAGAAGCTGTTCTTCCAGGTGGAGGCTTCAAAGGCGGAATCCCATGTTTGCTAATACTATTATTATGGACCCCTTCGTGTGACAGCCTTTCTTCTAACGAATCCGAATTGTCAGAATTACTTCCATCGAAAGACGACATCTTTCCTTGGTTTGAGTAAATGTTAAAGGACTGATGACCCAGTTTTTCTTTTTTGACAGAACCACCATAGTTGATGGAGGAACCTGAGAATACAAAAAGTATTATTGTTTTTATATACTCAAGATGTTAGATTGGTATATCGTGAGAAAGTGGAGACATTATTACCAACAGAGTAATCGCTACTGCTTAAACTCAGAAGAGGCCGTTCATCGTTTTTCCTGCCTCCTGAACCATTTCCACAAACCCTGGTGCAACATAAGAAGAACAATGCAGCCAACAAAAACGTTGAAACAGCAGTCACAACAACCGCAATGATGATTGTTTTCTGATGGTCCTCTTTTCTTTTCGCAGGTGAAACAGGTCCAGAAGTTGAATTTCTAGAACCGTTTTTCCCAGCACGAGGAGGAGGGGATCTTGACGGTGGGACAAACGAACTCCGCGGAGATGGAGATCTTGATCGAGTAGGTGGGCCTCGACTACGCTTAGGAGGACGGGAAGGGGAAGGGGAAGGAGAAAGGGAAGAGACAGGTCTAGAAGCTAGATTTCTCCTCGGAGTATCAAGCATAGATGCCAAAAGCTCGAGATACTTGAGTTTATAACCATTCAACTTTCCTTGTTCTTGGATACAATCAAGAAGCGTCTGCTTCAGATGGGAATGCTTCAAACCAAATAGCTCCTGATTATCCTTTGATCCTGGGAAACATAAATTGAATACTGCGACAGCTTCCTTTACACAATCTGTTTCTTGCCAACAACGCTGCGCCCATGATGTTTCTACCTGTCAAACATTGTACAGAAGACAAGAGACAAACAACTTTATAAGCCACACAAAAGAATATATTCAGCATATCATCATTAACTAAGAGACAGCCAACTGTAAATCCAAGCATGATTGCGAATGACGTATCCAGACTATTTTGTAAGAAGTATATAAGCGTTCTGGAATAATCTTAATCTTCTTATAGGGAGCATGAATCAAAACCAAAAATGCAATCTTAGCATATAAAACCTAAACACATTTCAGCAGGAAACAGGCTATAACTCATATCTGGATAAAGTCTACAAGATCTTTTAAATTATACATACTAGCTACCAAAAAAAATGAATAGCGTAGTTACATATGGAGAATCAGAAACTGAGGCTTGAAACTATTGTACAAGAAAGAGCCTGGGCCCGTGTTGGAAAGAGTCGACATTTACGTGCCGAATGTGATGGAGGAAAGTGGCACATGCTACAGATAATTTTTGACTTACCTCCAATCACATTGGGCACGTAAAGCTCAACTCTTTCCAACACAGTTCGAGACCGACTATTAGAAAGAAAAAAACTAAGGAAATACAAGAGACATGACTCTTGCTCCATTCGGTTTCAATCAAAACCGAATTTTTAGCTTGTGTTTGATTGCTATCAGAATATCCCTACTGCTCTTGCAAGAGCTTATTATATAGAAAAACTCATGACTAACAGATTTGGAAAACTCTCATCAATGCCTTTTATTCTCTCACAATCAATTATTCATCAGTCAACCCAAATCTCTTACTTTCCATATTTTTAGCTTGTGAGTGATTGCTATCAGAATCAGACACTTCAAGCTACAAACCTAGAGGTTTCGTTCAATTTGATACAAACTTAACAGACGATAAAAATGTCTTCATACAAACGAAAAAAACCAAAGATAGTGACGAGCATGGACTGAAAACAATGGCAGCAATATTACATGACTGACACAGATTCGAAAACCACAGGCTTTCTTCTATAGGCAGGATACAGTAATGATCTTGATTTTCTTTCTCAGACTATCTAGATTCCTCCAAGGAATACGAACCAAAACCATAAAAGAAAATGCAATCTTAGTCCATAAAACCGGACTTTAAGCAAGAAACAGGCAACTGTCCTTCAAATCTCGCCTTCAAAATATACTACAGAGTAATAGAGCTATAGAATCTCCTAGCTTATACAATTTTAAACCCTCACAGATAAATCCATCAGATATGACAGTAAGTTATGATGCAAAATAGAATCATACAAGCTTGAAATGCAAAAGACGATATTTACCATTTGCTCATTGACCTGCCCTGTTGATGGAGCCTTGAAATGACTAAGAAAAGCCTCATCTTTTTCTGAATTCCCATCCAATGTTATCACCAAGAACCCAGAAAGCAGAGTCAACCAGACAACCAAACAAGCCCAATTATGATAACACATTCCTCCTCGAATCATTCCAAGCATATCTATTGCTTCTCATTTCATCAGATACTCCAAAAGAATCCAACAACAACGGCGTAATCAAAAGGCTAATATGCTTTTAAATCAAATCACCCAATAAATAGTACAGCTTTCTTTTTTTTGTTAATGTAGACCCTTTTGCTGAAATTTGATCAAGATCGAAACTTTAACAGAAACAATCAACAACCCTGATCGAAATTCTAGAATTTTGGAGCTGACTTCGATGCAATTTCCCTGAAAGACCAATTCAATAAAGCTTCAACATTTGCCTCCAGATCAATACACGTTGCGAGAAAACAAGAGACAGCACAAAAGCGAAAGAGTTGGTGCTAATGATTGCGGCCAGATCCAATTTGACAATAAGCTCAATGCGATTGTCGTCGGTGCGCTCAACCAAACCAATATTTTGACCAGGGAGACCAAAAAAGTTTCAACCTTTTTTTTCCGAGAAAAGTCGACGAGAAAAATTCGCGGAGAAATTAGCTCTCAAGGTTCATACAAAATTCTCCTAAGCATTTTCGTTCATTTTCTTTGTCAGAATTGTCCCTATTTTTTCCTCAAAACTCAAGCACGCGAGGATTACGCAGAGTTATTAATATATTGGATAATTTGTTTTCTTTTTCGTGATTTAATATCTCAAGGTAAGAAAAAAAGTAAATACATATTGAGTCATAGATATTAGTCTTATTAGATGATAATAATTAAATGCCACATGATTTTCTTACATACTTTCACGAATATTTATCTATTATCTTAAACATTGTAAGTAAAATTCTAGTAACTCGGAACAAATTATTTTAATTAACCATTTCCAAAGCCTTTTTCTAATTCATGATTATAATTTTTTGGAACTAAAGGCTTTCAAAAGTTGTTTTTTCTAATTTATACGTTGTAAGTTGTGTAACTAATGATGATTAGGACTTAGTGGAAAGAAAAATATCCAAAGATTAACGCGTGACACAATTTTCATAAACTCTGATGACAAATATTATATTCTTCAACCATTTTGAAGATATGACGAGAAATGCATTAATGCATGCATGAATGATGCTGATGCATGGACCTTCTCTCATCGGTAGTCAAATTTATATAGGGAAAGCAAAGAGTTAAGATTAAAATAAATAAAGACTGATACAAATTGTCTCGAATCTCGATTTACTTGTCATCGCTGTTGAGTTTGTGCCACTACTGACTGTATTTACGCTATCCTTTCATTTTTCCTATTTCAATTCATATTTTTGGTTGTAAGAGTAATTTGTAGATTCATTCAGAAACCAATCTTTTTCCATTTATCATTGGAACCGGGACACTCAATTCAAATGCATAAATTGAATGAGTTTGCATACACTTATTTACTAAGGGAACCTTTGGCCGCCAAAGTTCACTAATATTGCGGTGGGGAGAATGCACGTAGAGAATATATAACACTACAAGAATGAGGGGCTTTTCCGTCAAATTATTTACGACGATTTTTAGTCGTCGTAAATTTACGAACGACATTACGTCGTATTTACGACGATCAAAAATTTCATCGTAAATTCGACGTAAAAAATGACCCTCGTAAAATCGTCGTAATGTTACGACGATATTACGACGAATGAAGAACAAATTTTATTTCGTCGTAATATTGTCGTAATATTTAACATTGATAATACGACTAATTGTCCTCTATCTTGTAATTGACGTAAAATCAATGTAAATGTGATGTAAATTTTATTTCGACGTAAATTTGATGTAAATATGCAATGGTAATATGTTGGTAACCAAACAAAAAAATCTATATATACCCTTTTTTCTCTCATTATTCCATCAACCTAAAAAAACATATAAAGACACAAATTTTTTGAGTCTTTGAATGTTTAAGTAAAATTTTTAGTAGTTGAAATTTATATCAAATTTCAAAAACAAAAAGTCAAATATTTGTTTTTGAAATATCTATATACGATCTACGAAAGTGGATGTATACGCCCAAAAATGGTGATGGGTCGTTGACTGAAGACTTCAAAAACGGATTGGAAATATTCATGTACCAAGTCGGCCTTATGCAAACTGTAATTGAAAGCGGCAAAATGTATTGTCCTTGTGTGAAATGCAAAAATAGGAAACATATTCCTATTGACACTGTCTGGCAGCATTTATTGAATAGAGAGTTCATGCCCCAATACTTTATTTGGTATCAGCATGGAGAGGGATATGGTCAAAGTAGTGGTCAGATGGCTGCACGGAGTAGTAGTAATCATCAAGAACATGTGGATTTTGAAGCGTCCAATGATTATCAAAGTAGTCAAGTTCAGGGTGAAGATCATGATAGGATGCATGAAATGGTTACTGATGCATTTCATGAAACACATGCTGATACTGTTGAGGAGCCCAATGCAGATGCGAAACGCTTTTATATATGTTAAACGCAGCAAAACAGCCTCTGTACGAGTGATGTAGGGAAGGTTTATCAAAATTATCATTGGCAGCTCGGATGATGACAATAAAAACTGATCATAATCTATCTGAAGTTTGCATGAACGATTGGGCAGATCTTATTAAAGAGTATTTTCCAGATGATAATTTGGCTGCTGAAACGTATTATGAAATTCAGAAGCTGGTTTTTAGTCTTGGATTGCCTTCTGAGATGATTGATGTTTGTGTTGATAATTGTATGCTTTTTTGGAGAGATGATGAGAAGCTTGAAGAATGTCGTTTCTGCCAAAAGCCAAGATATAGACCGCAAATTGGTGGGCGTAAGAAGATTCCTTACCAACGAATGTGGTATCTTCCTATCACTGATAGGTTAAAAAGATTATATCAATCTGAACGGACAGCTGCGTCGATGAGATGGCATGCAGAACATTCACAAATAGATGGCAAAATGACTCACCCGTCTGACAGGAAATCTTGGAAACATTTTAACACCGTACATCCATACTTTGCTAGGTCTAAGCGAAATGTTTATCTTGGTCTTTGCACTGACGGGTTTAGTCCATTTGGTATGTCTGGTAGGCAATATTCATTATGGCCTGTGATTCTTACACCATATAACCTTCCTCCAGATATGTGCATGCAAAGAGAGTTTTTGTTTCTAAGTATATTAGTCCCTGGTCCAAATCACCCGAAGCGGGCCCTTGATGTGTTTTTGCAACCACTCATACATGAGTTAAACCAGTTGTGGCATGTTGGAGTACGAACATATGACTGTTCAAGTGGTAAAAATTTTACGATGCGAGCGGTGCTTATGTGGACAATAAGCGATTTCTCGGCATACGGAATGCTATCAGGTTGGACAACGCATGGGAGGTTATCATGTCCTTAACAATGTTTTCAAATTTCAGCACTTTCGTCAGTCAAGTCCGAGAATGCATTGACGGTGTTTCAGAAGATGAAATTAACAAGCGAAAAGACCAACATTATGCATTGTGGTTAAAAAGTCAAGTCGAGCATGATGACATGACATATGCAGTATGGTTTCATGAGTTGCTCCTAGGTCCTATTTCGAAGATAACTACTGCAGCTATGTATTTTACACGTGGCTATGTTTTTCATACTTATAGTCATGGCACTCAACGGGCAACTACAAACTATGGAGTTTGTGTACGAGGTGAAGTAGAATTTTATGGGATCATCAAAGAGATAATTGAAGTGGAATACCCCAGATTAGTAAGAATGAAAACTGTTCTTTTCAAATGTGATTGGTTTGATCCTACGGTAGGTCGTGGAGTGCCTATTAACAAATTCGGAGTGGTAGATGTAAACGCATCTCGGCGATACAATAAGTTCGAGCCTTTTATACTTGCATCTCAAGCAGAACAAGTCACCTTTGTTCCATATCCTCGAGTTTGGAGTACGGGAATTTCATGGCTGGCGGTTGTCAAAGTTGCTCCAAGGGGTATAATTGATGGTGTAGATCTCCCGCCAATGCAACAAGATGATTGTGTCGACATTATAGAACCTGATGTTGAAGAAAATGTTCTTTTAATTGATCCACGTAATCGAGAAGTTGAAGATCTACATGGGGACGAAACAGAAGAAGGTGCTGACGAATTTCAAACAAGCAGTGATGATGACGATGATGATGAGGAGAACGAGGAAAATGTTGAAGACTAACTAAGTATGATGTTGGCATTTATATAATTGCATGCTTTGAACGTTTAAATGTAACATTTGTCAAATTTGATAAATTTGTTTAAATTTAAATGTTTAAAAAATGAAAAACAATTAATGAAAAGAAAATTTGCTTAAGTGTTGACTTGGACATATGTGGACTATTACGACGAATTTACGACGATTATTTATAAATCGTCGTAAATTCGTCGTAAAATGTAAACCCTAAACCCTATAGGGTTTAGCTTTCCCAACTCACAGAATGGTTTTTGGGTGCATTTTCCTGAGTAAACTAATGTATTATATAAGGTTTTGTAGTATAAGATTAAAGAACTTGTAGATATGTGGTTTATGTTACGACGAATTTACGACGAATCACACCCATTCGTCGTAAATTCGTCGTAAAATACCATCGAGTTTACGACGAAATGTAACCCCTAAATCTTATAATCAATCTTTTCTTGGGTTCGGGGGGGATTTAGATGAAGATAATGATATGGCTTACCATCTCATAAGGTAAAACAACTTTCTAAACAAAAAAAAAAAATTCAAAATTTGACATATATGTGTTTATCAAGTAATCTTAAGGTGTTATATACATTTAGAGAAGATGTAAGAATTTATCTTAGATCAAACTAAATTCTTTATTATGTTATGTAAACATGCTAGAAACTTATACAGACCACATTTAGCATGTATAGGCATGCTTGTATGTGCTTATGGGTGTTTCAATTTTTGTAATTCATCATTTTTGTACATACCATCGTAAAATCGTCGTAATATTACGACGATTTTACGACGATATGTAAATACATAACCGTTATAATTTTTATGATTTATAAGGATTTGTCGTAAATTCGTCGTAATTTTACGATGATTTTACGACGAATAACCCTGATCGTCGTAAATTCGTCGCAAAGTCCAGATACAGCCACGTGTGTGTGTCTTATTCGCTTTGTTGTACGGTTGCAGCTTTACGACGGATTTACGACGATTTCGTCGTAAATTCGTCGTAAATTCGTCGTAATGTTTACGTCGGATTTACGACGAATAAAAATTCTATATATATGGAAGCACCCCTTCCTCATTTCGTCGCTCATTCAACTTCTTCCTCTCCCTGCTTCCTCCTCACTTCGTTGCTTCCCTGCAAACCCAAAAAATCAGGTAATTTTTTTTTTTACTTAAAATCTAATTTTTATTTTTAATTAGTTTAGAAATACAAATGGTTTAGGTCGAAAATTAGTTTAGGCTCGGAATTTGTTAGATTTAGGATCGGAATTTGTTAGATTAAGGATTTAGGGTGTTTGTTAGATTTAGGATCATAATTTAAAATTAATTTGTAATTTCAAAAATAAAAATTTTCCGGTTTTGCAGACGATGACTCGACGGAGGACGCACTACATAAACTTTATGGCAGACGGACACTCTTCCTGGGTGTCTGCCTCGGGAAACACCGGGACCGATGTCCCTTCATCTTCTGGAGCCTCCCAGGTTCTGAATACCGTAGCGGAGCAGTCTCCACCACCGCCTCCACCACCACCTCCACCACCACCTCCACCGCCGGCTCCCGAACCGGTGGCCCACCCTCCTCATCCGTATGCCCAATAGGACTTACTAGCCCTACCGGGACGGGGGGCTTTACGACGTCTGGTTCCCGGAAAAGCGGAACCAGGCTCTTATTGGTAAGTAAAATTTTTTGTTTTTTATATTATTTTAAATTAATGCTTTAATTTTCTTAAATATTAATGTAATGTTTTTTTTTGGTTTCATAGATTTGACTTGGATAATTGTGTCGGTCGGAGCGTTTCCGACACAATTAAGAGTCATTTCGTTGAGCCGCACTACAACTGGAGCAAGGTGTCGCAAGAGACGTTCGACACCTGGTACAAGTGCTTCGCGGTAATGTTTTTTAAATCTTATTTATATCATTTTAAATTATTTTAAATTTAATTAATCTTACTTTTATATTGTTTATATAATTTTTTGTTTTCTTTTGCAGCAACGGTGGAACTGGGACATCGGGATCAACGAGACGGTCCGCGAAGCTTTCCGGCTGAAGGCGCAGAAACGCCTAGTCAACACCGTTTCCGATTGGAAGCGGAAGTGGGAGACCGATGGAGACGACGCAAAGCCGAGCTCCATGTCCACTTTCTGTTGGAACGGGTTGAAGGCGTATTGGCTGGACCCGCATGTCCAAACCACTGCGGCTAAGTGTTCGGCCGTTAGAAACCGGGTCGGTCCTAACGGTCAGAAGTTAGTGACTCTGCACACTTCTGGCCAAATATCTTTTGCGGGAAGACGTCTCATGATGGTAAGTAATTAAATATAAATTATTTCATTATTATTTCACTTTTAATTATTGCTATAATTTATTAAATATTTTTGATTAATGTTTATTAATTGGTAGGCCGAGGAGAACGGAGGAGAACTACCTCCAATGACGAAGCTCTTCGAGACCACTCACCGGAAGAGGGACGGGAGCTTTGTCGACGCTCGGTCAAAAGAGATCTACAATGCCGCTATGCAGCGGATCGCCGAGCGGGAGACCCATACCACACCTGACGATACTATCCAAGTACCGTTGACCGTCGCTGAGCAAGACCAGATTTTCGAGGAGGTATGATCTATTTCAATTTTTTTAAAATTTATTATATTTATTACTTAATAAATAATTAACGTTTTTATTTTCCATTTGTAGGTTGCTCCGAAGAAGAAGGGCCGAACCTTAGGGATGGGCTCTATTAGAGACAGTCCTGCCGCCTCGGCTTCCGGATTTCGCACGCAGGAGGATCCGAGTCATCTTCGCCAGGAGCTTGCTACGGCCAATGCTGAGATCACCACTCTCAGGCATGAGCAAGTGGCCCAGAAGCAGGAGCTCACCGAGATGCACGGTCTCTTCGACATCGTTGCGGAAGCGGTTCCACAGGTCGCCACCGCAATCCGAGCGAGGCAACAGCGAGCACGAGGGGTCTTTGAGACCGGTGGTACTTCCGGTACTGGACCATCGGACCAGCAGACGCAGGGTCAGTCTTCGGCTCCGGTAGTGCAGACGGGAAACGACGGTCCAGCAGCGACGGACAGCCAAGACGGAGAGCCTCCTCGTGACGTCGATCTCAACCTCGACGATTACGAAATCACATTGTAGATTAGATTTTTTGTAAAAAACAATTTGTATTAAATTTTTTCTTTTATTTATAAATTATTTTCGAATTTAAATTTCAATTTAAATTGTTTTTTTCTATTTTTAATTGTTTGATTATTTTAAAAATTTATTAATTAAATTAAAATCGAATTAAATAATTAATTTATAAATCGACTTACGCCGTAAATTTATGTCGATCTAACGTCGAATATTTAACGATGGATTTACGTCGAATATGTTTACGTCGGATTTACATCGAAACTTTACGACGAATTAACATCGACAATTAAAAAATTAGTTTCCCTTAATTGAAATTGTTCGTCTCCTAATCGTTGTTAAATCGATGTAATTTCGTTGTTATGATGGACTTATTTCATTGTACTTTCGTTGGGAAATTTACGTCGCGTTTACGACGAATAGTTTTCAACGATATTATGACGATTTTCCTGGGTTGGTAATTTTACGACGATTTCTATTTTACGACGATTTTTTTTTCGTCGTTAATTCGACGTAAATGCTCTTTTTTGTCGATATCTACTGATGTAAAACCCGATCTTTCTTGTAGTATAAGTTAAGATTACAAATCAGATATAGTGATCGATAGCTATGTGTAAATGTAATACATTTGTTGACAATTAAGATCCCAATACTTTTATAAAGTGTTGTATTGGGTAAAAAAGAAGAAGCTTTTTTTTTTTCTTCTTTTTACCTCGTCGCCCTTTCCCATCATTTTTTCTTTTGGCGCCTCGACTTCCTCGAAGGTCAGTCACTCTCTAATTAGTATTTTTTGGTGAGAACATTTTGATAAAAAGACCAAAGCTAGAATATTCTATAAACTATATACATTTTTTTCTGTTTTTATAAATGTAGTGAGGAAAATACAAACTAATCTTGTATTTCAGGTGTTGACATTGACCAACAAACAGCTGTTGGGATTGCAGCAAGAAAATTTGAATCCTAACATGAGTTGGAAAGACGAATGTTCAACTATTATACTATCTGTTGCTTTATAAAATTATAACGTTTTTTCTTCTTCTAAAATAATTTGGTATAGTAGTTGAATAAATATGCTATACAAGGAAAACAACATGTATATACTTTTATAAAATATCAATTTTTAGAATAAGATGAAGAATCAAAATGGTATGGCTCAAAGCAAATAAAGATACATTTCTTTGTGACCCTTCGAGCAATTTCTACGTCAAGAGAACATATTCGTTTCTTTACTTTAGCCACGCTAAAGTATTGTCACAAAGAAAGAAGAATATTTCCCAACTTTTTCTCTTATCATCAAATTATTTTGAGCACCCAATATATTTCCATAATCTTCATATAATTTTCTTCGTTAATCTGACTTAATTTGGACCTATCATGTCAATCTGATTTTCATGTGTGATGTCCTGACTGATATCAAACCTTTTGATTAGTCAGGACATGTTTATAGATTATCTAAACATTAATTTCTTTCGTGGACGTCATATTTTTGGTTAGTTTTAAAAGTCTGACCTAGTTTCTGTGGTGGAATTTTAAGCTTTCATCTGTAAATACTTTTGAGTTTAGATGGAGAAGTTAGTTTTACTGCGAACATATTATAAAAATATTCGTAAGTTTTCTTTTTTTTTTGTCATATACTAAGGTTTTTATATCCTATTTTATCAGCTATATCAAACCTCATACTATAAGAACAAAACCTTGATTCCAAAACTCTCTCTCACACACACACACTTTCCTTTTTCTATTATTCGTCTCAATCTCTCTCTCTCTATTTCTCTCATGACGAGTAGTAGTGGAAGTCTTAAACTAGAGATCCACACCGACGACAAGACGCCGGGAAAATGGAGCGTACCGCTCGGCGAAGAAGTTTTCCGGAGGTTCTTGAGCGGCGGAGGAGGCTCGGAGAAGGCTGTGTTCGGCGAGGGATCTCTTTTCAGCCCCTTCTTGTTCGGGAAGTACTTTGATCCGTCGGATGCGTTTCCCTTATGGGAGTTTGAGTCGGAGGTTTTGTTGGACGGCCTCAGGAGCTTAGGACAGTGTAGAGTCGATTGGTCTCAAACCGATCAAGCTTATGTCCTTAAATCAGATCTCCCCGGTGCGTTACGTCTTTCTTATGCCACAATTCTCCTATTTATATTCTTTAGTAGTAGTTTTTTATCAAAAAACAAATATTCTTTCGTTTTAGCTTGAGCAAGTGAGAAATATGAATAATGTTTTATTACGTCGTTGATAAAGTAATGTAGTCCGATAGATTGATCCGAACCAAGAAGAAATGATCTCATTCCGAATTAATATTTAGGCTATAAAATAAGATATGCTTGATTCAAATATGCCAAATGGATACATACCTTTTTTGGCTTTGCTTTAACTAATTCTCTATTACAACAAATAAAACCGTATTAATGTGAACCAAAAACTTCTATTTGAAAATTTTACGTATGCGTCAAGGAAATGAGAAATGTTATAAATACCTTATGATGGATCCATTGGAAAACTATTATTGTAGAGTTTGTGGTTTAATGTTATGGGATTTAGACAATTTTGATAAAAACACTAAAAAGTGAAAATAGTTTTTAAAAGATCCATTAAAAAACGAAAAAAAAAGGAATTGGTTAAAGTACTACGTAACAAGGAGCCAAAAACTCATTTAATCTATAAAGACTAAAATGATTTGGAAAATATAAGTGATGTAATCTTTTTCTTGAAGGTTCAAGAAAAAAACTGATTAAACTTTTGGTACTTGGCTAGTGGTGGGAAAAAATAATGTGCAGGTATACGTGGACGTGGCCGGAAAAGTGATGGAGATTAGTGGCAAATGGAACAGCAACAAGAAAACAGTGGCCAACAGCGACTGGAGAAGCGGCCGGTGGTGGGAATATGGCTATGTCCGCCGTGTCGAGCTTCCGGGCGACGCCGATCCCAAAACTTCCGAAGCTTTTCTCTCCAACAAAGACGACCACTCTTTCTTAGAGATCAAAATCCCCAAGATTAATTCCAAGAACAAGTTTTAATCTGATGTGGCCTTGCCCCTTACGAGTATCATTAAGTTTAGGTTTTTCCTTCTTAACTATAGAATGATTTGTAATGATTTTCTGTGGTGGACACACAGATTATGAATGATACATTTATATACATACATGCGTACAAGCATGTTTATTATATTTGATCGGAAAATCGTATACTTAGACTATATAGTAATATAGATTATAGATTTACTAGAACTACACACTTTATGGAGTTTTATTTTTTCTTATATATAAGGGGAAATTGCACTAGATGCATATGGTTTCGGGGTATTAGTTAAATGACATGTGAATAGGGTATTTAGCCCCAATATATAAGCGCAGCCTGAGCCTAGTCTAAAACGCATCAAGGGCAAGACTTTAACCAGTAATATTTAGCCCAAACTTATATGCTATTTCGACGAGCTCCCCATAAAGTCTCAAACACTATTAAACTATAATAACACTACAAGAACTCAATTTTCCGATTCATTGGGTAGCATTTCGATCTTTGTCTAATACTAATTCCTGATTACTTTCAACAACACCATGTTTCTTGGAACGGGTGGAAAATGTTCAAAGAATATTATACATATGTCGTTAATTTTTTGCTAGCGTTTGAGACATTGAAATATTGAATCTAATAAAACCCAATACATGCGAAATGTAAATAGGCTTGAATTATATTTCCTTATATATGGGCTTTAGAATCAAACACCTAGTTTATGCTTAGAAGTTAGGATCCATTCAATAGGTAGAAAAATCATCACCAGTGTAACCGACGCAAATATGGACTACATATGTCAAAACCTACATTTTTCTTCAGTTGGATAACATTAATGTATTATCATTGGATTCTAACTTCTCACTTTAAATAGTGAAAATTTTCTTGAAATATTATTTGTAGTAGCTAGACGTTACTTTGCCATCGCCAATAGAAGTAATACCCATCATGTACTGAATCCTTTGTTTCCACAAAGATGTGACTCCATTCAAATATTCATCGGCATTTTTCATTCTAGGTTGAACATATAAAACAAAATCCAAAGAGATTACTGTCTCATATCAATAACTATTCTTAATCCATCCCTGATCTGAACATTCTTTCCATACTATTCACTTGGTTAGCATTTTCCTCTAACATCAGTAATTTTATGCGTGAGGTCGGTTTTACCGATTAGGTGAAGTAAGAGTAATTATTATTGTGTGGAGGTACAGAAAAAACTCCAAAGTGGACCACTTATTTGATTTTACATAAATTAAAAAGAAAAAGGATGACATATATATAATATATCCATTGGTGTTCTAAAAATAGGTTTAGATGATAATTACTTTACATTTTAATTTCTTCATATTCAAAAGAATGAGATTGAAAATTCCATACAATGCAAGATTTAAGTTTTTGGAGATCTCAAAACTCTTTCCTCGATTTTAAAATGGCTCGAATGGAAAATGATAAACAAAAAAAACTAGTTTGCTAAATTGTCCTTCTTTAATGGTTTTCATAGTGTTAGTGGAACAAGTTAAGTATATAACAGAACAGTATTAAACTATTCTTTTAACCGAGGAAGTAGGTCTACGTTTGATGTGAGAAAATGACTTTAGGTGAAACTTTCGAACTCTTGACCATAAATTGAAAATAGATTTGGCAACAACCTTTTCTTCATGTGAAGTGTTTGGTGCATTTCCTTAACAATTTCATACGAAAGAAATCATCTTTCTGACAATATGTTAAGACTATATAATACTGTATTTCGAATTTAATTTTTACGAAATTATGTAAGAAATTTCAGACGATGGATTTTAGATTTTTGAGACTTCTTGTACGTTATATATATATTTTTTATGGAGAACGGTTAAAAAATTATTTGTACGCTATTGTATAATGGGTCACACTGTTTATAAATTGTAAAATTAGTCGGTTGCAAATAGTAGATCGTTAATTACAATCTGATGCTATAATCTTAGTTGTTTTTTGGGGGGTTAAAAACATGTTGATTTTAGATTCTGTAATATAATATTAATCCGAAAATATTGTATAGAATTCCAAATTAATTTGATCCAGTTAGATAAGTGGGAGTAAACCATCATGGCTTAACGCTGAAGACTCCGATGAACTAATTCACGTTTCGATAAAGTTGCAACGAAAAAAAGGAGAAAAAAATACTTGGCACCCATTTGACGCAATTGAAGTACTAAAATTATATGAACCATATTCCTTACTAAGGAGAACATAGATTAAATATACGGTTTGTTGGTCATGAGATTAAATAAAAACAGGTTTACGACGTGGGATTTAATTTTTAATTTCCTTCGGTACAAAAAAATATTTTAATTCTTATAAACAATCTGTTTACATAGCTTTCAGTCACAACTATATTAAATTTTCAATAGTTTTAACGTCCGCGTCTAATATCAACACATCCGCTTTAGAAAACAAAGTTGTTTGAAGGCAACGATCAAAAATAGGTTTCGGAGTTCAAATAATTTGTCTTATAAAAATTTAGCTGTATTTTCTTAATCAATCGAAAAAAACCAGTGGAGACCACTACTGCTAACAATAAAATTTCAATTATAAGCTACATGCAGACCACAAATCATAGAAATCATAACTATGAAATGCATTTTATATCATATATTATACCAGTTTGCGAAGTCGGAGTTCTAGACTTGTTCAACATGATATTCGACGCCACGATTTTTACAAAACCCATAGTCTAATACATTTTATAATAATACATAAATCTAATTCATTATTTTTTTGTTAAAGTATAAATCTAATTCATATGATATAGTTTGACTATATCAGATTTGGCATGATCCTTGCATCACCCCATTAATCACCTTTGCATAAAGTAGTATGTGCTTTATCCAGATTAATATATTTTTAAATCTGGAAATATGCACCAAGTTCAAAACACATCTCATTATCTCAATAGTCAGAAATTTATTTACATAATAGTTTAAGAAAATAAAAGGTGAATCAAAAAGTTTGCAACACTATGAAATTAAACAGACTAATAATTTTTATTTTTTTTTGTGTATTCCATGATCCGATTTAGGAATATAATTATTAGAGTGTATAAAGTTGAGAAATGATTAGTGCGTCTCGAATGCACTAAATGCCTCTTCTTTTTTGTCAGCATACTTGTCTATATGTCACCATTCACTAACCTAAATTTTTTGTGACATTTTTTTGGTTTTGAATTGCGACCATTTAAGGTGATACTTACCTTTTTGAACCCCAAAGTTATATTAATATCAGTTATCCGAAAAAATGTATCTCACAAGTCTTTTTTAATTCAATGCATGATATTTTAATTACGTCCATTTACATCAACGACGACATTTCAACTGCCAAATTGAGCTCGCTGCTCAGACCATTAGACTTTCACATGAAATTTGACATCTCGTCAGGGTACGAGACAGAATCTAAGAATTACACGACAGAAGACAATTTTTCGTTCGGACAATTTTAGCCCATACCTTTTCAAGCCAGAAACGTGACTTTTATGAGCAATATTTGGAGCGATTCTAAGGGTAATTTCGGTAAGATCAAATATCCACTTTTTTCTGAAAGGAATCTCTTGATAAAAAATGCTGACGTATCGCATTTTACCGACACGTTATTGTTAGCTTTTTTTTTAATAATCAGTATTAGTTTATTCAATTTCCAATTATAAATCTGTGAGATTACCAATACAAGTCTATGGTAAGATATTTTACGTCGTTGGTTAGAAGCAAACAAAAAGATTCCATCTAAAAACATGTTTGTAATTCATTTTTTTTTCTCCACTTCTCCTTGCATTCGATTTATGTTGTTTTTTTTAGTATTCAGGATTAACTTGTAATTATTCATACAAAACATTTAAACAATTTTGTATACTAATTTTTAGCTGAGAAAAGAAATCCTCGGTATTCATTTTTTTTTCCCTCCCCTTCTCCTTGCATTTGATTTATGTTGTTTATTTTAGTATTCAGAATTAACTTGTAAGTATTCAGGATTAACTTGTAATTATTCATACAAAACATTTAAACAATTTTGTATACTAATTTTTAGCTGAGAAAACAAATCCTCGGTAATTCATTTTTTTCTCCTTGCATTCGATTTATGTTGTTTATTTTAGTATTCAGGATTAACTTGTAATTATTCATACAAAACATTTAAACAATTTTGTATACTAAATTTTAGCTGAGAAAAGAAATCCTCGGCAGTTCATTTTTTCTCCACTTCTCCTTGCATTCGATTTGTATTGTTTTTTAGAATTCAGAATTAACTTGTAATTATTTAGGGGTTGGATTAAATCATTAAAGTCATAATTAAGTCCACTGACCTTACCCTCACTGCCCCTGGTCCTAAAAGACTCCTCACATTTTTATTCTCTAATTTATTTTGCTGTTTAGTAAAGCAACGGCTGTGATTGCACTTCCTCGGTGACTTCAGATCCAATCAACGGCCCCACGTTCATCTCTTTCTCTCTCTCTCTGAACATTCAAACAACAAATATAGAAAGAAGTAGCCAGCAGCAAGAGACGAGAGGAACATCAAAACTGAAACGTGCCTCCATTTCTATACCCAAATCTTTTAGTACACAAAGGATACAAGCCCTCTTAAATGCCAAAGGTCCTCCTTTTATCTTTTCTCGTGTTCTTCATTCTCAATAGTTTTCACAAATCTGGGCATGTTTTTTCTCTGAAATCCACATTCATTCTTCTCTTTTAAGATCAGTGGGTTTCTTTACTCTTTTTAATCTTCTCTCTTAAAGTTTCAATCTTTAGGTTCTGATATATGTTGTGTGTTTTTCGTTCAAATCAATGTTTTTGTTTCTAATTTAAATCTTCACCTTCACGGGTTTCCTTCCTTTTTTTTCCCCATTTTACTCCTTTACCCAAATTTATCATTTTTCTTTTTCTAAAGATCTCTAATAAGATATAAAAAAACAAACCTTTTTTGCAGGTTTATGCTTTGATTGGCAGAGAAGAGAGAAATTTGAAGTAATTAGGTAACAAGAAGAGATAATTTTTTTCCTTGTTATGGTGGGGGCGATGGCAAACAATGGAAGAATCCGGTCAGCTTTTCCGGTGGCTAATGGGTCAAAAGATCTGACTTCGAACAGTGCTCCGGCGAGCACGGCGGGATCTGAATATGGTCCAGTTGAGTTCACAAGAGAAGACGTTGAAGCTCTTCTTAATGAGCGAATCAAGTACAAGAGCAAGTTCAACTACAAGGTTTCATTAAATTTATCATTTATTTTTCTTTTACCAGAATCTCATATTCTTCTTGTGTATTGTAATTTTTGATGAGGGTAAAAAATGAATCTAATGTAGATTATATGTTTGCTATTATGACTGATGTTTGAATTTGATTATGTTGTGGTCATGAATAAGCTTATCAATTAGGGTTCTTGTTAATAGAGAGTTTAGTGGTTAAATCTTGAGTAAAGAAGTTTTGAATTTTAAGTAGTTTTACTGGCTTTTCTCGTTGGATCCGTTGGTTTTTTGAAACAAGATTTGATTTGTTATAAGACAATTTGTGGGACCTTTTTTTTGGCAATAGCATTCAACACGTTGTTTTAAGTGTTGATCTTTTGTGGTAGAATCTCTAGGCTTAAATTTCAGTTTCCTTACTGGCTTTTCTCGTTGGATCTGTTGGTTTTGAAGAAGATTTGATTTGTGGGACCAAAATAGTTTTGTTTGTTTGATAAGCATTAAAGACTTTTTTGTTTATGTGTTTTGACCCTTTTGGCCGAATCTCTTTTAGGTCTGAGTTGGTTAGCTTGAATTTTTGAATGTTCTTCTTGGTGGTTGATTTTGCAGGAAAGATGCGAGAATATGATGGATTATATAAAAAGACTTAGACTTTGCATTAGATGGTTTCAAGAACTTGAGTTGGATTACGCTTTTGAGCAAGAGAAGTTGAAGAACGCTTTGGAATTGAATGAGAAGCATTGTGCTGATATGGGTGTGTTTCCAAATTAGAGTTTAGTTTTGAAATTATTGCGTTAAGAGTTTTTGGATTTAAACTTTATATGATTGCATTTTGGATGACAGAGGTTAGTTTGAAAAACAAGGAAGAGGAGCTGAATATGATAATTGAGGAGCTGAGGAAGAATTTTGAATCTGTTCAAATTCAACTTGCCAAGGAACAAACGGAGAAGTTGGTAAGAAGCTGCTAGTTCCTACTTAAAAAAGCTTGCGTGTAATTGTACATATTTGTTGGTTTTAACTCTTGATATGTTCTCATTAGGCCGCAAATGATTCTCTTGGACAAGAGAAAGAAGCAAGACTTGCTGTTGAAAAGGCACAAGCTGGTCTCACAGAAGAGTTAGGAAAAGCACAAGGAGAACTTCAAACGGCTAATCAGAGGGTGAGGAAACTCCAAAAGGATCTAAAATTTTAAATTGCTGTCACCTAATTTTGACTAATGTTGACTGTATTTTTTTGGGGTTTGTTCAGATACAATCGGTGAATGACATGTACAAACTGTTGCAAGAGTATAACTCAAGCCTGCAGCTGTATAACAGCAAGCTACAAGGTGATCTTGATGAAGCTCACGAAACTATAAAACGCGGCGAGAAAGAACGGACTGCCATTGTCGAAAATATTGGCAACTTGAAGGGTCAGTTTTCAGCTTTGCAGGATCAGCTTGCTGCTTCTAAGGTGATTGACTGTTTAATTTGATCAATGTCAGTAAGTGTTTGTAGTTTATGTCAGAAATGTGATTAGGTGTCTTGTTTTATTGCTAGGCCTCTCAAGATGATATTATGAAGCAGAAAGCCGAATTGGTAAACGAAATCGCCAGTCTCAAGGTCGAGCTTCAGCAGGCTAAAGATGACCGTGATCACCATTTAACGGAGTTAAAAACCTTACAAACCGAGGCAACCAAGTATAATGACTTCAAAGACACCATAATCGAGCTTGAGGTTTCCTATCCATTTATAACTTCTTGCAAAACAATTCTCCGCAGATTAATTTTTGTTCTCAGGATGATGTAAATGTTTTGGTCCAGGCTACATGTTCGTCCCAGGATACTCAGATACGAGAGTTGCAAGATCGGCTAGTATCTTCTGATAGGAGACTGCAGGTTTCATCACATTCTCGAGTTTCACATTTAACAAATGACTATTATCAGATTTTACAAGTTCTTAAGTTTTTGATACCATTCTTGATTGTTTATGGTTTAGATGTCTGATCTAACTACCTTTGAGAAAATGAATGAGTTTGAAGAACAGAAGCAAACCATTATCGACCTGAAAACTCGCGTAGAAGAAGCAGAGCTTAAACTCGTTGAAGGAGAAAAACTACGGAAGAAGTTGCACAATACTATTCTTGTATGATTCTCTTACCTAACCTCTGCCACACTTGGTTTCCTTCCCCTTTGTCTAATAGCTTGCCTGATCCTTGTTTACTCTCATGTTGCAGGAATTGAAAGGCAACATACGTGTGTTCTGTAGAGTTAGACCTCTATTGCCGGGAGAGAATAATGGTGATGAGGGAAAAACCATTTCTTACCCATCATCTTTAGAACTACTTGGTCGCGGTATTGACTTGATGCAAAACGGTATGAAACTAAAAACTTCTGCAGAAACGTGGTTCTTGCGGGACATTACACAGTTTTTTACATTTGATGTGTTTTTGCTATGAACAGCGCAAAAGCATTCTTTCACATTTGACAAGGTTTTTCTGCCAAATGCATCACAAGAAGACGTTTTCATAGAGATTTCTCAACTTGTTCAGAGTGCTCTCGATGGTTACAAGGTAACTAAAATCTGCAAATGGCAAATAGGATTATGTGTATTTCACTGTTTGTTGGACTAATTAAAGGTGTTATAATCCATATTGTAGGTGTGCATTTTTGCATATGGACAAACGGGTTCAGGTAAAACTTACACAATGATGGGTAGACCAGGAAATCCCGAAGAAAAAGGACTGATCCCGCGATGTTTGGAACAAATATTTGAAACGAGACAGTCTCTTCGATCTCAGGGTTGGAAATACGAGTTGCAGGTCTGTTTTATTAATCTTGTCTTTAACTTCCACCAAGTAAGATACATCATAGTGTTTTAAAATAAGATATATGATTATCCTGGTCTTGATTCATATGTAAAGGTCTCTATGTTGGAAATATACAATGAAACGATCCGAGATCTCTTGTCAACGAATAAAGAAGCAGTAAGAGCAGACAATGGCGTCTCTCCACAGAAACATGCTATTAAACATGATGCTAGTGGGAACACACATGTCGCTGAGCTTACTATTTTGGATGTTAAAAGCTCCCGAGAGGTTTCATTCCTCTTAGATCATGCTGCTCGTAACAGGTATATAGCTAAAAGTAAAACCCATTTCAAATAACTACAAACTAAAGGAGTTATTAACAAACTGGCTATCAAGATTCACGGTTTTTAAAGTTGGTTTCTTTCTTCTTTAGATCGGTAGGGAAGACTCAGATGAATGAGCAATCGTCAAGAAGCCATTTTGTTTTCACACTAAGGATTTCCGGTGTCAACGAGGTATTTTAGTAACCAAATCTGTTTTGTTTTCTTATTTTGTTCTATTGCTTGATTTCTGTTTTGTCTAATAGACCAAACTGTTTAATCTTCTTACAGAGCACTGAGCAACAAGTACAAGGGATCTTGAACCTGATTGATCTTGCAGGGAGTGAGCGTTTATCGAAGAGTGGATCAACCGGAGATAGACTTAAAGAAACTCAAGTAAGTTCTTTACAAACATAAAACAAAATTATGGTGTTTCTTGATATTTTTAGCTTAAAAAACTGTCTTCTTTCTTTAGGCAATCAACAAGAGCTTGTCGTCTCTTGGCGATGTCATTTTCGCCTTAGCAAAGAAAGAAGATCATGTACCATACCGAAACTCAAAGCTCACTTATCTTCTCCAGGTACTAACTACTTTACAAAACACAACACCATCAAAATATTTTGTTTCTTGAAATTGTGTATGATGATAAAACTATGTTTCATTTGTCATCCAGCCTTGCTTAGGCGGTGACTCTAAGACGCTAATGTTTGTGAACATTGCACCGGAATCTTCTTCTACCGGTGAGTCTCTCTGCTCGCTTAGATTTGCAGCGAGAGTGAACGCTTGTGAGATTGGAACTCCGCGTAGGCAGACTAACATCAAGCCATTGGATCGTTTGAGCCTTGGATGAGAGAAAGAGAGATGAATTTGAGGTTTGAAGCTTGAAGCTATAAAGCATCATTATTAAGTTAATTGTATGAATATTTGTACTTAAAATATGGTTCAAGGATGGGATGATTCTAACGGGAAGACCTTTTGTTGTAATCTGTATAGTTTTGTTTAGCATCTTAAAAAATCTGTTGTTTCTGTAATTTTTTTTCTTCTTCTGGATCAGTAGGATTTTGCTTGTTGATGTTTGGATTCATATTAAATTTTCTCTGAGATTCAAAATATTCATTTCTCTGAGTTTTGGATCAAGTAATCAGGTCTAGAAGTTTATTGGTAATTCTTCTATAGGGAATATTTCATAGAAAATCACCAAGTTATTGATGGTTTTTATACAATTTACATGATTTGAAAAAAAAAAAATACAATTTACATGGATTAACACATTTTCAACTGGTATTAAGATATACATGCAGTGCAGTTTAAACTTCACAAGAAGTATATCAGCTCCAATAATTTACTCCAAAGGGTTCAAGTTAGAAATAAACAAAAACAGAATTTTATTAATAGAATTCTACCAATTTTTATAAGGATGATGAAGATATATGTTTTAGTAAAAGGAACAGATTTTCTTTAGCTGAGGACTAAATATAGTAGGAAGTAGGAACAATGTATTAAAATTTCATTGATAACTGAGAATTCACTTGATTCTATATAATGTTTATTTTTTATTTAGGTTGTTCTGGAAATTGTAATATTGGATAGGTAGCTAGAAAATGAAATCAACATGGTGATATGAGATGACTAATAACATTATTACCAAAAATCACTGGACTAGAGAAGTTTTAGTTATTTCAAATCACCATGTTGATTTTGGAGAGAGTCTGGCCTGGTCCATCAACATCCTGATATCCATGCGAATTGATAATTCACTAAACCTTATATTCTTATTAGGTTTAATTTAGCCGTAATCGATTTCTTCTCCGGATATATTGAATATTGAATATATAAGGAAATCTGTTTAGAAAACCCATAACTTATTGTATGATAGAGTCAACTCCTGTTGAATTGCTTTTAAATATTGAGATAGCAAAACTAAAAGAACATCTGGAACTATGGCAAAATTCATGCCTCCACCACTCCACGGAACTTGGGAAAAGAATAAGTCAAACTTTAAAATATTTGTGCAAATACCTATTTATATATATATATATATATATATAATTATATATCATTGCATTCATAAGTTATTAACATTTGATTCAGAATATTGAAGTTTATTATAGATACTCAACTTGATATATGACGCCAGTTCTACATACATTATTAATGAATCTAAAAGCAATTTGGATAAGGCGGATCATATTTTTATATATCCCTTTGTGTTGAGTATAAATTTCGTAAGTTTATTTATAATGAATCTTTACATGACTCACAAATTGACATTAACTATTGTATTTTCATTATAAAAAAATGGGGTTCCTATCTTTTTTTTTTATTAGCCGATGCTAGATATCGAATGTCTTGTATGTGTTATTGTTTTCCTTTTTATAATAGTAGTGAAAGGCTATAATAAGAAGAAAAGGATATATAATCAACTGTGTAGGTTTTATTAAAATATGTATATAAATACTATAATATAAAAGGACAATGTACATATAAAACAATTCAACAGAAAATATGCTAATAAGTAGTATATAAATATAATTAGAGAATATACCTACGGTGTATTGATGGATATTCCTGATCAATAGTAGCTGAAGTCTATTTATCAGTTTGGCCTTCATTTTGGAAGAAAATATGTCGATTTCTACGTGACACATAACACAGTTACAGTATATGCAACAGGGTCGTCTTATGTATTAGGGGGGGGGATAAATATTTACTTATTGACCCCAAAAGATTCCTTTCAGAATCCACCGTTCCTATATTGTAAAATTTTGGACTTGAACCTGAGATGTCGATGGGCATCTTAGATTGTTATTACAAAAGTTGACACTAATAATAAGTTATTACAATGGTAGTTGAAAGATGAATGTCTATCTGAAATCAAGAAAATAAATGTATCAAAAGATACCATCATACCAAATACGTCATAAATTATGTTATGTATAGAGTGTTAAGCCTCTTTGATCATACCTGGTTCTCCTTTGAAATATTAACAGTTAGAAAATCAGTATATAATTAACTTCAACTAATCCGAACTGATCTAAATTATTTAGTTTCATACGGAATATTCTTTGACTTTATTTGTTACAAATTCTTAAGGAATTTTCATGTATGTACGGGAGGAAGCAGAAGAATTTGATCTCCTAGATCACGACCATCCAACCATGTTCTCGAATAATTTCGATCCAATCCAACTAATTAGAGAATATACCTACGGTGTATCGATGGATATTCCTGATCAATAGTAGCTGATAAGTCTATTTATCAATTTGGCCTTCATTTTTGGAAGAAAATAAGTTGATCTCTACGTGACATATGTATATGCAAAAGGGTCGTCTTATGTATTGTGGGGGATAAAAAAATTTACTTATTGTCCCCCAAAAATTCCTCTAATTCTTTTCAGAATCCACCGTTCCTATATTGTAAAATTTTGGATTTGAACCTGAGATGTCGATGGGCATCTAAGATTATTATTTTTAAAACTTGACACTAACAATAAGTTATTACGTACAATGCTAGTTGAAAGATTAATGTCTATCTCAAATCAAGAAAAGAAATGTATGTATCAAAAGATTCCATCATAACAATACGTTAAAATATTATTATGTTATGTATAATAGAGTGTTAAGCTTCTGTGATCATACCTGGTCCTCTTTTGAAATGTTAACAGTTAGAAAATGCCGAACTGATCTAAATTATATAGTTTCGTACGGAATATTCTTGACTTTCCTTGCTACAAATTTTTAAGGATTTTTTCATGTATGTACGGGAGGAAGCAGAAGAATGTGACCTCCTAGATCACGACCATCCAACCATGTTCTCGAATAATTTCGATCCAATCCAACTAATCTGATCACATAAAAAAAATCATCCATTTAATATGTGAATAAAAGCCAAATGGTCAAATAAAAAACACATATATATGTTGATATGTAATATCACACTAAGGGGTAAAACAGTAATATTCGAATCGAAAGTCTCGTTTTATTAGAAGATAGTTTAGAAAAATACAACTTAGTTAAGATCGTCGTAGTTTCGACGACCTTGTTAACAAAGGAAGATGACGATCTCAAAGTTCTTCAAAGGTCTCTCTGCTGTTTATTTGCGGATGCCTCGAATGAATGAAATTATTCCCTATTTATATGAATTCTAAGGCGGTTTGAGAAGAACTTTTCTTTTCCTTCTCGATATGGGATTTAACATTTTTCTCCCCGGTATTTTCGGAAATCCTCCGTGAAATTCGGGAAAGTCGGCCAATTTCGTAAATTGGACTTTAATAGGTATTCTAGAAAGTCATATGTCGGCCCACCCGATTTAACTTCGATCCCAATCTTTATAAACCGAAGTCTTTCCGGACCGGTCTCGATTAATACCGAGTTAAACCGGGAGTGTGAATTACACCACCAGTATACTACTACATTCTTTTAAGAGTGATGATAAGTATCGTTGACAAAAAAGAAGAAGAAGGTGATGATAGGTAATCTAGTGGTTACTGGTCTCATAGTTGAAACCAAAAATCGATTTTTCATAAAACTGATTCATTGTATTTTTTTACTGCATATATACTTCTTTGAAAAACTGTACTTAATTCTTGTGGCATTTCAACCAAGATATTTGCAAAACTTATAATTCTATAAATATATGCAAAATGGTGCATATTGATATTACGTACAGTTGTAGACTTAAAGTATTTGCCCTTTCATTATACAGTTATAATAAACGTAAATTTCTACCGTTTGACCTTTGTTTAATTTTTTACTGTTAGAAAAACACTATAAACTTAAAATATTAATATCGGACTGACCAGTTTTTCATGTAAGGAATATTTTTGACTTTATTTTCACAAAATTTAAAGCAACTTTTCATGTATGTACGGGAGGAAGCAGGAGAGTTTGATCTCCTAGATCACGACCATCCAACCATGTTCTCGAATAATTTCGATCCAATCCAACCAACCTGATCAGAAATAATTATCAATTTCGTTTGTTAAATCTTATAAGCAACGGGCAATATAAAACACATACCACATAGTACTATGTTTTTTTTTAATTATCAGAAATAAATAAAACCAGCTAAGTGATGATAGATATTGTTAATTTGATTGGTAATCCCTTACTATAACAGTAAAAGATATAATGCTCTTCATATTTTTTTCCTTATATGGCTATCTTTTAATGTTACTTTTTACGTTTTTCATATTGAATATTCTACTGGGTATTTATTTACTTGAATAAATTGTGTAGCTTATTTATTTTGGCATTTCAAACCGAAATTAAAATACAAGCAAGCTTGAGCTGAGCGGTTGAGATTTTGTTTTTTCTTGAAAATATAATTACTAGTTGTATTGATAAAATATGATGATGTCACACAAATGAATGAATAAATAAATTAAAAAAACATTAGATATAATATATGGGCCTTGTAAGCCCAAAAAGTATGAAGTCTGCGCGTGAAAACAACTCTAATCTCTGGATTCCAAGATTCCACAACAATTCGTCTCCTCCAACAGTTTTTTTCTTCTTCTATGTTTCCTTCGACACACAAAAATATATAATTTAACGGCAGAAATCGCTTTGGCTAAATTTCCCTCTTCCACAAAAGGATCTCTCTGATCGCCGCCGGGAAAATTCAATTCACCGGGAGTGTTATATACTCGCCGTATTCTTTTTTCCCCTTTTTTTTCACCGGTGGAGTTTCAGGAGATGGTGTCGCCCGAAAACGCTAATTGGATTTGCGACCTGATTGATGCCGACTATGGAAGTTTCACAATCCAAGGTCCAGGTTTCTCTTGGCCCGTGCAGCAACCTATTGGCGTTTCTTCAAACTCCAGGTTCGTTTTTTTTTTAATTGAGCTCTTCCCTCTTGTGTCTAAGTGCTTCAAATTAGGGTTCTGATCTGTTTTTAAGAGCTTCAGATTGATTTGGGAGAAATTAGTGTAGCATGTTTGTGTGATTGCTTGAAGAATTTCTTCTGGTTAACACTGGCATGCGAGTGTGTGGCGTTTCATTTTGATCAAGGAAAAGCCTAATTACTTGCTCACATATTAGCATATTCAGCTAAAAAAATGGACTTTTTTCTCATAGGGTTTAAAAAAAAACAATATTTCAAGAGTAAAATTGTGGTGGACTTCGTAATTTGCTTGGCTAAGTTGAAGCTTGTGGGATTGTTTGAGTAGCTTATAGAGAAGAAACTGAGACCCTATTGTTACTTCTTTACCATCGAAATATACTTTTTAAGCTTAAAAATTGGTTTCTTTAGCTGGTGAGATTTCGTTGCACTTCGTAAAATGATGTGAAGTCTTCAGGAGAGGTCTTTGGTTTGTTTATCCAAAGTCAACTGTGTGTGTGCCTGACATGTTTTAGTGTACTTCTGACATGTTGCTAGATTCCGGAATCGATTGATCTATATCACTTTATTAGGTGGGAATTAGATTCGTTTTTGTGGATAGGGCCTTCTATCTGAGTGGCTGGTTTGACCTAACCATGCTAAATATTCTTAATAAATCTTGTTCCTTGGTAATGAGCAGCTGTAAGTTTTTGCCTGATTGACTATAAGTTTTCGGAGCTTTTGTTGGATATAGATAAGTGTTAGAATGATTTCTGGTAATTCTCTTCGATTGTTTGTATTGTAGTAATAACTTAGTTGCTTTGATGTTTTTTCTTGTTGATTCAGCGCGGGAGTTGATGTCTCAGCTGGAAATTCAGAAGCCAGCAAGGAACCTGGCTCCAAAAAGAGGTAAGCTTCTTCTGGTAAACTTCATCTGTCGCGCTTTTATTCGAAAAACTGACTGAAACACGAAACTATAGCAACTTCTGGAATTTAAAACTTTGAGAAACCAGTTCATGACTGAACTGTTTTGGGGGATTTGTATTGGCTCTCTTCAAATGCTTTTGGCTTGACAAGGTTTCGGAAAAAAGTAACACTGGTCATTACTTGTCTCAGGGGTAGATGTGAATCATCCTCTGCCACTGGCTCAAAAGCATGTAGAGAGAAGCTGCGACGTGACAGATTGAATGACAAGTAATCTTTTTATTTCGTATTTCCTTCTTTTCCCTCACGTAGGAACTGAAATTTATAGCCTTTTTTAATGAATAACAGGTTTACGGAATTGGGTGCAATTTTGGAGCCTGGGAATCCTCCCAAAACAGACAAGGCTGCAATCTTGGTTGATGCTGTCCGCATGGTGGCACAGCTACGGGGCGAAGCCCAGAAGTTGAAGGACTCCAATTCAAGTCTCCAGGACAAAATCAAAGAGTTAAAGGTAAAAATTTTCTTTGATTTGTGGTCATCCATTGAAATTCATCGAAATGCTTACTAGTTTCCTTGTGATTTCGATCAGACTGAGAAAAACGAGTTGCGAGATGAGAAACAGAGGCTGAAGACAGAGAAAGAGAAGCTGGAGCAACAGCTGAAAACCATGAATGCTCCTCAACCAAGCTTTTTCCCAGCTCCACCTATGATGCCAACTGCTTTTGCTTCTGCACAAGGCCAAGCTCCCGGAAACAAGATGGTGCCAATCATCAGTTACCCAGGAGTTGCCATGTGGCAGTTCATGCCTCCTGCTTCAGTCGATACTTCTCAGGATCATGTCCTTCGTCCACCAGTTGCTTAACTGGGAGACAAAGACCTCAGGAAAAAAAATCATCAATTGGTTTGCTTCTCGCTTCCGCTGAAAGAAAAGTCTCCATTTGTTTTGCTCTCCTCTTTCTCGGCTTTCTTAGTCTTATCGTTGCTTTCGTTTTATGGTGTTATCTTCGTAACTGTTATCTGTTGAACAATGATATGACATTGTAAAACTCCAATTGCTTTGCGCAATGTTATCTATTCACATGTAAATTTAAGTAGAGTTTGGCAGATATTCTCACACATTATGTGTTCTTACATTAATACATAGAATGTTCCTCGCCATAAGAGTCTTGAAAGTACAAAAAATTAGAAACAGGAGAGACTGAAAACTAAAGAGACAGCAAAACATGATCTGGAAGAGGGTATCTTGACCAGAGAAGTACAAACTCCATTGAAGAAAAGTTTGCTCCTATGTTTCATGTTTGGATCTGTGAATCTCTCTCTTCTCTGGGTTTTAGCCAATGTACGAACTGAGTTTTGGTTTTGTGATTATTATGATGAAGCTCTAATGTGACAGCTCTTGATGAACCTGTCAGAGGAATCAAGATACTTAGCCCAGAGAGGACGTAAATGAGGAAATGCTATATCAAGCCAAGGCTTAGCTCTTCCGTTGAAATGAACAACAGCTGCGCTTTCAGCATCAGCAAAGCTCGTGGTCTCTTGGTATCCAAGACCAAGCATATGCCAGAACGGATCTATGGTCTGGACATGACCGTGGAAAGCTATCAACCCGGGAGGCAAAGTTCCCAGCTGCCACAAACTCAGGTCTGATTTTAAGTTCTGCAACATAATGCATGAAAATGGTCATGAGTTTTAAGTTGAATGCCACTTGATAATGAGTTATGTTTTAGTTAGTGGTTTTGAATTACCTCGTCAAGCCAATGATAGTAAGTGGAGCTTATGTTAGTCTTTCTCCAAGCCGCTAAGTCGAAAACATTCATCCCGTAAGCCCAAGCACATTCCTCTGGGTCAAAGTTTCTGGCAATTATCGGGTTTGAGAAATTGAGGTAACTCTTGAACTTCTTTGACATGACAAACTTGTCTTCTCCTCTACATGTCTCCACTGCTCCATTCACTTTCCCATCCATGTCAATGTCCCAAAGAGGTGAAAGATCAGTTTGGATCACAATGTCATCGTCTAGAAACACAACCTTGTTTAGGCTCGGAAACAACTGCGAAGAAACAAAGACTGTTGAGGCATTCAAAGGGGTAATATAATGCTCAAGTATTTTCTCAATTATGGAACTTACCTCTGGTAGATGAATACGGATGTGATTCATCAAGGAGTTATACTTAGGGCTAAGAGCTTGTAACTTAGCAGCAACAACAACCGGATTTTCGTTGTTATTAGCCACAATAACCGATGATCCACCTCTGAATTGAGACCTCACTCTCTGATCCTTCTCCATAGCTTCCAAAACCGGGACTTTCCCTTTTGATAACCAATCAAAATGATGCAAAGCCTTGACTTCAATTATTGCTGGAGACAGAGGATGCAATGAGAACCAAGCTTGCATTGGGAAATAAGTTTTCCTATCCGTTATGATGTGAAGAACGATCTTGTGAGGTCTCAAAGAGTTTTGAACCAATGACTTAGCCACAACCGAAGCTGCAAGAATATTGTCTGAAGCCAAGACATAGTGAAAGTAGTTGTTGTCGACTAAGGTTGGGACTAGCTCGGCGTCTGGAAGCTGGAGACGTGCGGCTGCGTTTATGGAATGTTCGTTGGCTAGTTTAAGAGCTAAACAGTGAAGTTGTTTGGGAATGCTGCTTGATGCGACGTGTCGGTATAAATACTCTTGGATCTTAGCCGTTCTTGTTCTTTGTTCCATCAATGTGACCATTTCTTTTAGCTTTTGAGCAAACTCTCTTGCGTCTGATTTGCTTCTTTTGACTTCTGACATGAAATCTTGAAGTGTTTGAGGTATGTCTGATCTTCCTTTTAGCTCTTGTTCATTTAACGGCTGTTCCAAAACTTGGTACATAGCTTCTGGAACATTCTAAATAACCAAAGAAAAATAACCTTTTTTAACCACAGTAAATGTAAATGTGTTCAAGGGTCTGAAATTGAAGTTAGAGAACTTACACCAGACTCAACAACCCTTCTTCCTAAAAGCTTTGGCTTTAGTCTTTTTCCCAAGCAAGCTGTTAATTAGAAATAAAAAAAAGAAAACTTTGTCTCATATCTAGATAATGTTTTAATTATGAGATTAACTAATTTCTCTCTTTTGAATCTTTGAAATGATTTTAAATATTTGATGAAGCTCGACCATTACACTACAAAATAAACCTGAAACAAACCGACCAGTTCTTGGATTATTCACTTTTGGGCGTAAATCTCTAGAAGTAATTGAATATCATTCGTTTAGATTATTCTTTTACATGAACTTCAACTATTGTATATTTATTTATTAGTGTATCTACAAAATGATCAAAAGTAACAATGAAAACGCAGTTATCTATTTACAAATTTTTCAAGAAAATGTGAGGAAATCAAAATTTTAAATTCAGAGCGAAAAGAAAAACAAAAAAAATATCTTGCGATTAGTAGTTGAAACATTAACTTAAATTTCCGGATTTAGATAAAAGAAAGCAAGAAAGAGAGAAGTAGAAGAAACGTACCAAGAGAGGAGCAAGGAGACGGATCGCCATCGATAGTATCAACGGTGGAGAGAACGAAGACGAATCGGAGAAGAAAAGTGAAAAAGAGCAAAGAGTAAAACATCATCTGATACGAGAATCTTCTAGAACCCACCTTCACTTTTATGAACTCTCTCAATCCTTTCCCTGTGACCACAGTCACATGTCTCAAGCTCGGAGATATATGCAATTGCATCTTTCTCTGTTTTTTTGCTCTGTTCTGTTTACTGTCTTTGTTCGCCTTTTCTTTTCTGAATGTGGTTTTGTCTGAATGGAGATGGATGTCCGAAGAGGGAAAATGGGATCTTACGTTGTTATGTATTGTGTATGTTTGGTTATTCAAAAGGGTCTATGTCATTTACCTAACCTTGCTTTGTGTTTAGGTTATTAATGGCAGATCGTATCTGATGTTTCATGTGAAGAAAATGAAATGTTTTTGTTTGTTAGAATTACAAAGGCCACGGTTTGATGTAATGGGTTTCTGTTAAGAAAAAGCTTTGGTTTTTTTCCCGGTATATAACTATAACATTCAAGACGTTGTTGTTAATTTATCTGATTAACCGTAACCAAGATTCTTGTTGGTATGGTATAGATCGGTTCGGTTTAGGGGAATTCGGTTTAAGAATTAGGCTTTATATTGAAGGAGGGAAGTTGGAGAGAGATAGACAAGTCAAGGGAAGGCAACGCAGAGATGGTTTAAAAAAATATTGAGAGTGTAGATGAAAAGGAGCTATTTGGTGGTTACAAGGCATAGCTTTACCTCTAAATAAAGTCTTTGAACAAAGACATTGTAGCTTCAACTTCAGAATTTACTTTTTGAGGACTAATTTCCTCTCTAATTTCTATAGCTACCCTTTTTTTTTTAAACTTAAGTTGTTCTGTCTGGCCCCTACCCAAACAAGAAGTCTTTTTGTTATTTACTTTAGCTTCCTTTGTAATATATATGATTTGCACGTTTCAGTTTCTGCTAGTTATGGAAACCTTTTGGGCCTAGTTCTACGGCCTTAATAAAGATACAATTCACATAAGATATATAGAGGATCGAACCTGAGTTGGAGAGGACATCTATCAAATAAAAGTAAAAAAAGTTGATACAAAAGCATTGAATCTGAAAAGAGTTTTTTTTTTGTATCCATAATAGATAAAAATGATATTGTACATTTAAAAAAAAAACTTGTTGTCAACAAACATATTATCCAAAAACATTTGTTATTGTTCTTTTTTTTTTTTGTCTACAACATATATCCCAATTTGAACATTGGAGATGATAAGCATCGACACACATAAAAAAACCATCAATCACTCATAGATCATGTGACTTATAAAATCTTATTATATAATAGAAAATGATTCAAAGTTAATTATTCGCTTAAATTGTAGAATATCTTATTATAAGTCCATCCTTATCTAGTATTTAGTATCATGCTAAACTATAGTAGCCTTTTTTTAGATTAGCGGCCATGTCTACGTACCTATCCTTGCGCACTGGCGGGATAGTCAAGTGGTCAAGAAGATGACCCTTCCTTATTTGATATTTAGCCAGCTTGAAATGTAGATAAACAAACATAACGCCTAGCGTCAAGCTAGCGATAGCAAGAGTGGCATAGTGTCAGGATGGGATCTGAAAATTTGGGGGCTAGAAACAATTTAAGAACAAATATTTTTTTTGTGATTTGGAGGCCCAAAAATTCGTAATAATCAAAGAAAAATTTTGGAAGCTATAGGCGGATGTTTCATCAGGTTATCCCCAGATCCGGCCCTGCATAGAGTAACCATTTGGTTTCTCTAAAATTAGGTAAAATTACCGATGTTGCGGAGACATAAGCACTTGCCATGGCTCCAACAGCCACCCACATCATCCTATGAGCTATAACCAAGAATTTCAAAAGTGAATCTTCGTTGTATGGTATAATGCAAACCAGAAGAACGACCATACTCACTGATGTAAACAAAACGATGCTATTGCTTATCTTGAAGATCATGAAAGCTAAGGTTCTTGCCGCGGTTGATTTCCCTATGGAATGTTCTTCTTGATAGACCCCACCAGGTGGGTTTATACCGCATGTAAAAGTAACCGATGCAATCAAGACCGCGACAATGGTGAGAGTATTCCTAGCGCTTTGCAAAGCCTCCAATTGCATCTCAAATTTTTTGTTTGGACTACTTTTAACTCTTACAATTTCCTTCTGGAGCTTCAAGTCATCGACTTCTTGGCTATCAAAATTTCCCATTTCTCTAGGACTCGGTGGGCGTTCAATTACTATTTCCAGATCACACATCATCAGAGCGGTAAATAGCTGAAGGAAATCTCCATCATCTTTGTTGAGAAGGTCAACCGCTACAAAACCCTTCTTGTTCTTGGTGGTGACTTTTACTTCTGTTTCCTTTATTATATATTTTACCAGCTGTAATATGTCCAAATGGAAAATGTTAACCAAAGCAGGAAACCAACAACAAAACCCGCATATTTGAATTTTTCAAATCATATCACTTTTCATGAGTGTGTTATTTTAAATGCATTTACACTCATTTGATATTTTTTTAACTATCAAATAACGATTCTACGTACAAACCTTTAGTCAAAAATTATATTAAAAACGATTCTACATAATTTGTTTTTGCATCACGGCAGTTATATATATAGTATTTCCAAGTAATGTTAAAGAAGAGGAAAGGTTGTTAGGTGGAAATTTTAAAGCAATTTGGAACTTTAGAAGAGGTTGATAAATGAAAGAAAAATTTATTTTAAATATATTTTCTATGTAGTCATCGTTGGGACGTTAAAAGAAAAATAGTCATCGTTGGGTCTAAGCACAACGTATAGAAAACGAAATAAATAAAAGAAGAAGGAGAAGGAGAAGGAGAAATAGAAAACTTACGGCAATGGAGCCTACAGAGGCGGCAGCGTGAAGCACAGTGTTGCCCTCTACATCGAGCTGGTAAAGAAGTTGGCCTAACTTGTCACTCTTTGCCATGAAGATGAAGGCTTATTGCTTCTTGTGTCTGGCAGCTACGTGAAACACAGTCTCTTTCTTTGCTAATGTGACTGAGTAGAATAAAGAGGGAAACTTATCGAGAAATACCCTAAGGATTTCAACTGAACCATTCATTGCCGCACAATGCAGGGGTGTCAAGCCATCATTATTCATCATTTCTGCAAGTTTTGGAACTTCTAGGGCTTTTGTCTCGCTTGCGGTATGCAATGCTATGGACTCTAACATCCAAAGTAAGATGCTGGTGTGCAGGGCCGGCCCTGAACTAAAGCTGCTAAAGCATAGGCTTTAGGCACCAAATTTAGTATAAATATTAAGAGTAGCAAATTTTAGTTAAGTTCCTTTTATAGTTTAGTGGTTAGTCCATCATTCTGTTGTCAAATGACCCAAGTTCGATTCTCCCTCATGTATTTGTTATGTAAATATTTATTTTTGCTTTAGGCGTCAGATACAACTGGGCCGGCCCTGCTGGTGTGTCCCAAGCTAGCAGCAAGATGAAGTGGAGTGTCACCTTTGGAGTTAGCGGAACTGATTAAGGCAGTACGGAGCTCGATCATCTTCTTTGCATGTACCTCGAACCCTAGCTGCGTGGTTAGGTGCAAAACGGTTCCATCGTATGCTTCCTCCAACATAGACAGATTGTCTTCTATGATAGCCATGTCGTTTCTGAGATTTTCTTTAGTTTGAAGTGGCTTTGGAACTCTTTGGTCTTAGGATCTATTTGAGATTTAGACTAATTTGCATTTGTCTTTTTAAGTTGGTTATATTCATTCTCTTAACGGTTCTTTTATATACTGTCTTATAAGAGCATCATTATCCCTAAAACTTCTAATGAGTTTCTTAACAATTTTTTATTATTAATTATAGATTAAAAACTCTTAACAAGAAACTCAATATTTTTGATGGTTCATTGCAAAACCTCTAAATGAGTTTCTAAAAAAAAAAAAAATTAATAGTGAAGATTGGTACTAGTGAGAAGAAGCAAGCAGAGGGAAGTTTTAATACCTCATGTCATGTTTTTCTAAATAGACATGGACACACAATCTCCAAATTGCATTAGTCATTTATACAAATGTTTTTTTTGTTTTTTCAATCTACTGACAACACCTTTGTTCACAAGAAAGACAGAATTTGTGACATGAACAACCATTAAAAGGAAAACTCAGATGCCTTGTCAATCGTATGACTTCCATCTTTCTATCACTACGTTGAACTCCTCATCTCTTCTCCTTACCTAGAAATCGAAAACCATAGTTATAATAGCCTACACAAGTCAAATCAGTTCCCTTTACATCTCAACCGATCAACCATCATTATGTATATTCAGTTATTGTGTACCTCAACCATGGGGTTTCTTCCTCGAAGCAACATATCAACACTCTTTTCAGTCTGCACAAGAGTAAGCCAAGAATATATTGAATGTCAAGAAGATAGTGACTGCAGAGGCAAGAACAGATTTGGTGAAAAAATCAGTAAAGGGACAAAGAACATTGAGAAAAAAAGCTGAAGCAAAGGGATAAATATAACATTTCAGAACAGCAATTATTACCAAGTCTGAAAGAGTAGGATTCTTTATGATGTTCTGGAGCTGTTCTCCATGAGCAGTGCCAATTAGCATCACTCCCCGCTCAGCAATGGAACGACAAGCAAGCGCCTCAGCTTCTGTGCCGATCTCATCAACGATGATCACCTGAAACATATGGTTCTCTACTGCCTCGATCATCACTTTATGCTGCAGAGATGGCTTCGACACTTGCATTCTATGCACCTACAATCGCCAAGTGTGGAATATCGCCGTCTCCTCCTATTTCGTTACTTGTATCAATTATCATCTAAACACACATTGCACATACTAAATCACTTTTTATCAAAAAGAAAAAAACAAAACCTTTCAGGGCTAAGAGAAATATAGAGGAAGGACAAGAAGACCCACCACTCTTTTTCTGGAATTCATCGGACAAGACACAAACAATCTCTAGCAAAACAGTGGTCTTGCCAACACCAGGCCTTATGATTAAAGAGGATATCAAATCACCATCAAATTAAATAGGATTATCATCCAGGTTCACTGAGATAACGTGCGTCAGGTGGTCTCCCAAGTCTGTAATCACCTAATTGAAGATTCAAATCATCATTTTTCTCAAAACCATCATTGCCAAAGAGGAAAGTGAAGAGTAACAAACCTCTACGAGCTGGTTTTCTTCGCGAATCGTTTATGAGACGGTGACATAGATCTCGGGGCATCATAGGTGTATCGGCTTGGAGGAGACAGGCAACGCGTCGGAGATGGGGACGAAGATGAGGATGAATCGTCGGTGGAGATGATTTGACCGGGAAATGGTCGAAGAATGAAGAGTCGGAATCTGAAGAGGAAAAATGGTCGAGAATTGAAAATTTGGCCGAGAGATTTGTCTGTCCAATAGATTTATGACACGTGTGAAATAAGAGTCGTTTCTTGCAGGTCCCAAATAAGAATCGATTTTTATTAATTTTGGGCTTAAAACATTATTTTATTCGTTTTTTGGGCTAAGAAACCTATATAAAACTCTGCGATAATAATGGTCTAAGGTCAACCATACCCTCTTCGTCAACATTTCTTTTCATTTTATATATTATTATGGAGAGTAAAATTTGGACAATTTTTTCGGTATACACGTGACAATAAATTCATGCATAAAGTCATCGTTCCAGTTAGTCTGAGATTCTCTTTAGTTTCAAGTGGCTTTGGGACTCTTTGATCTTAGGATCTATTTGAGATATTTAAACTAATTTGTATTTGTCTTTTTAAGTTATAGTGATATTATTTCTCTAATTCTCTTAAAGATTCCTTTAAATACTCTCTTATAAAGTCAACCATACCCTCTTCCATGCAAAAAGTCATCATCCCAGTTAGTCTGAGATTCTCTTTAGTTTCAAGTAGCTTTGGAACTCTTTGGTCTTAGAATCTATTTTGAGATTTTTAAACTAATTTGCAATTGTCTTTTTAAGTTATTCTTATATTCATTCTCTTAATTACCGGTTCCTTTAAATACCCTCTCATAAGGTCAACCATACCCTCTTCGTCAACTCCTTTTTTTCAATTTATATATTATAGTGGGGAGTAAAATTTGGACAATTTTTACTGTTTATACGTGACAATAAATCTATGCATAAAGTCATCGTTCCAGTTTTACTCTGAGATTCTCTTTAGTTTGAAGTGGCTTTGGGGCTCTTTGGTCTTAGGATCTATTTGATATTTTTAAACTAATTTGCATTTGTCTTTTTAAGTTATAGTTATATTCATTCTCCTAACAATTCCTTTAAATACTCTCTTATAAGGCCAACCATACCCTCTTCGTCAACTCTTTTTTCCAATTTATATATCATAGTGGGGGTAAAATTTGGACAATTTTTTTCGGTTCACGTGACATCTATGCATAAAGTCATAAGGATACGAAGAGGTTTAATTACTTCTTCGTCATTGGTTCCCTAGCTAAAAAAACTCAAATATACTTGTAGGTTTTGTCAAACGCTCCTAAGTCTAAAATATATATTAGTTTATAGCAAATGTCACTAATCTTACCTGTTCACAATCTGAATATCTACGAAAAAGAATCTCTATCCTATACTCCGTGGGTTAAAATAAATAAAAAACGTACAGTTTTATGTGTAGACATGGAAAAATCTTTTTTTTTTTTTTTCAGAAAGATAAAGTAAATGTCAAAGGTAGATAAGAAGAATAACCTTCCTTAACACGCATTTCGCCAGAGATAACAAACATAACGCCTAGCGTCAAGCTAGCGAAAGCAAGAGTGAGTGGCATAGAGTAACCATTTTGTTTCTCCAAATTAATGTAAAGTTACCGATACTCTACAAAGACATTGGAGCTTCAACTTCAGAATTTTTCAGAACTAATGGTTTCTTCGAATTTCGATATTGACCCTCTTTCTTTACTGTTAGTGTCTATGCTCTTTAATTTTTGAGGACTAATTTCATCTTTAGTTTCTATAGCTACCCTTTTTTTAAACTTAATTAAGTTGTTCTGTCTCGCCCCTACCCAAACAAGAAGTCTTTTTGTAATTTGTAATACTTTAGCCTTTTTGCCTTTCCTGTGTTATGATTTGGCAGATTTGCACGTTTCAATTTCTGCTAGTTATGGAAACCTTTTGGGCCTACGTCTACGGTCTTGATAAAGATACATGTGGCTTACAATTTTCACATGAGATATATTGTCATATAGAGGATCGAACCTAAGTTGGAGAGGACATCTATCAAATAAAATAAATTAAAAAAAATCGATACAAAAGTATTAAATCCGAAAAGCTAAAGTAAGAGGTGGGATTTCAAAGGTTATTTGTATCCATAGTAGATAAAAATTATATTGTACATTTTTAGAAAAACTTTTGGTTAACAACATACATATTATCCGAAACATTTGTTATAGTTTTTTGTTGTCTACAACAGATATCCCAATTTGAACACTGGAGATGATAGGCATCGACACACACCATAAAAAAACATCAATCACTTATAGTGACGGATTTAGAAAAAAATTAAGTTGGAGGGCATAAGCTTATAAACAGAAAAAAAAAATAGTTGGAGGCAAAAAACTTTTTTTTTCTACTAAATTAAATATATTTAATTAAATTTACTTAAACATTTAAGAAAAAAATAAAAAAGAGTAGGGGATACTTGACCCTACTACTCATGTACTACATCCGCCCCTGATAACTTAGATCAAGTGAATCGTACAATATCATGATAAACTATAGTAGCCTTTTTCGATATTAGCGGCCATGTCTACGTACCTATTGCGTACTGGTGGGGTAGTCAAGCGGCCAAGAAGATGAACCTTCCTTTTATGACATTTAGCCAGCTTGCAATGTAGATAAACAAACATAACTCCTAGCGTCAAGCTAGCGATAGCAAGAGTGGCATAGAGTAACCATTTGGTTTCTCCAAAATTAGGTAAAATTACCGATGTTGCAGAGACATAAGCACTTGCCATGGCTCCAACAGCCACCCACATCATCCTATGAGCTATAATTAAGAATTTCAAAAGTGATTCCTGTTTGTATGGTATAATGCTGACGAGAAGAACGACCATACTCACTGATGTAAACAAAGCGATGCTATTGCTTATCGTGAAGATCATGTAAGCTAAGGTTCTTGCCGCAGTTGATTTCCCTATGGAAGATGTTTCTTGATAGACCCCACCAGGTGGGTTTATACCGCATGTAAAAGTAACCGATGCAATCAAGACCGCGACAATGGTGAGAGTATTCCTAGCGCTTTGCAAAGCCTCCAATTGCATCTCAAATTTTTTGTTTGGACTACTTTTAACTCTTACAATTTCCTTCTGGAGCTTCAAGTCATCGACTTCTTGGCTATCAAAATTTCCCATTTCTCTAGGACTCGGTGGGCGTTCAATTACTATTTCCAGATCACACATCATCAGAGCGGTAAATAGCTGAAGGAAATCTCCATCATCTTTGTTGAGAAGGTCAACCGCTACAAAACCCTTCTTGTTCTTGGTGGTGACTTTTACTTCTGTTTCCTTTATTATATATTTTACCAGCTGTAAGATGTCCAAATGGAAAATGTTAACCGAAGCAGGAAACCAACAACAGAAACCGCACATATTTAAAGTTTTCAAATCAAATGAGTGAAATACTAACTAAATGCATGTAAAATAACACTTTCATGAAAAGTGATATGATTTGAAAACTTTTTTTCATGAAAGTGTTATTTTACATGCATTTAGTTAGTATTTCACTCATTTGATAGTTTTCTTACTATCAAATAACGATTCTACGTACAACCCTTTAGTCAAAAAATCAAAATAAAAACGATTCTACATAATTTTTTTTCGCATAACGGTGATTATATATAGTATTACCAAGTAATGTTAAAGAAGAGAAAAGGTTGTTAGGTGGAACGTTTAAAGCAATTCAAAACTTTAAAAGAGGTTGGAAGAAAATTTTGTTTTAATCATATTTTCTATATAGTCCTCGTTGGTTCGTTAAAAGAAAAAATAGTCATCGTTGGGTCTAAGCACAAGGTACAGAAAACGAAAAAAGAAAAGAAGAAGGCGAAGGAGGAAGAGAAAACTTACGTCAATAGAGCCTACAGAGGCTGCAGCGTGAAGCACAGTGTTGCCCTCTACATCGAGCTGGTAGAGAAGTTGACCTAACTTGTCACTCTTTGCCATGAAGATGAAGGCTTCGTCCTTCTTATGTCTTGCAGCTACATGAAACACAGTCTCTTTCTTTTCTAATGTGACTGAGTAGAAAGAAGAGGGAAACTTATCGAGAAATACCCTAAGGATTTCAACTGAACCATTCATTGCCGCACAATGCAGAGGTGTCAAGCCATCATTATTCCTCATTTCTGAAAGTTTTGGAACTTCTAGGGCTTTTGTCTCGCATGCGTTATGCAATTCTATGGACTCTAACATCCAAATCAAGATGCTGGTGTGTCCCAAGCTAGCAGCAAGATGAAGAGGAGTGTCACCTTTGGAGTTGATGGAACTGATTAAGGCATTACGGAGCTCGATCATGCTCTTTGCATGTACCTCGTACCCTAGCTTTGAGGCTAGGTGCAAATCCGTTCCCTCGTATGTTTCCTCCAACATAGACAGATTCTCTTCTAAGATGGCCATGTCGTTTAGAGATTCTCTCTAGTTTCAAGTGGCTTTATCTATTTTAGATTTAGACTAATTTGTATTTTGTCTTTTTAAGTTAGTTATATTCATTCTCTTAACGGTTCCTTTATATACTCTCTTATAAGGTTAACCATACTCTCTTCGTCAACTTTTTTTTATTTTATATATTATTATGGGCAGTAAATTTGGACAATTTTCTCTGTTTACACGTGACATCCATGCATAAAGTCATCGTTCCAATTTTAGTATACGTACAAGTTTCATTACTTCTTCGTCATTGGTCCCCTAGCTAAAAAAACACTCAAAACATACTTGTAGATTTTGTCAAACACTCTTAAGTCTAAACTATATAGTAGTTTATTGCAAATGTCACTAATCTTATCTGTTCACACTCTGAATATCTACGAAAAAGAAACGCTATCCTATACTCCGTGCGTCTGATATAAATTAATACAATACTTAGAGGTTGTGGAAAAAGAAAGTGTAGAGATCATAAAATGCTTTAAAATTTATTGAAAAGCCATATAATCTTTCTTTTTGTTTCATAACTGCCATATAATCTTATAAATTAGTTAAACCATTTGGTCAAAAAAAAAAAAAATACGTACAGTTCTATGTGTAGACATGGACAGGTCAAAGGTAGACAAAGAAGATTAACCTTCCTTAACACGCATTTAGTCAGAGATAAACAAACACAACGCCTAGCGTCAAGCTAGCGAAAGCAAGAGTGAGTGGCATAGAGTAACCATTTTGTTTCTCCAAATTGATGTAAAGTTACCGATACTCTACAAAGACATTGGAGCCTCAACTTTCATAATTTTCAGAACTAATGGTTTCTTCGAATTTCGATATTGACCCTCTTTCTTTACTGTTAGTGTCTATGTTCACTTCTGTTCATCATAAGTCTTCCGTGTTTTCTACTTTGTAAATAACACATTTTTATGTGGGTGAACACTTCTTTCTTTACAAACTTGATAACAAAAGTGCAGTTAAACGTGTGTATATATAAAAAAAAAAATTTGTTTACACTTTACATCCTATGAATCAATAGGCATCCGAAAGAAAAGAAAAGTATAATTTTCTTTACGTCTAAAAGATATACAAATTTTCTTTTCCTTTTTCTATACAATTTTCCACTGTTATTTTTGTTCTTCTGTTGTTGAACTTTGAAGCTGAGTTCGTGGTGAAAAAAATAAACCAATAACAACATCACCTTCTTCTATTCCAATTCCTCTTCACTATCACTCTTTTCCTCTGCAATGCCTTCTTCTTCATTATCTACAGGCTTGCTTTGAGTCTCTTCTTCTGATATCGAGCTATCTTCTTCAGATCTCGTGCTCTCTTCCTCTGTTTTCGAGCTCTCTTCCTTGCCATGTACAACTCCGAACCCTGTCTCCGTTCCATGACCCTCTGGAGAAGCCACTTGATGATCACCTTGTGTACTGGCCCTTGGACTCTGCGATGATCTGTGACATAATAATATTAGTGCCAAGAAACTGTGACAGAGACCAGAGAGAAAAACCTTAAGTGTAGAGCATGGATTAGATTCCGAAAACTCACTGTTCCATCACTTGTTGGGATCTAGGAGAAGAACCCCAGACTGGAACCAAATCTCTTGTTCTTGCTTCAATTGTTCGAGTTTGGATATCTTCAATCTCCATCTCCCCTCCTCCACAACCGCTACTCACTTCATTCAGATCCAACACCAGTTCTTGAAACCTAAACTGTTTTGTGCAAAATACAAAGTATCAGACATATCCACACAACACGGCCATTACCACTTTTCAGATCATTCTCTCAAACACAAAGAGTAAACTTTACCTTTCGCCTTGCCCATAACGGTTTCTGAGATGGGTGATACATTTGCAACTCTGCTTCAGATATGTACAACTGATGATTATCTTCCACACGGGCCTTTCCTTTCCTACTTACTTTCCAAGATTCCTCAGCGCTCTGCTTCCTAACAATCTCGGGAAACACTTTACTCTTAGAATCCGATGAAGTTGCTCCACCTCCATATATGTCACTGTGGTGATCTTGCATCTCTCTTCTAGACTGGTTTTGGATCATGGACCACCTTCGTATTGGCTCAACCGCCACTTTCCCTTCAGTCTCTGGACCTGACTCAAAATCAAACCTTGTCATCACCGCAGTCTCATGACCATCCCCAACCGGATTTGCTTTCAATGCATACTGTGTCATACATCCAGAAGGAGCAAAAACCAGAAGATTCCTCTTGGAGCTATTATCAGAAGCAGAACCATAGTTCTTGTTCTTATTCTGTTCAACGCAGTAACAGAAAGTTGATGTGATTGCACCCGGAAGAGAGCCTCCAACCATTCCAGCTGCTGCAGCTGCAGCACCGCTCATTGTTCCCATCCATCCGCTGATGTTTCCACTTCTTATCCTACTAATCGCTGATAGAGGAATCGGAGAATTCCCCTCTCCCTCGGGATTAATCTCAAACAGATGGCTTGTCCCTCTTGAAGAGCTAATCACTATCAAATTGCTATCATTGCTGAAACTGATGTCTTGTATCACCTGAAAAAATCTCATCAGGGTTAGTCAAAGACGTCAGATTTTCTCAAAAGGTGTAAATGAAGGGCTCTGCTTACCGCATTAGTAAAACCTCGCTGGAGCCTGAACATATGCACAAAAGACTGTGTGTTCCCATCGTTACTTGCAGAGGTTCTTGGCATTATTCTAAAGACGTTAATATTGTGTCCCTGAATCGAAGCAGACACCAAAAGCATGCCGCTTGGATCAAAGCTCAAAGCTGAAATCGGACTCTTGTGTGCCTTAAACTGCGTTATGACGCTTTTGCTTATAAAATCTTTGATTATCACCTGCAACACACCCCATAGAAACGTTTTAAAGCACATATCAATGGAAAATCACAACTTGAGAGCAAAACAACATGAGGAAAATTTGGAGTATACCCTTCCTATGCTATCCGCGTCTGGCGAATTGTCATTAGAAACTCCGAGAGCTTTCAAACCAGGAATATACGGATTGGGCAGAACCTCTGAGCAGTACCTAGTCAATGACCTGTACCCTCTGTCTCCAAGAGTCACGATCCCAGAAGCGATCTGCCTGCTCGAGTCTCTTGCAAATTGTGCAACAGAGGGTGATGATGACAGTGAGATAAGCTCTGGAGTGAAAAGTGTGGAACTTGAGTCAGCAATACGGCTTCCGCTATAAGCAATCCATCGTGGACCAACTGCAAGAGGACCATATCCAACACCCAAGGAGCAATACGTGATGGAGTTAGTGATAATCATGTACTCCTTTATCAATGTTGTAGCGTCAAAGCAATGTATCTGCAAAATACAAGTTTTTAAGTTACACATTGTTAGTTTCAGAATAGACAAATCACGTTAACAAAATCAGACACAATGTGACAAATTTCGAACCTGAGATGCCTGTAGTACAGCAACAATCCGAGAACTGCACCTAACCGTATAGATCATAGACCGGAATTTCAACGTATGCACATAAGACTTAGACTTTAACGAGTAGAAATGCACATTTGTAGAAACTACGACTTCACTTTCGGGACTATCATTCTTAGAAATGCTCTGTCTGTCTGAACTTTCTTCCCAAGAACTGTCACCACACACAGCCACAAGAGGACGGCTCTCAGAAAACCTGTCATCTAAATCTTCAGAGACTATTGGGCTAGGCAGCATTTGCATAAACGATGCTTGTCCATCATGTGAAGAAACTATAACATGGACGTTCTCTGTTTCTTCAACATCCCAAATTTGAAATCCAGACTGAAACGCTAGTAGAAGAACTCTTCGAGTATCGCCATCATCTTTCTCTAGCTTATCAAACCCCGCCCATAGTACCTTTTTTCATCAAAAACACCCAAAAACTTCTCAATAGAGTAACCTAAAGGTCGATCTTTTAAGGTATCATCAACCAAATGAAGCAAAACCCCAAAAGATTACTGTCCCTTGAAGAGAAACATAAGCATAGTTTCACCCCAAGAACCGGCAAGATTCTTTGACCCATCATAACAAGTTCCTAACTTGGACTAATAACGCAGAGAAAGTTCCTCAATTTCAGAGAAAGTTCCTCAATTTCGAAGAAAGCAACACAACACATAAACATAGTTTCATACAATTTTGTTCCGAATTGAAAGCAACTTTTTTTACCTGATCGTGAAGAGAGTCAATGTCACGGTTAACGGCGGAAGAAGCGGCGGATGCGGCGGAGCGAGCAACCGTGGAAGCACCAGAGGAAATCACCCGAAGACAGTTAGACAAAGCACGAAACGAGCTCCGAGCTGATCGCGACACAACTCCGTCCGTAGTCGTCGGCGACTTCGGAGAACCGTCGCCGTTCTTCCTCATCACTTAGTCTCTGTTTCTACGCCTGAGATTTTTCCAAGAAAATCTTTCACGATGGAATCTCCGAGAAAGAGGGAGGGGATAATTCCAATTTAAAATGCCCAAGAAAAGTACCGAAATTGAGCAAATTCTATGAGATTTTATTACGTACTGAAGATCAAAAATGAAATTGGAATCTAAAAATAGAAACAAATTACACGCAAACTCGGAAATTTTTGCTTCTTCTTCAAGTTGTCACGAAGCAAGAAAAACACCGAAACACAAATCAAAGCTTTGATCAAAAAGGAAAAAAAAACTGAATAATTTGCAAAACCCAGAACAAAGAATTAGCGATCAAACTGAAAATACTTAGGCTGAACCGCTAAAGAAGATGATCATATATACCTAGAAATCGGAAAGAAAAAAATAAACGAACAAATGAATGAACAAATTCGTGTTTTTGATGGAATCGGGAGGTAAATTGAGAAAGAATTTGAAATTGAAATACCCAGAAAAAAAAAAAAGAGGAATTAAGCGTGTCCTGAAGCAGGAATCTGATTAAGACTTTGGAAACGTTTAGGAGCAAGAAAGGGGAAAGATTTTAGGATAAGAGAGCGAAGACCTAAGAGACGAAAGCTGTTTCAAACTTCATAAATGATTTTTCTTTTCTTATTTAAATGAAAAAAAAAAAAAGAGATCTCTTTTACGTATCGTCTTTGTATTTACTACACCAGAGAGAGAGCGAGAGAGACTCACCTTCCACGTCTCTTTCCCAATTTATTTAAATAAATAAAAAGTATATTACCAGTAATTGTGAAGTGTCTGGTTTAATTGGTTATTATACCAATAATCAAACCAAACAAACCTAAATATCAACTGAAGCTCGATAGATTTTAATTCTCGTTTGGATAGAATTTTTTAGATTTATATTCTACTTACTATTGTGTTTACACCAATTCATTGTCGATTTTAACGAACTGAGCTTGAACCAATTTAGCTTATATAAAAATTCATCTAAACCAATCAAATCCACCAAAATTTGTACGACGTGCGTTATTCTTTTTTATTTGCCCGTGACGTGCGCTAGTCTTAGATTAAGAATTTGATTACAGTATTTTACTTTTTTTTTATAGTATTTGATTACAGTATTTTACTTTTGATTTCTGTTTTTTTGTTTTAAATTATTTTATTGGTTATCAGATAAACTAATTTGGTTCAAGTTGGTTTAATATAACTTTGATTGGTTCATGTAAACCAATCACTAGCTCAGAAACTGACCCGAAAACTAGAGTTAAAGATTAGGCCCATGTGAGGCCTACTAAGGAGCTCTATGACTCTTGTTCAATGGTGTTTTTGTTTGATGATTCTTTAGTGTTCGTCCGGCTTTTCACTTTAAGATTCTCTTTGCTGAGCTTCATGTCTTTCAATAAAAATAAATAAAAAAATTATTCACACTATGTCCCTAGCTATTTTCTCCATTTTTGTTTTAGATGTATTCCAAATAAGCATAACTGTCTGTCTGTGGTTTGATTTCCACAATTTCAAGACACTTGTATCAAAGCTGTGTTTTACCTCAGTGATTCCCAAGGTTAGCGTCTGAATTCTTGTATGATGCTATTAATTATTACTAGCAGTGGCTAATTGGTCCGTTTCATGATATTCAATCCATGTTTTTTTTTTTTAGGTCAATCAATTCGTAACCTAAACATTTCACTATTAATGAATATTTACAAATTAGCACACAAACACAAAAAGTTGGTCAGTTTCATGATTTTGCATGTAGAGTATCCAAACCTTTCTAACTTTGACTAAAAGAAAGTACTCTTGTCTAGTTAAAATTAGATCAAGATCAGGAGCCAACTCCACGCGTTTTCTCTTTAGGTGTAAGATGTATAAAAGCACTTTCTTGTAAACGTTTTCTATATAACACAACAGTTTCTTGAATCAAACGCTATTATCATTTATTTTCTCACAGCTTCTAGTATTAGTGCCAGTGGTTCTCTTCTCATATAATCGTAGAACTTGTGTGTCCTAGTTGCATTGGTTTCTTCTTGTCCGTGACACAAAGCCTTCCCCTGTTTCTTCTTTTCTTTTGTACGCAAGAACCATGTCCAGGTGTCAATCAATGACACAGGTCGGATTACATTACTTTAACTCGAACAGTACATAACGTTTTATATCACGTACACGCCACAATAGTGTGACTTCTAATTATCAACAACAAAACCACCATGTGAACGCACACGCTTTATAAAAACTTGTCCTCGTGATCTTTAGTAAGGAGCCTTGAACAACTGCAGGGATCATGCAGATCTCAGGCAAGTTCTTAGCACTCTGGAACAAATGTTTCACCTCTTGAGCCGCCTGTTTCAGTGAAGGACACACACACACATCTTTTCCACTCCTCTTAGCTCATCACAACACCTTTCAAGAACTGGTTTTGGGTTTTCAACGTCCTCAAGATCAACATCAAGAGTGATCTCAAAGTCATCAGCTTCATATCCGATTATTCCTTGTTGAGCTCATTTCTGGATCCAATCTTTACAAGCTCCTATGTTCTGTTGCTGACACTTACCTTTCTGTGGACAGTGGACACATTGGGTGGCTAACGTCATCTTCTTCGTCGAACTCGACGAAGAGGGCAAGAGTTGCGAGAAGGAGAATGAGCTTAGCCATTGCTAAAAAAAGATAGTATTTGATGATTTGAGGTTTATGGGTGAGAGATGATGAAGTGAAGTGAAGTGAAGTCAAAGTGATGGGTTATTTATGGAAGAGGAAGGAATTTTGCATGGCACTCACGTGTAATAAGCATGAGATGGTGTGTTTGCGCTTGGAACATAGCACGCATTAGATTTTTATTTGGATTAGGTGTTCGAAAATTCAATGATGCATGTGTCAAGTGAATGATCGAGACTTGTCTCCGCATGTGCAACACCATGTGCATGCTCGATTCATCTTTGTTTTTTTCTCTGTTTTGTTTTGGAGTGTGTATTGTGGATTCCAACAACAACCCTTAATAAATATTGAACTGACATATACATCATACATTATATGTATACTCAATTCGTTTTTTGGTCTATAATGGAATTGAAATTTACGTCGGATTAATTTGGTACGGCTTGTGTTTTGGTTTTGAATCTAGTTTTTTCTAAGGTAACATATGCTTTGCCTAAATTATTTTGAAAAGAACTTAGATTTCTTGTTACTATTTTTCTCTTCTTACAAAATTCAATGATCCATACTCAATTCCATAAACTCCAAAGAAGCGTTGAGGAAGCACAATGATCGGAAAAAAATAGATAATGATAATAACTAACTCACTTTTTATGTTTTGAAAAAAGAATAAAATCAAAAACAATTGAAATACAACCTTATTGGCGATATTCAACTTCAAGCCGCTTATATCAAAGCTATGTTTTACCTAGCTCATTGTCCCCGAGGTTAGCTTCTGATTCTTGTATGATGTTATTATTACTAGCAGTGACTAATTAAGTTGGCCAGTTTCATGATATCCAAACCTTCTAATTATGACTAAAAGAAACTCGTCTCTCTTGTAAGCGCTTGCATAACACAACTGTTTGGATCAAACACTTAAATCAATTTTTTTCACAGCTTCTAGTATTAGTGCCAGTGGACATATAAATCGTAGACCTTGTGTGTTCTAGTTGCACTGGTTTCTTCTTGTACGTGACACAAGCCTTATATCATAATTCTCAATAATTTATTACAACACACATAAATGAGAGTCAGAGAGCATGATGCTAACGATTTTCATTACCAAAAGAGAAACTCTTTATTAGAAGGAGTAGGGCAAATTACATTACACTACAAGGTGTAATATTGCCATTATAACTCTAACCAAACAAGTACATAACATTTTTTACGATATAAACACGTACACGCCACAATAGTAAGGCTTTTTTATTATCATTAACAAAACCACCATGTGAACGCACACGCCTTATAAAAACTTGTCCTCATGATCTTTAGTAAGGAGTTGCCTTGAACTGGCACGATTCAACTTCACGGATGTTGCAGATCTTAGGCAAGTTCTTAGCACTCCGGAACATATGTTTCACCTGTCCTGGTCCATGCATTCCCTGGAAACTAGCTTGTTGAGCCGCCTGTCTCAGTGTAGGACACACACACATCTTGTCCACTTGTCGTAGCTCATTACAACATTGTTTCAGAGCTGGTTTTTGCTGAGGTATTTGGTTCTCATCGTCGTCAAGATCAAGAGTGAGCTCAAAGTCATCAGCTTCATATCCGATTCTTCCTTGTTGAGCTCGTTTCTGGATCCAATTCCTACAAGCACTTAGCTGCTGTTGCTGCATATACTCCTTTTGGCACTTACCTTGTAGTGGACGTATTGGGTTGCTGACGTCATCTTCTTCGTCGAACTCGACGATCGTGCGGTAGATGGAAGCGTTGGCCAAGAGGCCGAAGAGGGCAAGAGTTGCGAAAACGAGTAAGAGCTTAGCCATGGCTGAAAAGATTGTATTTGATGATTTGAGGTTTATGTGTGAGTGATGATGAAGTGAAGAGTGATGGGCTATTTATGGAAGAGGAAGGAGTTTTGCATGGCACTCACGTGTAATAAGCATGAGATGGTGTGTCTTCACTTGGAACATAACACGCATGAGAGTTTTGTTTGGATTAGGTGTTGGAAACTTCATTGATGTGTCAAGTTAGGGATCGAGACGAGTCTCGCCAATCTGCAACACCATCACCATGCATGCTCGATTGGATTTCGTTTTTTTTTTTTTTTCTATCTTTTGTTTTGGAGTGTGTATTTTTACAAATTGTGGATTCCAACAACAAACCTTAATATACATTGAACCGACAGATGTGTATTCGATTCAGTTTTGTGGTCTATAACGGAATTGAAATTTGTTTCAGGTTCATGTGGACCGTGGTACGTTACTACGTTTTGTGTTTTTTGGAATCTATAAGTCTCTGCTTTAATTATTTTTAAAAAGACAAGATTTCTTGTTACTTTTTCTGTTCTAAAAAAAAAATGATCTCAGAAATTTTTTCCATTGAGAGCAAAAATATTTAATGGTGGCATATATATTGTATAGTGTGGGGGTAATTATTATTGTTAACAATTACACTAATCAAAATTTTCTATTAGGGGCAGTTGCCCCCATCTCCTTATACATGCCTCCACCACTGGCCACACTCAATTCCCTAGACACCAACAGTAGCGGTGATGGATTGGAAAAAAATACTAATAATAAGACTAAGTCGCTTTATATGTTAAGGAAAAGAAAAAAAATCTATCAACAAAAATTGAAATCCAAACTCACTCATTGACGATATATATTCAAGTAATTAATTAGTTTTTTTTTGTTCTTTCTGGAAATTTTGTTAGTCTGAAGGTCCTTGGACATCGCAGATTCCATGACGTTCCAAGATCAAAGAAGTGGTTTTTTGGATCTCTAAAGTTTTCAAGCCAACAACTCGTTCATCATCTAAGTCCAACCTCAAAACTTTGTGCAACGTTAACATTTCTCTATAGGTGCTTCAAATTCAACACTTCCACTCCGTTCACTTTCTTCACCTGCTTACACCACAAAATAGTATCTTTATTTTTTTCAGCCACAAAATAATGGGATAGGCTTTTACCCCCCAAAAAAAAAACATACGGCTTGGGACCTTTGTCAAACAAAAAAAAAAAGAGAGTGAAAGACATACTGCTTGACCTTTGTCAAAATAATTCAATTAACTTATACATATTTTGATTTTTAAATTAAACATCCAACAACCTGAAGGCTGAAGTTATGAAATGCAGATTTTAGATATTGAATTGCAGATTTAATTTTGGTCCACAAAAGAAAAAAGATTCTATGACCAAAAAGAACATGCCTGTCGATCATATAATTCATAAATAAATAAAAATTGATATAATATTTATTTTTTTGTTTTGTTTTTTAGCACCATAAATAACGAACTGTCTTATTCACTAGGAAAGTCCAAAGCCATCTCGATCGAACAAAGATATTTCACTTTCTTGTGTTCGTGTAACCACACATTTATTGCAAATGGTTATATATATATATATATATATATATATATATTTTTTTTTTTTCCATACAAAACCCTTCTAGGTATTTCATTACCACGAACTGATGAATTTGACTGTAAAAAAAATCTCTATGTTTCATGAACTCCATAGTTCACAATACTAATTGGCAATATTTATTATTTTCTGACAAGCAAAGATGTGTGCTTAATCGGATCAAATCAGATAAGTTTCTTTTAAAATTGAGTAATACGTGTGTGATAAAAAAAAAAAATTGAGTAATACGTGTAATTAATGATGATGGTATAGACTTTATGGTATATTTATTTTCTCTTTTTGGCCATACGTCCAAAAATGAATGTCGAAACAATTTTTATGGTTTAGCCAATTTGTACCATTTATATGTTTATGTAAACATTGATTGTCTTAAACAAGAAAAAATATTTTAAAATAATTTAAAACTGAAAATGATATATATAGGTATATTAAAGATTGTTAAACTATTAATTCTGTCAAATTGCAAAAGTCATTTTCATTCAATTAGAACCGTGAAGAAAGGAGATCATTGCTTGCCAATGTTTCTAAAAAATTTCGCAATAAATAGACAATATATATATATATATTTAAAGAAAATACCAACAATATTTGATGACCCTTCGTTCCTTATCTCCCGACGTGGCAATCACTCTCCAGATATTTTTTTCCCTGTCTCTGCTTCTAATTTAAATACTCAAACAACCTCCACACTTTCACTTCACCATCATCATCACTAATACCTGAAACTAAAACCTTCCTCTTTCTCTCAAATGGCGGCCATTACTTCCACTCTCTCTCTCTCTTCCACCAAGCCTCAAAGGCTTTTCGACTCCTCCTTCCATGGCTCATCAATCTCGGCCGCACCTATCTCCGTCGGTCTCAAACCACGATCTGCCTCTCTTTCCGTTCGCGCCACTTCTGGCTACGATCTAAACGCCTTCACTTTCGATCCCATAAAGGAATCGATCGTCTCTCGTGAGATGACCAGGCGGTACATGACTGATATGATCACTTACGCCGAGACCGACGTCGTCGTTGTCGGTGCTGGATCCGCCGGATTATCCTGTGCTTACGAGATCAGTAAGAACCCTAACGTTCAGGTCGCGATCATTGAACAATCCGTTAGTCCCGGAGGTGGCGCGTGGCTCGGTGGTCAGCTTTTCTCCGCCATGGTAACGATCCAAAAATCTCTCTCTCTCTGTATCGTATTTGAAGGATTTAGGTTGATTTGCATGTTAGATCAGTTCAGAATCTGGAGATTCGTAATGTACGAGTTAGGTATAAGAGGAATCACTATAACTAATTAAATCCCAATTTAGAAGAAATTTGTTAGAATCCCACATCGTAAGTTTAAAGAGACCAACACTAGTATATAAGGGACTTGAATTTCTCCATTTATAGCCAATTAGTTTTATATTGGAAGTCCAGGAAACTTAACAAAATTAAATATTTAATGTCAAAATCATTCGATGATATTGTGATATTAGACTAGTTAAGAATTGTTGTGATATTTCATATTTTGACAGATTGTGCGCAAACCAGCACATCTGTTCCTAGATGAGATTGGTGTTGCTTACGACGAACAAGACAACTACGTGGTGATCAAGCACGCTGCTCTCTTCACATCAACCATCATGAGCAAGCTTTTGGCTCGTCCCAACGTCAAGCTCTTCAACGCCGTAGCCGCAGAGGATCTGATCGTGAAAGGTAACAGAGTCGCTGGTGTGGTTACCAACTGGGCTCTAGTGTCGATGAACCACGACACACAGTCCTGCATGGACCCTAATGTCATGGAGGCCAAGATTGTCGTGAGCTCGTGTGGCCATGACGGTCCATTTGGAGCCACAGGTGTTAAGAGGCTCAAGAGCATTGGGTTAATCGACCATGTTCCTGGGATGAAAGCTCTGGACATGAACACAGCTGAGGACGCGATTGTGAGATTGACCAGAGAGGTTGTTCCCGGTATGATTGTTACCGGTATGGAAGTTGCTGAGATCGATGGCGCTCCAAGGATGGTGAGTTTTTTTTTTTTGACAAATCTATGATTCAAAGATCCATAAGTTTTTGAAAACATATCCTGAGTGGATTTGTGATGCAGGGACCTACTTTTGGAGCTATGATGATATCTGGACAGAAGGCGGCACATCTCGCTCTTAAAGCGTTGGGACAGCCCAACGTTTTGGACGGATCTTATGTCGGAAACCTAAGCCCCGAGCTGGTCTTGGCCGCTGCTGATTCAGCTGAAACCGTAGATGCTTAAAGGTGAGGTTTTTTTAACGTAAGAGAAAATTTCCCTTGATCCTTCTGATGTGGAAGGAGTTGTAATAAAGGAGGAGTTTTAGGTGTTTAAAAACTTTGGGTTAAGTGACTGTTTATGTTATCCACTTTCTGTGTATTTTGTTTCTTTGTTTCTTCTTAATGAAATGTTTCTTTTGTGTACACAATTTGCCTTACTTCTGTTCATTCGTAATGTTCTTCTCCGATCCTTTGTTGGTGTTATTAGTACAAGCAGTTCACTTAGCTTGGTCTGCTTGACTCTAGTCGTTTGCATGTTCTGTTTTCGTATGTCTAATGTAGTCAGTCGTAGTTTACTCTTGAATTCACTTTACATCAAACAATTTAGGTTTCAAATCTTTAGATTATAAGGACGTGTTATTCATGACTTGATGTTCTGAGAACTAAATTCTAGAAATTAAGACATCACAGTATGCTTTCACTTCTCTACTTTTCGTAGAAACAGGGGAAAACTAGGAGAGAAATAGTTATGCTCTGTCTCGCTAATTCGGTTAACCTTTTGACCTTTTTTTTTTTTTTTTGCTTTTTCTCTTCTTTTCATGTTGCGTCATAAGTAAAAATAACAGACAATGAGGATACGTTGCAATACATTTTCTTATGAACATATCCTCATTTCTATTTTGGAATTCAAATATTTCATCATTGTTTACATAATCCGACTTATATATACATCATTTGAGTTCAAAACAGAGGAGTAAGATAATTTGTGTTCGTGCTTTTTCCTCTTCTTTTTGTTTTGGTAATACATAACAAAACACATGGTTTGTTATATCAATATTACAACATGAATTTGTATGAACACTTTTACAACGAAAAGTTGTTGTGTAAGTTAGGTCTCCATGTTTTTTTTTTGTTGTTTAAGAAAGCTTGCCACCAAAGGAATCGTAAATTTCTGACCAGTAACTCTACATCGCCGGATTTTGTGAGTTATCAAATCTGTATAATAATATACAAAAACTCTACCCGTGAATCTTCTCCAATGCTATTTCTTGGCCTTCAATAACAAAAAAACAGAACCAGCAGAGAGACTTAAAAGACAGCAAGCACAAACCCAAAAGAGTGCCTCAGTAGAAATTTGTGACAGAAACAATCTAAGAAAGAAAGAAAAGATATTTAAAATTAAACCTTTTTTAGATACTTCTTGTGAAGTTTCATTGCACCAGAACAGGCTTTTTTAGCATCCAAGTTTCCGGTTATGTCGTTTAAGATCTGAGCAAAACACACAAATTTTTAATCAGGTATTTATTTTAAATGGAAATGTAAGGTGTAAAGGAGAGAAAAACCGCTCTGCGTTACCTTAACAACGTCATCAAGTCCTCGAGCTTCGGTCATGAGCTTAGAACTCCTGTCTTTCAAAACACTAGCCACTAAGAAAACCGAAATAGGCAAAGGACCTTCTGCGTTTTTCCCACCGTTCTTCATGTTCTCTCTTTCATATTTCCCGCATTGGTTTATCGACTTGGGTCTACCTTTGGAGGAACCTTCGGTTTTCTCTCCCTCGAACTCGGGCTCCTCGTACAGTGAATACATCTCAGGGTCATACTCTAATGCCCACATCATCTGCTCAAAAATCATCGGTCTTTATTAGTGTCTGGTCCAAGAAACATGTTTCGTAAAGAGATGAAGAAAACCGTTACCTCCCAAAGGTACAAAGAGTCGCAAAACGAGAACTCTCTTCGGAACTGAACCATTATCATCCGAATCGCAAAGAGATAGTCACCTCCTCCCAAATTCTCTGCATTTCAAGAATCCAAAATTTTTCTTTCAAGATCTCTCTCGCTCAACCAATATTATATGCTAAAAGAGAGGTGAAGAAAGCTTTGATAGATACCTAAGTGATGGTGGAGTTTGGGGTCAATAATCTGAGTGATTGTAGCCAAATGAGTAAGCTGTGCTTCAACTCCAACTGATCTTCCCGTGCTCCGGAAATTTCCTCTCTTTCAATTTCGTAAAAGGAAAAACCTTTAATACTAATCTGATTACTGAGAGAGTCAAGACAAACATAGAGGTAAAGTTACCAATCTGCGCATCAATCGTTCAAAACACCAAAAAGCATCAGCCTCGTCTTCAAGTAGCATTATCATAGGGGAACAAAGATCACTCATTCCTGGTCAAGAAAAACAGTGGATATATCAATCAACGGACTTTTCAGGGCTTGAACAGAGGACTATACTCTGTTTTGTTCTCTGAGTCTAAAGGCTTTACCTTGGCAATACCCGACATCGTTGTCTATCCAGGCGTAAAGAGCTAAAATATCCCAGAGCTTAGACAAATTCTCCTTTTTCTCATAGAATACCAAAGTCCTATCTGTGCGATTTACATCAAGACCTGAAAAAAAGAGTTTACGCAAGTAAATTCAATGATGTGATTGAATGATTTCTCTTAAAAGCCGTGTGATCCCAGACCTATCTGGTGAAGTGTTAGCATCCATTGGATTACTTTCTTATCCAAAGGTCCACGGCTTGCAAGGTCTTTAAAGAAATCAGAATTCGCACCTGAGATAATACTTGAAACGCTTAATTTACCAAATCATAGCAAAAATACTGTCGCTCTACTATCTCCTCAAGCAAAAGATACACATTTCCTTACCTAGATTTGTTTCTTGTAGTACAAGAGGATCGTAAATGGGTTGGCCCTTTTCAGTAATTACTGGTGCTGTAATGAATCCACCACTTCCGATGACCGGAAACATTTGTTTACATTCCTGCTTCCAAGAAGCGTACTGCAATCTGAAAGGAATATACGGTTATTATACCGATACTTTAAATAACAAGATATAGTAGCAAAGAGAATGGAAGATAGATAGGATCTCGAATGAAACTAATTTACTGTTTATTTGTGTGAAAAAAACTCACCTTCTACGTTGTCGGATTTGCTCTCTTTCATCGAATGTGCTCTTTGGATCATAACAACCAAGTAAGAATTCCCAGACTTCTCCTCTAATCGATGGATGGATCCCCTAGACCAGTCAAGAAAGCAAGTAAAAGGCTTTGTAATGACAAGAAATTGAAATCTGATACAGTGTGCTCTTGATTCCCGTATTTTAGAACACTAGGGATATAGAAGCTAAATAAACAGGTGATATTTGCATATTCAGAACGAATTTAGTTAATGTCGCAGTCTTTGCAAACAGTGTTTTGAGACTCACCCCTCGTTGGATTCGATTTAGAGTCTTGCCAATATCGAGAAATCCTTCCTGTGTAAATGCTGCTTGCCATTTTCTTACACTTAGAGTTTTACCAGGCTGCACAAACATCATCAAGAAAATGACATATATTGTCAGCAATTGATACTCTACCATTCTCTAAAGATAATTATGAGTAAGCAAGGATCATTTGCTAGATCTGTGAACCCAAATAGCACTGATCAGTAATATAGCATTATTGATTACAGAACCACATAAGTAGTAATGAATGCTTTTTTGTCATCAAAACAATGAAGAACACATAAGACACCTAACGATGGCAAACCAAATCTACAAATCCAATGAGGAATCTGCCTTTCTCTAAACACAATTATGAGAAGATCAACCTAATTGGAGAGCGCTAAAAAGATCAATATTCCCTATCAGAAGACATAAACATGTCATAGGTCGTTGTAGAAGCTCATAGCTTTTATGGGTTGCTTCCACAACCCTTAAATCACAAGTAGTAATGCTCTATTGCCTTGATTAATCATATCAAACACACATGATATAACCTAACAATGGTAGAAGTTCCTAACCCAAATGCTACCAATTTAGCTTGAAAAACTCATTGTACGCGAAGCACAGGAGAAGGGAATGAAACATCAAGCAACAACAAAACGCAATCGCCAATCTCATTGATTACATAAGCGATTTTCAACGCACATAAACAGTGGACAAAATCCATTTAAAGATGAAAGATTACAGAAAGGGACATACTTTGATCTTAAATCTGGTGTTGGGGACATCGGTGCACTCAGGGCGAATCTGGTAATAAGAATCTGCTGGTTCTGCGGCTGCTCCCCACATTTATGGAAAATTCTTAATTCCCCCAAAAAAATACAGAAAAATGAAAACTTTCCGGGGAAACAAAAATTAGGAAAAATCTTGACAAGAGAGAAGAAACTAACAAAATAAAGAACGTTTTTTTTTTTTGTTCTACTAAGAACCCAGAAAAAAAGATTGGAGGAGAACAGAAGAAAAACTGGCACCCTCTCAAAAGATCGATTCTTTTCTTTGTCGAAATTGGTGTACAAATTGAGATCTTAAGAGGGGTCCAGTTTTGGAGGCTAGTGGATTAAAAAAGAAAAGATCAAGACAGAACTTTTCCTAATCATTTGGGTTTCCCTAATCCTCTTACTCCTTTACATTTTCCCCCCTAATTCCTTTTTTTAATTGGGTGGTCTTTGGAGAAGCAATGATTTTTGATGGTGAAGGTGAGCTGGGATCGGTGGTCATGCTCGTTGATCTATCTTTAATTATCTTCTAATCCGTTTTTAGAAAAAGAGAGAGAGAGAGAGAGATGCGTTTGTTGACGTACGGTAGAGTGTTAGGACTTTAGCCCATTGATTTCGGTTTTTATTTGAGTCGGTTTGGTTTGGTTTACGCCAATTTTTCGTAGAAAAATAAAATTAATGGACACACATAGAAAAAAATGTTTGGTTTTTCGGTTGTTGGTTTCCCTTTTTCCTAAACCCTAAAGAAATACATCTAAACAAAAATTGTGAATGAAGTATAATTAGATCACATAATTCACTAATCATGGATCTGAACCTTTTTTCTGTTGTTAAAAGGAACTTAAGTATCGTTTTTATATGCTAAACGCTAATATTGTAAAACCGATGGGTCGGCTTTAACAGTTTTAACTTATTCAACAAATCATGACTCCGACATTACTCGTTTAGAGGCAAAATCACTCATTGTTTTAAGGACAAACACCTTTTGGTATCAAACACTAATTTACGTTAAAAAAACATGCATTTATAAAACCAAAAGAACAAGGATTAAATATCGCTGAATAACTTACAATCAATCACGATTACGAATCATCGTCTTTTTCCCAATAATATTTATAAACTACATATAATGCGAAACCTGCTAAAACTGCTAAAATGGCAAAAACAAAGATAACCGCCATAAGCCCTAAACCCTGCATCCTCCCTTTTGAAGTATAGCAACTTCTCTTCTTCTACGTATGATTTCTTTTTGTGTTTGTTTTGGGTATTGAATTCTGTAAGAGAAGTACCGAAAATAATAGGTTTTATATTACTAGTCAACTTTGAAAAATGGAAAACATTAGACGACCATAAATAAATGGTTATATTTTAGACATATAGAAATTAACTATTTAATAGTTCTTAATCAAATATACTCTATGAATCTGCAAATCTTAAACATGCATTTTTTAAATTAAATGCTTTTCAATTGAGAAATCTTGTAATAAATCATATTTATTACTTGGAGAGTGCTCTATCCATACATTTATGTCCATAATTATACGATCTATATATATGTTTATTTAGTCCATACTAATTTATATTTCTTGTTAACTTTTAACTAATAAAATTTTGGAAAGACTAAACTAAATATCAATAAAATATTAACTTGACAAAATTGCATCGGAGAATTTATAGAAGTTATGGTATGAATTGATCTGTGGTCATTGCCCGACGAGACAAAAATCATAAATGGAAAGAACATTTTTTCCAAAACTTTTCCAAATTATGTTATGAAGGAATAACTCATTAATGAAATATATACAGTATTCCGATTAAAAAAATAGGAGTGCCCATACAACTCACATGCAATATGTAATTTGTTACACATGCATATTCAATATATAACAATTAAGTGAATTAAACATATTAGACATGATTGGAAAACTCTGCAGAGCAATAATACTCTAAGAGAGCAGATAAATTAGTGGAAACACATTTTTTTAAAATGAATAAGGTTTTATGTATGTTTAACCAAGAAAGTTAGTGACCATAGACATAGGAACCAAACAAAGCCCTTTTTTCTTCAAGTCTACTGATAATCCACCTTGGTTTTGCACTGAACTCTCTCCTTCACCTATATAAA